GCGATATTTAGGGTGGCGATATTTTGGGTGTCGATATTTAGGATCATTCGATATTTTGGGTGTCGATATTTAGGGTGGCGATATTTTGGGTGTCGATATTTAGGGTGGCGATATTTAGGGTGGCGATATTTTGGGTGTCGATATTTAGGGTGGCGATATTTAGGGTGGCGATATTTTGGGTGTCGATATTTAGGATCAATCGATATTTTGGGTGTCGATATTTAGGGTGGCGATATTTTGGGTGTCGATATTTAGGGTGGCGATATTTTGGGTGTCGATATTTAGGATCATTCGATATTTTGGGTGTCGATATTTAGGGTGGCGATATTTTGGGTGTCGATATTTAGGATCATTCGATATTTTGGGTGTCGATATTTAGGGTGGCGATATTTTGGGTGTCGATATTTAGGGTGGCGATATTTTGGGTGTCGATATTTAGGATCATTCGATATTTTGGGTGTCGATATTTAGGGTGGCGATATTTTGGGTGTCGATATTTAGGATCATTCGATATTTTGGGTGTCGATATTTAGGGTGGCGATATTTTGGGTGTCGATATTTAGGGTGGCGATATTTTGGGTGTCGATATTTAGGGTGGCGATATTTAGGGTGGCGATATTTTGGGTGTCGATATTTAGGGTGGCGATATTTAGGGTGGCGATATTTTGGGTGTCGATATTTAGGGTGGCGATATTTAGGGTGGCGATATTTTGGGTGTCGATATTTAGGATCATTCGATATTTTGGGTGTCGATATTTAGGGTGGCGATATTTTGGGTGTCGATATTTAGGGTGGCGATATTTAGGGTGGCGATATTTTGGGTGTCGATATTTAGGGTGGCGATATTTAGGGTGGCGATATTTTGGGTGTCGATATTTAGGATCAATCGATATTTTGGGTGTCGATATTTAGGGTGGCGATATTTTGGGTGTCGATATTTAGGGTGGCGATATTTTGGGTGTCGATATTTAGGATCATTCGATATTTTGGGTGTCGATATTTAGGGTGGCGATATTTTGGGTGTCGATATTTAGGATCATTCGATATTTTGGGTGTCGATATTTAGGGTGGCGATATTTTGGGTGTCGATATTTAGGATCATTCGATATTTTGGGTGTCGATATTTAGGGTGGCGATATTTTGGGTGTCGATATTTAGGATCATTCGATATTTTGGGTGTCGATATTTAGGGTGGCGATATTTTGGGTGTCGATATTTAGGGGTGATCCCATAAGGACAACAGTAGTCTTTTTCCTTTCTAAAAATCTTTTTTCGGTACTCCTGAAGATGGTGGTGCCCTTTCTGCGGACTTTTTTTGCGGACTTTTCTTCCCTTATTTAAATGTTTTACTTGTAGCAACTAACTGTACGATCCTCCCCCTATTATTTTTCTTACCTAAGATTGTACATAAAGGTCAGATTTTCTTCTTCCTCTCCTTCCTCTCTTTGCCCTGTGGCATATTCAAACAAGAGACAGTGATAAAGAGAAGATTAATTTTATATGTAGTCATACACTTATTTTTTGCCTCCGAAAACTATCCTATATATAATTTTAGAATTGTTGTCTGTTTGTCTGTCCGCAGCTTTAAAATTTGCTGTGTTTGGCGTTGTGTTTAATTTTTATTTAAAAATGACAAAATATCCCAAAAAAGAAAATAGTGTGTATTTAGAGAAGAAAAGAAAAAATGTGAATTTTTTAGAATTTGTTTTGTATTTTTTTGCTGGAATTTTTTATTTTTTTTTGTTTGTTAATTGTATTAAGATGTGTTTTGATTGTTTTAATTGATTTTTTAAATTTGTTTTATTTGAAAATTGTTTTTAGGTTCAAAATCAAAACAATATTTTAGTTAGACAACGTGGGTGTCCAACAGTTTGTTTTTCAGTGCTTATCTTTTATTTTAAACAAGGCGAGTGTCCAACCGTTGGTTTATTTTTGTGAGGTTTGTTTTTTAACATAATTATAGTTAGGTTGGAAATGGTTAGAATAATGGTAGGCGAGAAGTATCCCGTAAATGGGTGAGGGTCTGGAAATGGTTGGAATAATGGTGAGCGAAAAGGGTCCCGTAACCGGATGAAATAGGTCTTGAAATGGTTGGAATAATGGTGAGCGAGAAGTATCCCGTAAATGGGTGAGGGTCTGAAAATGGTTGAAATAATGGTGAGCGAAAATAGTTACGTAAATGGGTAAAAAGGGTCTGGAAATGGTTAGAATAATGGTAGCGAGAAGTATCCCGTAAATGGGTGAGGGTCTGGAAATGGTTGAAATAATGGTGAGCGAAAATAGTTACGTAAATGGGTGAAAAGGGTCTGGCGATGGTTGGAATAATGGTGAGTGAAAATAGTCCCGTAAATGGGTGAAAAGGGTCTGGCGATGATTGGAATAATGGTGAGCGAAAATAGTCCCGTAAATGGGTGAAAAGAGTCTGGAAATAGTTGGAATAATGGTGAGCGAAACGGTCCCGTAAATGGGTAAAAAGGGTGTTGGAATAATGGTATGCGAAAATGGACCCGTAAAAGGGTGAAAAGTTTCTGGAAATGGTTGGAATAATGGTGAGCGAAAATAGTCCCGTAAATGGGTGAAAAGGGTCTGGCGATGGTTGGAATAATGGTAAGCGAAAATGGACCCGTAAACGGGTGGAAAGGGTCTGACAATATTGGGAAGAAGAGATTTCGAGCAATAAGCAATAGAAATGTGTCCGTCAAATGGCGTGAGAAAAGGATTCTTCAATAAAAAAGATAAAAGAGCCCGTCAATAGAAAAAAGAATATATGTAGTGTTCAATAGGCTTGAGAAAACGGTCCCATAATGAGTGAAAAAACGGTAATGACTGAGATAGATGAGTGACATTGTTAATAGTTGAAAAAAAGATTAATAGTTAAGAGTGAAAGTTGAAATTCTTAGTTAATAGTTGACATATATATTAATAGTTAATAGTGAAAGTTGAAAAGCTTAGTTAATAGTTAATAGTTGAAATAGATATTAATAGTTAATAGTTGAAAATCTTAGTTAATAGTTGATAATGTTTAGAATTGTAATGTTTAGAATTTGGCTAGCGGAAGGGGCTCGCCCGAAGGGCGACCCCCTCCGCTAGTGTTAAACAAAAAAAGAATTAAATAAAATTAATTTGGTGTATAACATTATGAATTTCTGTCTAAAAACATTACATTCTTACTTATATTTAAAAATATTGAACAACTAAAAAAATAAATTGAACTCAATATTGAACAACTCAATTAATTTTAATCTTCTCTTTATCAACAATGTCTCTTGTTTGAATATGCCAAGCTCAAATAGAGGAAAGAGAGGAAGAAGGAAATCTGACCATTTTGTACAATCTTAGGTAATAAAAATAATGGCGGGGGGGGGGGGGGACAAGGTTTGAAAGTACCCGCATTTCTGTTCCACAATCACATACCCTTTTTCTATGAAGCATTCCGAGATCTGTGATCCTATGTTGAAATTCATCATCGGTAATTAACAAATTTTTTATTGATTGTAACATTTTACGTTTATAATGTTCAAATTAATGGTGAACACATATTTTTTAAATTGGCATAAAAATTAATCCTTTGACAGTTAGTTGCTACAAGCAAAACTTACTACAAGCAAGACAACCAAAACATTAAAAAAGAAACATTTAAAAGAAAGGAAAAGTCCGCAAAAAAAGTCCGCAGAAAGGGCACCACCATCTTCAGGAGTACCCTTTTTTCAAGTTTTTCCGTCTGTTGTTTGTAACATTTAAATTTGTTTTCCCTCATATTTGTCTCAATTCAAAGTTCCCTCACATTTATTTCCCTCACATTCCCTTATATTCAAACTTCATTTTTATAATGCCGCTCAACATTTTTAAAGTTCCTTTTATTTATTTAATCAACCTATTTCTTATATAAATTGCCTTTCAACACTTTTTCTCATTATTATTTTCAAATAAATTTGAAAAATAGAGGTCGGATTTAAAAGTTTTTTGTAGTTACTATTTAAAATGCTTTTTCTGCCGCCTGAAGTTCGACTTGATGTTTTTAAATGTCTCAATTTCGAGCAATTATTTTCTCTCAAACAAACCAATTTTTATTTTTTGAGCTTAATTAATAAATATGAGGAAGGATTGGCTCGAATGGAATTCTATAAACTCTCTTTGGTAAATAATAAGGTAATCTTCTAGTTTACTGGTCCCGAGAAAAAAATTAGGAAGCAGTGCTATTTCGATATTTTTAAGGGTTACCAGTAGGTAATCGAGTGTGCTGAGTCCAAATATGAGCTTAGAATTTGCTTATTTCGAACCCCGGACCCGGATTCGACCAAGTCGAATTAGGGGTAAAAATTCGAAATTCCGATATTATGGTTGATCTGACTCGTCTCTTTATTTTGAGTCGAATGGTAGCAAAATTATTAAGTTTCGACCATTTTAAACGAAGTTATGATCAATTAAATACACGTTATTATAGACTTTTGAGTAGAAAACCGGTATCATAACTTCGTCCAAAGTTGTCGAAACATCATAATTTTGATAACATTCTACTCTACTCGAATAGTCGTGTTAGAATAACCCTAAATTTTGAATTTCGAATTTTTACCCCTAATTCGACTTGGTCGAATCCGGGTCCGGGGTTCGAAATAAGCAAATTCTAAGCTCAGATTTGGACTCAGCACACTCGATTACCTACTGGTAACCCTTAAAAATATCGAAACAGCACTGCTTCGTAATTCTTTTCTCGGGACCAGTAAAATAGAAGATTACCAATAATAACTTTAGTAATCCCGGAAAATTGGGGTTTCTTCGAAAAAAAATTTTAAAAATAAGAAAAATGATTTTTCTAGGTAAAAAATATGCTGATTACGAATCTGAACCCTCATTTTAAAAATTTTTTCGAAGAAACCCAAATTTTCCGGGATTGCCAGAACTTTTAATTTTAGAATTAATTTTATATTGATGCCACAACCATCGACAGTCAACAGCCTAGTCCTTATGTATTCATTAATCTTGAACCTTTAGTTTTTGAATTTCTTCTGAATGGGCAACTTGTGGAGAAGGTGGGAGATTATGATTATTTTTAAATTTTATTTTTATTTTTTTTTCAGTGGAAAACAGCAATAGCTAAATCTGTTCCATTGTTTATACACGGAGCTGGAGATGATTTTACAAGTGCTGTCCAAATAAATAAAACAGGTCTATAACTTAGGCTTGCGGCACGGGAGAGGCCAACTTACCGCGAGCCCAACCTACCGCAGAGCTATAACTTCGTTCATAATTGTCGATTCCAGGACGCCCTAGTATGGTTCGAAGCGCCTCGGCGAGCTGAAATGAACTACATCAGGTCGTCCCGGATTCGACCATTTTGAACAAAGTTATAGCTCTGCGGTCGGTAATTTGGGCTCGCGGTAAGTTAGGGTGTACCCCTTGCGCCACAAATTTCTATCAATTAAAACATTTTCTCTATATTTAGAAGACAAAAACCCTCGCTATATTTTGAAATTGCCAAGTATTCCAAAAAATTTGGAAGAAATGATTATTGTTCGATGTTGGTTAGGGCAGCTGTTTAATTGTGCTTTTGCATCTGTTGATACTGAATATATTATATTTAATCCAGAAATGATTGATTTATTATTTGATAATGACAAAACAATGCTTAAACAATTTCACGTTAAAGTCCTCTTTCTATACGCTCAAAAAGGAAATCCTAATGATAATTCAATTGAAAATTTTTTCAACTTTGGTAATGCTAGTAATAATTTAATTGTAAATTTTTTGGACTTTGGTTTAAATCATTCCGCAATTTATAAGAAGTTTGTCATCATTGAGCAAAGCATTTCAGAGCTCCATGCAAATATTTTATTCAATATTATAGTAAATGAAGGCAAAAAATTACCTGCAGTTTGTTTCGGTTATTGTGATTTTTCAAGTCTTTATGAGCTTATTGTTGAAGTAAGGGTGGTACTTTTCCGTTATGCCAAACAAAGTCCGTAACTTTTTATCCGCAAGTCATTCTTTTGATTACCAAATGTCATTTTCATTTCTTCTAGTACTTTGTCGGCACAACGGAAAAGTATTTTTAAAAGTTATTTAAAAATGTGAATTGAAAATATTTTTTAGTATGTAACAACATCCAAAGATTTCTCAAAAATGATATCCAATGTTTGCCTACTCTATGATTTTAGCGAAAACATTAAATTGTCCGAGAAAGCAAAGAATGTTGAAACTAAGCAAGTAAATGACTCAAAATCTACAGAATACCAAATTGTCAATATCTATAATCCAAAAGTTAAACTCTTATTTGCCAATGTTGAACAAGGAAAATTTTTTCATACTACGATTAGAAAAATTGAAGAGTAGAATTTGAGAGGATATTATAGAGATTTATTATTGGGAATATATTGTTGAAGAAAATATTATTTAATCCTCATTTATTTTGTGTAAAATTTGTTGTCTTGTTTATTTATTTCCATCATTTTAAAGCAGTTTGGTAATAGTTTGGAATTCGCCCCCCCCTTTTTTTACCGTTTCCCTGACCATTTTGAGCTTTCTTGTTTGATACATAATTTATTATTAGAGCCCGGATTTTTAGGCACGATAAAGTTAAAAATAGGCGCCTATATAGGCACTAAAAAACTGCCAAAATAGGCATTAAAATCCGAAAAAAAGTGCCGTAGGCGAAAATTTTGAGATTTTTAAGGTTAAATTTAATTTCTAACCAGAAAGTCCGTATGAAATGTACGTCCAAAATAAGTACAAATCAGGTCTATTCCATCCCCCATCCAATTAATTTTTTCTAAAAATCTTTAAAAAAATTTTTCTATTTTTTTAAAATTTAATTTTGGATGTATAAATTCCAAAACTTTAAATTAAAAGTCAAAAGAAAAAACTTTTTTTAATTTAAAATGCATGTAAAAATTTATTTTAAGAAAGAAAAGGGATTATTTATAGAATTTTTATCTTTTTTGGCACAAAAAAAGGAAGGAAAAATGCTTAAAAATGTGTAAAGCATTCTTTGGTTTTTAATTTTATTAACTTAATTTAGAGGGGAAAATTTTCCTTTTTTATATTAAAATATATGTTTTTATAAGGAAATGTGTATTAATAAAGAAGGAAATGTCAACAAATAATTAATCATCATTTTTGAGGGTTGGTGACTAATTCTTTTATTTTTTTCTGAGAGAGAAAAAGGGAGAGGTAAATTTAGAAAAATTTATTCGCTCGGGAATGCTTTTTTAAAAAAGTTTTTTTTTATTTTTTTATTTTTTAAATTCATAAATGACCTAGTTTTTCAAAAAAATTTTTTTTAAATTCGTTGATTTGTAAAATTTAAAAAGAAATTAAAAAATTTTTTTTGTTCTCTAAAATTCGCGAATATCCTCAAGAGCCCAAGAAGGCGCACGGCCATAACGGCGCAAAGCCATAACTACCTGGAAAATTTCTGAACCTTAACAATTTTGGTACCAATCTCTTTAGCTCGATGAGAGGAATCGTTTAATACTAAATTTTGAAAGATTCGAAAATCTTGAAGCAAGTTATGGCTTTGCGCCAACTTGGCCACGCGCCTAGCTGTACCCTTTCGTTGTTTTAGGGGGGACTCAACTGTCCATTCTCCCAAAATTTATTTTTTGGCATAATGTTATTTTTAATAAAAATATTTTTTTTATCATTTTTAACGTGTCAGGGCAGTTCTTCGAACGGACACGTCTTCGACCGACAAAACTTCGACCGACAAAACTTCGACCAGACAAAACTTCGACCGACAAAACTTCGAATGACCAAAACTTCGTCCAGACAAAACTTCGAATGACCAAAACTTCGTCCAAAGAGCTTGGGGTTATTTTGGCGCAAGCAATTATTTCTTTAAACAGGCAATTGGATTTTGGCTCTTGTCCAGTTCATGCGTCCCATGAAGATTCATGCGTCCCAAGAGAATTTATGAGTCCCATAAAAGTTTATGCGTCCCATGAAATGAATTGAAAAAATATTCAAAAATTAAAAATAAACATACTAGAATTTCACCGGAAGTTCCGGTTCCGGTTCCGGAAAGTTCCAGTGTTTTTTGGTTTGGATCCGGTTCCGGCTCCGGTTAAAATCGGTTCCGGTCAAACCGGAACTTTTTTTGGCTAAAAGTATTTGGCCAAAGTATTTGGCTAAACCGACAACACTACTTAAAATACAAATATTTTAAATTTGCTAGCAAAATTTTTTAAGTTATGGTCACGGTTCCGTGCCGGAACTTGGAAAAATTCCGGTTCCGGAACTCAAATTGGATCCTGTTCCGGTTCCGGTAAAATTTCGGTCCCTGTGAAATTTTAATTTATACTTATAAATATATTTGATCTTTCCGGTACGGTACCGGTACCAAAGAGTACCTGTTTAAAGAAATAATTCCTTGCGCCAAAATAACCCCAAGCTCTTTGGACGAAGTTTTGGTCATTCGAAGTTTTGTCTGGACGAAGTTCTGGTCATTCGAAGTTTTGTCGGTCGAAGTTTTGTCTTGTCGAAGTTTTGTCGGTCGAAGTTTTGTCTGGTCGAAGTTTTGTCGGTCGAAGAATTGCCCCTCACCCCATTTTTAAGGGAATCTTCTTTTTTCTTAAAAGAATTGATTAACTTTAAAAAAAGAATAGAAGATGTCACAGCAGCAGCGTTATACTACCACATCCTCATCGATTTTATCCTCAAGTCCATCAAAGCAATTAACAGTAATTGATGTTTACGATTTGGCTGAGTCGATAAATAGAGATTTTGAAATTTTGGTTGAAAAATATGGAAATGATTCTTTTGAGTCAATTGTTGGAAAGGTTTGTGATGAGGAGGGGACACCTTTTAGAAAAATAGTAAGTGTGGACGCAAATGAAAAAAATAAAATGTCCGTAAAATTTGTCCGCAAAAAGTGGTATGGAACAGGGATGTCATGGGTTAAGAAAAATCGTCTCGAGTTTTGGGTCGAAAATGCCGGTCTGGGTATCTAGTATTGGGTTTCGAGTAACCCGGGATCTCCCTGGTGGGAATAACAGAAAGCTTTATGGGTGAAAAAATTATTTTTATTAAAGGTAATATCAGCCTTAGAAACTCTGGAGGCTTTAGCTAAATACAATGATAAAGACAATTGTGAAATTATCGATTTGCAAAAAACTATACAACGGTTTGAACAAGAAAAACAACAGAGGATTAAAGATAAAGAAATTTTGGAAAGGGTATGGAATTTTTTTTGAAAATTTTTGAGTTTTTTTTTTAAATTTTAATTTTGGTAATAATTAAGTTTGTGGGCCCCTGTTACCATTCCTTTCAGGTTTCCACTTTTTCGCTTATTTTTTGCCAACCTAGATTTTTCTGTTCCATCTTCATCTGATTATATTAATTTTAATAAATGGGGGCCCACAAACTTAAGTATTATCTTTAATTTTTTTAAAAAGGATTTTATTGAACTAGAAGACAGTTACAAAAAAGAAATTGATGATCTCTGCAAAATTGTAAGAAATTTTCTTTTCAATTAAGAAAAAAGTTTTTTTTTCTAGATTCAAAAATTGCAAACCGAAAATAAATGTATGAAAGAACAATTATCTTCTGGAGAAAATGTTAAAAAGGAAGAAGAGAAGACTGGTAAATTAATTTATTAATTATTGTGAGGTTTGTAATTTTATATAAGCTTTATTTTTCGTCTGCTTGTTGTATGGGTGGTGTGGTATATTGGTGAGGATTTGTGGTTAGTCTTTTGGAAGGTGTCCGGTTCGTTTCCTCCTTGCGTTTTTATTTTTTGAGAGTTGTTTTTAAGTCTATTTTTTCAAAAAATATTTTTGGGGTTTTACCTTGCTTGTAAAAAATTTCTTTTATCTCAATTTTTGTTCCGTAGCTGTTTTGTTATAATTATTATGCTCTTTAGATGGCTGTTTTTAGTGTGCCTAGTTCGATTCCTTTCGGGTTTCCGTCTTTTCAGAGGCTTCTTTTAATTTTTATTTTCCCCAAAAATTATTTTTGGGTTCCCAAAATTTTTCTAGTAATTTTTTAACTCAATTTTTGGCACTTTTTAATAAAATTTAGAAAAAAATTTTTTAACAGAAGATGTAGTCGATGAACAACTCCAAACACTTATTGAACTCCGCAAAATGACTCACACCCAAAAAGATCAAATAAAACAATTACAAAAAGATTTGGATACTTATTGTTGTGAAGTTGAAAGTTTGAGAGAAAATATTGAAAGATTAATTAGACAAAATAAAGAATTGTTGAGAAAGAATGGGTCTTTACAGGTTTTTTTTGTTTTTGGAATTTTTGTTTAATTTCGAAAAATTTTTTAAGAAACAAGGAAGAATGCTTTTGTTGGAACGTGCAGAAATTCTTAAACGATTACAGGTTTTTTAAATAAAATATTTTTTTGTAATTTTTTGAGAAGCGGCTGTAGGGCAGGGATGTCACGGGTTGAGAAAAATGTCGGGTCGGGTTTCGGGTCGGGTTTCCAAAATTTTTATCGGGTCGGGTTGAGAAAAAAGTCGGGTCGGGTTTCGGATCGGGTTTTCGAAATTTTCTTCGGATCGGGTTTCGGATCGAAAAAAAGTCCGGGTTTCGGGTAACGGGTCGTCGGGTCGGGTTAGTTAAAATTTGAACATGAAGCCAATTTTTTGGAGCTGTTGTGGATATCAGATATTTAGAGGGTTAATCCTCCAATATCCGTACAACTCCCCGATATATCCCAAATCCTACTTTATCCCTCAAATTCTCCGATATTTGGGATTAAGACGGTTGATCCTCTTTTGCGTCACAGGCAAAAAAAAGCGGGGCAGGCGAGAATTTTGAGAATTTTTAAAGGATAATAAGCCAGATTTCTTCCATTTTTTGCGCCGCAGGCCAAAATTTTGAGAATTTTGGAAGGCCAAGAAGTTAAAAATCTTCCTTTTTCTGCGCCGCAGGCGAAAATTTTGAAAATTCTGGAGGATCCTTAAGCCAGATTTCTCCCTTTTTCAGCGCCGCAGGCGAAAATTTTTAGAATTTTGGAGGATCCTCAAGCTAAAAATCTTCCCTTCTCAGCGCCGCAGGCGAAAATTTTGAGAAATCTCGGGTCGGGTTTCGGGTCGGGTTTTGAAAAATAAAAATTCTCGGGTCGGGTTTCGGGTCGGGTTTTAGAAAATTTCTCGGGTCGGGTATCGGGTCGAAAAAAAGGCCAGGTTTCGGGTATCGGGTTTCGGGTAACCCGTGACATCCCTGCTGTAGGGGTTCCTTGACCATGCTTTAAAAAATTTTCCTTACCTTTTTGCTTGATCGAACCAAACTTGGGCAAATTTGTGGACAAAAATAAATTTGTAGACAAGGGATGTTACCGTCATAAAAAATAAATTCCCGTTTTCGGGAGTTGGGAATTCTCTACCTAAAATACGTCAAGAATTTTTTGGAACGTCTGAAATTCTTAAACGATTACGGGTTTCATAAATAAATTTTTTAGTTTTTGTGGGTTAGTTTTTTTTAGTTTTTTGAAGTCAAGGTCTGTATTTTTTTTCGTTAGGAACCGTGACGGCAGGATCCCCAACCTCCCTATTAACCTCTCAAAAATTAAAGTCTTTATGTCTGGAATGGGTGAGGGGATCCTTATATTTCATTTTTTAAGAGAATTTAACTTATAAAATTAAAATTTCTTTTTTTAGCAATCAGAAGAAAATACTTTACAACTTCGCCGTGTTTTGAACGAAACAAACAGAGCCTGTAAAGATTTGGAAGTTCAAAAACAATGGGATGAAGAGACAGCTTTAGCAGCCATTACTAAAGGTCAACAATCTCCAAGATTTTCTCTTTCTGAATTGAGGGATGTCCTTCAAGAGAAAAATGCTTTAAAAGTTAAAGTTTTGGAATTGGAAGAAAAAATGGAACAAATACGGGCTTCGTCGCCTGGGGGAGAAATTGAAAGTAATAGAGGAACGCCTTCTCCAAATATGAGGTTTTTTTAATTTTGGAGATTTTTTGCTATAAAAATATCTCTCGCTTTTAATGAATAGTGTTTGGTCTGCTTAATTGGCCAAAATATACCCTCTCAAAACTAGAGTAATAAGTCAAAGATTCTACTGTTTTGGCTAAAGAAATTATGGCTTAAAACTAATTTTTTAAGTCATATTCTTTTGTTTCCTTTCATACACGTAGACAAGAAAATTTTTTTTCAGGGAGAGGTGGGGAATTATTTTTAGGGTTGTCGGTTCCTGGAAATTCTTTGTATAACCGAACCGAAAAATCCTCGTTCTTCGATTCGGTCCAGAACCCTACTCATTTTTCAAAATATTGAAAAAGTATCTATTCTTCTGGCTATGTGCCTGGGCTTATAAGTCATAATTTACTATAAGTCATAATTTTACAATTATCACAGTCTTGTTGGGTGGTATTGTTTCCCTCTATTTTCCGGAGGTTATTTTGTGTAGTGGGTGGTTCTCCCCTTTTAACATGAGTAAAATTATCCCCTTTTTTGATGCTTTTGCTTTTGTGTGTCTTGTATTTTTTTGTTTATTCCAGTTTGTCTTCTACGTCACTTTCCAAACAACTTGAAGAGTCTCAATTACAACACGAGAAGAAGGATAATATTCAATCTCCACAAACATCACCACCTCAAAAACGGAAAGAAACTGAAAAGTTGTTTTTTTGTTGCTTTTTATAGTCTTTAAGGGCTTTAATTATTCTCCTTAAATTTAGTTTTTATGGTGAATTTTCAAGAGTCCGCAAGTTTTTGTCCGCAAATTAACTTTTTCGTGAAAAACGATGATTTTAGTTACCTGTCACTAGTTTAAGCGTTAGTGGCGGGACCAGAGAATGGAAGGGGTTTTTCAAACAATTTTTACAACTAACAAAAATTTTCTAAAAAAATTTTTCGAAAAGAAAGACTTAAAAATCCGCACATCTGTCAGATCACCTTCACCAGATTTACTGCTTTAAATTTTTTAAATTATTTTTTTGCGGACAAAATTTGCGGATTTGTGTCTTTATAATCAATTTTTCCCCTTATCAACCTTTAATTTAAAATTAAAATCTAAAATTTATTTTTTTAAATTTAGCAGCGAAGAATGTCTTGTTTTTGGGCCAATAAATCGCGAACCTGATGAAAAATTGCATCCTTGGAAATATGAGCGTATGAACAGTGGAGTTCGTCGATTGTATATTTTTTCATAATTTTTAAAATTTTTCAAAAAAATTTTTTTCAGTTTTCGTTTATTTGCTTCTATCAGTTCAACAAATTTGTCTCCTCGTCGTCCATCTGGGGCAAAATGAGAAGGGACAAAAAATCTGGTTTTCTACTTTTTTCTCTGCAAATATTTTGCGGACAATGAATCTGAATGCTGCTGTGAATCTGTTAAATATTCTAATTGCTTAAGTATTATTTTTTAAAATAATTTTTTTTATCAGAAAACCCCAGATATATATTTAATAATCCTTTTTAAATAACCTTTTTTTTAATTACTATCCCTTTTTATATTAAAACTAGGGTTGTCGGTTTTCAATCGAACCAAAATTTTCGAGTTCTCGGTTTGGGTTAATCGAAGAAGAATTTGTTGAACCCGACAACCCTAATTATATCCCTTTTTTAAATTACAGTCGGACTTCATTATAGGATACTCTCAAAAATAGGATAATTACCAGTTTATTGGTTGACTATTGTGAGGGGAATCTGCTTAGGAGAGACTCCCAAATTTTTAAAAGCCTCTCAAAAGGGAAGTCTATTTTATAATGAGGTCCGACTATGTACTATCAAAAGTTAATAGATCTCTTAGGTAAGGAAATTAATTTTAAAAAATTTTTTAATTTTTATTGTAAAATTTAGCTTAATAATTAATTTTTTCTTTGCTTTTTCTATAGTATTTTAGGCCTTAAATAATTTTTTAAAATAACCATTCTTCAATCTTTTAAATAAATCCAAAAAAGCATTTTATCTATCTCATTCTCCTTTTTAAAAAAACATTCTTTTGCTTATAATAAATATACAATATATATAGTTGTCGATCTCATTTTTGTAATACATCCTCTCTCGGTTTTTTTGCTAAACTAAAGACTACACTGGTTATATATTAACTGATTAAATATATGTATATTTTAAAATTAATTAGAGCTTCGATTTAATTCTTTAAAAAAATTAAAAATCCGCAAATTTTGAAAAACGTCCGCAACTTTTTTTCTAAAGTCCGCAAGTTTTGTCCGCAAAAATTTTTTTTTCAAATTTTAGACCCCTTATTATTTTATTGAAGCTCTAATTTTATAAAATTAAATTTTATGCGAAAGTTGTGAATGTGTGTATTAATTTTTGCTAAGCTCATAATCTTGTATTATTTTTATCGCCATCGGAATAAATAATTTTTAAATAAATTTTTTCTGTTCAAATAAAAGTGCGTATTTACTATCTAATTTAATTATATTTTTGATGTTTATTTAGTTAATAGTATATTCAATGGAACTAATGGCTATTCAAATAGAAAAGAGAGGATAAATTATGCAAACAGAAGAGTCCGCAAAAGATTTTTGTCCGCAAAAGATGTCCGCAAAAAATTTTTTGTCCGCAAATTTCCAAAAATCTAAAGGATTTGAAATGATAAAAAATAAACTTTGGAAATTCTGGAAGTAAAAATATGGCTAATACCAAACTCGAATTTATTGAAATTTGCTGCAGAAATCGAGAGAAAACACTCAAAGGATTAAAAAATGGAAGTTATAAATTTTGCGGATTAAATGAGGTTTTTTAATTTTTTTTTCTTTCCAAAAATTTTTTTTCCAAATTTGTAAATTTAATAAAATAAATTTGTGTAATTCTTAAAGTCGTTTTAAGAATTTACAAAAAGAAATTTTTGTAAAAAGTGCTGAATTCCATGAATTTATTTGTCTTCGCGTTCTCCTCCCCCTTGACATTTTTAAAGAAGAAAAATTGTAAAAAGAAATCGTTAAGAGGCTAAATTCTTCTTTTAAATCCTCTTTTCCACTTTTCTTTTCTTTTTTTCTATCTAGTCTGGCCTATAAGAAATTCTTCAAACAAATTAAAGAAAAAATTTTTTGTCTGCCCTAACATTTCTGTCTAACCACTCTCTTCTATTTACACACTATTTCTCTAATTTTTTTTCTAAAATTCCCCCTTCGGCGCTTTTTTTTTTAAGACTACTTTAAAATTAGACAAATAGAATATTTAAAGCAGCTGGCCCAAACAAATATTGATTTTATACACCGCGGGAAAAAAGAGAAAATGTGTGAGAGGAAAAAGAAAATTTTGGGGGAGGTGTAGGGGGGAAGGGCTGTTTGGAGGAGGGATTGGGGGTGTTGCCTTGCGACGGTTCTTTTTTTCTTTTTTTCATATCTTTTCTTTTAAAAATTCGTTCGTTTTACATAATATTAAAATAGTTTCCAACCTCTCTTTAATGTAATTTTCAGGAAGAAAAAAAATTTTTTTTGAGTGACTAAAAAGGAAATTTTTGAGAGAATAGGGGAATAAACGAGCCTTTTTCGCTAATAAATTCATTTTCCTGCATTAAAAAATTTTTTTCCTAAAATAAATTATTTAGTTGGTTATACCGAAACACAAAATATTGTATTTTCCTACATCAAATTTTTTAAGAATTCCATGTCTGGCACTCTCTTCTTTTTACACGTTATTTCTATCTATTTTTCTATCTGCTATTTTTCTTCGTTTTCGAATTTTCTTTTTTTGATAAAAATTTTTTTAGAAAAAAAATTTTCTAATTTTTTTTTTGAATTTCAAAAATTCCTTCTTTTTTTGAAATTCAAAACTCTCTTCTTTTTATACGCTATTTCTTCTCATTTTTTATTCATTTTGATTTTTAAGTGATTTTTTATGAAAAATTTTTTAAATTTTAAAAAATTATTAAAAAAATTTTTTTTTAATATTTCCTTTTGATTCGGGTTCAGGGCAGTTCACCAAAAACCAATTCACCAAAAGACAGTTCACCAAAGGACAGTTCACCAAAAGACAGTTCACCAAATGGGGTAGTTCACCAAAAGCCAGTTCACCAAAAGACACTTCACCAAATGGGTGTAATGGACAATTCACCAAACGTTACCAATCTTATCTAAAACTTATATCCAAGTGATAAAAATACGTTTTTCACCTATTTTATTGTCGAACTAGTGATCAATCGATACCCCTTATTGATATATCGATCTCCCCTTATTGATCTATCTAGCGATCAACAAGATCAATCAAGTTATCGCTGATCAAGTCATTTGATCGAGAGATCAGGTCATCGATCGAGTGATCAATCAAGCGATTGAGTCATTTGATCACGCGATTTAGTCAGTTGATCAGGTTATCGAGTCATCTGATCAAGTGATCGAGTCATCTGATCAAGTGATCGAGTCATCTGATCAGGTGATCGAGTCATCTGATCAAGTGATCGAGTCATCTGATCAAGTGATCGAGTCATCTGATCAGGTGATCGAACTGATCAGATGATCGTATCATCATACGAGAGAAGTGATAGTTTCATCAGACGATAGAGTGATCAGCAGGAAAGTGACTGGGAGAGTGATCGGGAGTGATCAACCGAATAGTCATTGGTAGAACTTCCGTCATTGGTACAACATCCCCCGTCATTGGTACAACATCCCCCGTCAGTGGTACAACATCCCCCGTCATTGGTAGAACTTCCCCCATCATTGGTACAACTTCCCACTGTCGTTGGTACACTTCCCCCGTCTTTGGTAGAACTTCCCCGTCGGGAAAAATTATTGAAAAATATCGACGATATTTTTCGAGACCGATACCGATATTATCGATCGATAAATTTTTTAATTTTTTCGATATTTTTCGAGACCCGATATTTTTCGAGACCGATACCGATATTATCGATCGATCACTCGAGTCCGGTCTCTAATTATTATACCCATTTGGTGAATTGTCCATTACACCCATTTGGTGAAGTGTCTTTTGGTGAACTGGCTTTTGGTGAACTACCCCATTTGGTGAACTGTCTTTTGGTGAACTGTCCTTTGGTGAACTGTCTTTTGGTGAATTGGTTTTTGGTGAACTGTCCTGACACGTTTTGATTCTCTTTCAACTTCCCCAAAAATTTAAAAAAAATCTTGTTCCTTTCTTCTATTTATAGATTTATATAAAAGTAATTATTTTACAACAATTTATATTTCACTTAATTCACGCACACATTAATGTACTTTTTCTTTTTCATGCGTATATTTTATTTTAATGTGCGTCATTAAAATATTCTTTCTAGAGTACATTTTTACTCGGAATGATTTTAAATTTTATTTTTTATTTTTTTGATTTTATTTTTTTTAATTATGTAGTTAAGGGAGAGGGGAAAATAAAAGAATTAATTAATTATAATCTTTGAGGGGGAAGGAGACAAAAAATTTTTTTCTTCTTCAGAGAGTTAATCAATCAATCAATTTTTTTTAAATTTCTTTTTGTTTATCCCACACACATCTTTTCGTTTAAGAAAAAAATTTTTTGAACACCTTAAAATTGTTTTTATGGCTCACTAAAATTTGCGGACTAATATTTGCGGACAAAATAAATTGTGAGGGGAGAGTCCAAATAATTGGTAGAAAGATCTTTAATAGTCAAAATCTATTAGTCTTCAAGTTTGGAGAATTTTTTGATCATTAAAAACCATTTTTTGATTATTAAAACCTTAGAAAACTGTCCTCATGGAATTTCGGACTAATATTTGCGGACAAAGCAAAATTGTGGGGAATAGCCCAAATTACGGAAGGAAATTTATTTTTTTTTAATATTTAAAAAATTTATTTTTGTCTTCTTTTAGAAGAAATGTCTTTCTTGACCTTTTAAAATCGTTTCCCCTCCTTTGATTTTTTACAAATTTTTCTCGTCCGCATTTTTCAATCCGCAAATTTTGTTCCTTCACATTTTTGTTATTTTTCCTTCAAAAAATTTTTTTTAATAAAATACAAGAATTTCTATATATAAATCAAAAACTAGACATATTTATTTACATGTCCGGATTTTCTGTGTCCTGACAATAAAAAATCCTTTTTTTTCTATACAATTTTTCCTTCATTTCTCTCTTGACCTAAATTGATGTCAGTCTACTACCAACAACTAACCAATATCCACACACACACCTTTTTTTACTTTTTTTTCTATTCGCGCAAATGGTTCCGTGACTTTTGCGCCGAGAACATTTGCGCCGCGACTTATGCGCCGCGACTTTTGCGCCGCGACTTATGCGCCGGGGGACTTTTGCGCCGGGGGACTTATGCGCCGTGACTTTTGCGCCGGGCGACGTTTGCGCCGCGACTTTTGCGCCGGACGACTTTTGCGCCGCCACTATCATTAATAACTATGAAAAACAACAGCCGGACCTCACTATAGAAGATGTAGGATAGTTGGAGATCTTCGGATATCAAGATCCGGATCCTATATCCGACCTAAAATTTTTGGCTATCCGGCCTTTTTCATATCCGAATATCTGGACCCGACAACCCTACACTATAGTGCACCCTCTTCTGGATGCCATAATAGAGGTAGCAGACCAAATATCTCTGTTTCCGAAAAAGTCAAGTTCTTTGAAGATGACCCCTCTAGGGGGTCGGTTTATTTTTCAACCTTCCATCTAGGGGGTCGGTTTATTAAAGGGAGCTATTGTACTTCCCGAAATATTGTACTTCCTGAAATTCCTTCAGCTCCTGGATACCATTTTTTAAGGAGTACACTATAATTAGGTCCGACTGTAGATATTATTTTTTTAAATTATTGCGGCGCAAATGTCGCGGCGCATAAGTCGCCCGGCGCAAGAGTCGCGGCGCACAAGTCGCCCGGCGCATAAGTCGCGGCGCACAAGTCGCGGCGCAAAAGTCGCCCGGCGCATAAGTCGCGGCGCACAAGTCGCGGCGCAAAAGTCGCCCGGCGCATAAGTCGCGGCGCAAAAGTCGCGGCGCAAATGTTCTCGGCGCAAAAGTCGTGATACCGCGCAAATATATTAAATCCTTGCTCTCCTTCCAATATTTAATATTTTCTTTATATTTTTAGAAAGCTTTTAATTCTTCCTAAAAAAGATTTTTTTAATATTTTACAAAAATAGATTTTTTTTTAGAAATTAAAAGATTCGTGTATTTTTAGTAACTTACACTGATTTAGTTTTTTGAATTAGAATAGAAAATGGTAGAAAAATCCAAGAAAAATCATGAAAAAATTCCGACCCTTTTGCGGCATTTTTGCGGACAAAATTTTTTTGCGGACAAATATTTTGCGGATAAAATTTTTTGCGAATTTTTGAGATTTTTCTTTTGGGTCCTACAAAAGTCAATAAGTATATTTTACCTTTCTAGTTCAATCATTCATAGTAGATTTGTGGTTATCCAAGATTAATATTTGTGTATCTCCCTATAAAAATCCTTTAAACCGTTACCCTCACATAGGAAAAAATTTTTTTCAGTTTCCTTCCCAACTAATTTATTGATTTTTCTTTTTATAAAAAAATGATGTTAAAAGCTCTCTCTCCTACTACATAAAAGTTTACGCGCATTTATTTATTTTTCCTTTAAAAAAATTTTTTTTTCTTTTCAATCATTGTTTTCTTGTCTAGAGGAGGAAGAGGTTATTGACCTTGTCCCGTTTCTTGTTGTTCCCGTTCTTTCAAAACAAAAATAAAAAAAGATTAACATTTTATATCTCTCTATTTTTAATCGTTTTTTACTTTTTTTGTTATTTGTCCTCAAATAAATTTTTTTGTTCGCTCAAAGATTTTTTTGATAGGGCTTGGGATGTTTCATTGTTGATTTCTGTGTCGGTGATATTTTGGAATTAATTTTAATTTAGTTCTGATCTAATTTAAAAAAGAAAATACAAATAATTCTGATTTCCATTTGTATTTTTAATACAAGGAAAATACAATTCTGATTTTTATTTGTTTTAAGCCAGCGAAAAATACATTTCTGATTTTAATTCTGATTTTTATTAAGCATTAGAAATACAATTAATTCTGATTTTTATTTGTTTTTTAAACCAACGAAAAATACATTTTTAATTCTGATTCTAATTCTGATTTATATCTAGACAACAGAAAATACAATTAAAATACTTGTGTTTTGATTTTATCTCTGATTAAAAATCAGAATTAAATGAAGGTGTGCTTTTTCAGTGCGATAAGAGGCATTCTATGACAATTTTTACAGAAAAATTTTTTGAATCAGAAACCAATCCGATTGAATTTTTGAACAAATAATTAACCTCGACCAATTTTTAAAAAATAAAGAAATGAAAAATTGGCAATTAAACGTCCTTATCCGTTTAATCTTTTCTCTTCTTTATTGGTCTCGCGCAGTGTTATTTTCCCTCTCTTTTTTTCAAATTCATTTTTATTAATACATACATTTTTACCGACAAATAAATAAATAATATAAAAATATATTTTTATTTTTCCCTCATTTTTAGCGTTTCCTCAACTACAAGCTTTTAGCTGCTGCTCTCTTCCCTTACAGTCAATATATTTATTTGTTCTGTCTTCTCTAACTTGTAAAAAATAAAAAGGTTTTCAGAACAACTCTTGTTTTTACCGCAATTTGAGCAAGAATCGAGACTACTAAATGAGGGAGTGAGAAAAAAGGCTAGAACAATATATAAAGTAGGAGACCAATTATCCGGAATAATTGAAAATCTATAAAAACAAGAAAAGAGAACAACGAGCTTATATTGTTAGAGAAAAAAATTCTGATTTTATTAAACAACAGAAAATACAAATAATTCTGATTTTTATTTGATTTTAAAACCAACGAAAAATACATTTCTGATTTTAATTCTGATTTTTCTTTATTCTTAAGCAACAGAAATACAAGGAAAATACATTTCTGATTTTAATTTTCTGATTTTATTTATTTTTATTTAAGCAACAAAAAATACAATTAATTCTGAATTTTAATTCTGATTTATATTTAATAGAAAACACAAGGAAAATACCTTTGTTCTGATTTTAATTCTGATTTTTATTTAAACAACAGAAAATACAACCTAAAATACATTTTATTGTCTGATTTTTTGTTTATTATTTTTCTCTGTTGCCCTACCAACCAACTTTTCAACTTTGGAAAAAAAGTTTAAAAGAGAACAAATAACAGGGACAAACTTTTAATTGGCAGTTATCTACTTAAATATTTAAAAGAAAGGAATTTGACAAGAAAAATAATTTTTCTAATTTTTTTAAATGGCAAAATCAGAAGTTGAAGGAAATAATAATAGTGGAGGAAGTGGATTAAATAATGAAAAGGCTGAAAAGGTGAAAAAATTTTTTTAATTATGAGAAGGAAAAATAAAGAAAAAAAATTAATTTTTAGATCCCTCTGAAATTAATTTTAGTCAGTGGCCGAACTCATGAATTTAGAAATTTTACCGCAGCCACAACTGCAGGAGATCTTATAAATGTATTTTTTAGTCTTTTAATTTTTAAAAATATTGGATATACTTTAGCCGGTGGCCCACTCAGAAACGGGTCAAATTATATACCATTCGATTCGTCTCGGCGAGCTGAGTCGAATGGTACCATTCTTTTTTTGCGGAAATTCCTACGAGCCGAGATATAGGTCCTTAAAAATCGAAAAACCAAAGGGGGGACCAAGCACTTTTTTGGAGTGAAAAATTCGAATATGCAAATAATAGCTCATTCGAAAGAGCTCGTCGAGGTGAGTCGAATGACACCAAAATCAACGAAATCCGACTTGATTGGACCGAGATATAGGCCCCTGAAAACTGTTAATCCAAAGGAGTGATTTTTGGAATTAAAATTTTTTAAACTATATTATAGCTCATTCGAAAGAGCTCTACGAGCTGAGTCGAAAGACACCAAAATCACCGGGATTGAACAAGTTTAGACAAAGTTACAACACAAAAAACAAGCAACATAAACCTATGGGGCGTAGGCGAGGCGCTTGTGCAAAACCCCGCGCTTCGCGCGGGGTTTTGCGGCACGCGTCTCGCAGGGAGTCTACGGGCGGTGGGTCTGGGCTAGTAACATAAACCTATTCCTATCTCCCTTGCTCTGGACGTATTTGGGCCTCCATATCAGCAAAAATCTCCACAGATGCCATAGGTAAGGAGCTAAAATAAAAGATCATAACTTTGTCAAATCAAGTCGGATTTCGTTGATTTTGGTGTCATTCGACTCAACTCGACGAGCTCTTTCGAATGAGATATTATTTGCATATTCGAATTTTTCACTCCAAAAAAGTGCTTGGTCCCCCCTTTGGTTTTTCGGTTTTTAAGGACCTATATCTCGGCTCGTAGGAATTTCCGCAAAAAAATAGTGGTACCATTCGACTCAGCTCGCCGAGACGAATCGAATGGTATATAATTTGACCCGTTTCTGAGTGGGCCACCGGCTAAAGTACAGCCAAAATATTTTCTTTAAAGTATGTATTTGAAAATTGGCCAGAAGAGTGGGAAGAGGAAAGAGTTACTAGTGCACAGATGCTCAAGGTATAATTTTTAGTTCTGATTTTTGTATTTTCTAAGTTCTGGTTTTGTATTTTATCTAAATTCTGATTTTTGTATTTTTTAAAATTCTGATTTTTGTATTTCCAGAAATTCTGATTTTTGTATTTTATGAAATTCTGGTTTTTGTATTTTTTAAAATTCTGATTTTGTATTTTTTAAAATTCTGATTTTTGTATTTCCAGAAATTCTGATTTTTGTATTTTTTAAAATTCTGATTTTTGTATTTCCAGAAATTCTGATTTTTGTATTTTTTAAAATTCTGATTTTTGTATTTCCAGAAATTCTGATTTTTGTGTTTTTTAAAATTCTGATTTTTGTATTTTATGAAATTCTGGTTTTTGTATTTTTTAAAATTCTGATTTTGTATTTTTTAAAATTATGATTTTTGTATTTCCAGAAATTCTGATTTTTGTATTTTTTAAAATTCTGATTTTTGTATTTCCAGAAATTCTGATTTTTGTATTTTATGAAATTCTGGTTTTTGTATTTTACGATATTCTGATTTTTGTATTTTTTAAAATTCTGATTTTGTATTTTATTTAAATTCTGATTTTTGTATTTTATGAAATTCTGGTTTTTGTATTTTTTCATAATTCTGATTTTTGTATTTTTTAAAATTCTGATTTTTGTATTTCCAGAAATTCTGATTTTTGTATTTTTTAAAATTCTGATTTTTGTATTTCCAGAAATTCTGATTTTTGTATTTTATGAAATTCTGGTTTTTGTATTTTACGATATTCTGATTTTTGTATTTTTTAAAATTCTGATTTTGTATTTTATTTAAATTCTGATTTTTGTATTTTATGAAATTCTGGTTTTTGTATTTTTTCATAATTCTGATTTTTGTATTTTTTAAAATTCTGATTTTTGTATTTCCGGAAATTCTGATTTTTGTATTTTTTAAAATTCTGATTTTTGTATTTCCAGAAATTCTGATTTTTGTATTTTATGAAATTCTGGTTTTTGTATTTTACGATATTCTGATTTTTGTATTTTTTAAAATTCTGATTTTGTATTTTATTTAAATTCTGATTTTTGTATTTTATGAAATTCTGGTTTTTGTATTTTTTCATAATTCTGTTGTGTTATACCAAATTCTGATTATGCATATTTTTGTATTTTTCCTAAAATTCTGATTATTTTTATTTTTGTATTTTTCTAGTTAATATATCATGGCCGGTTTATTCATGGAAGTGTTACGCTAGGAGCGTTACATCTACCTGCCGGCAACTCGACGGTTTTTATTTTAAAAATATTTTTAATTTTAAAATAATTTTTAGGTTATGCATCTGGTAACGAGAGAAACACTGCCTGAGCCAAATTCTAATGGTTCGTGATTTTATTTTTAAAATTAATTTTTTTTGGGGGAATTTACTAATTTTCTAGGGGATGAATTGTCATCTTTTTAAAATTTTTGGGCTTGAAGCCATTCTAATTACCAGGGTGGATAAAAGGGGATTTTGTTTTATTAACCCTGGGGCTGTCTAAAATTTTGATAAGGGATTAGCTTGCTGACAAAAATGAATTTTGCGGACATTTTTATAGAACCGTTTCCCTATTTTATTTTATCTATATTTACTATTATTCCGTCCATTTTACTATTTTAGTATATCTTTTGGAATGAATAAAAAATTTTTCTTTTTAGATAATCTAAAGAAATCTAAACGTGGTCGTTGTTGTCATTGTACAATTTGTTAATTAAAAATAGAAGAAAAAATACAAAAATATCATCATCAAAAAAACAAAAAAAATATTTTTATGACCTCGTTTTCTCCTCTCATTTTGCATCGATTGACTTAAAAAATGAACAGAAAAAAATTTATTTTTATACCCGTCCTCTCTTTCCTTTTTTTTCGCCACTTAAAAAACACACACAAACAACCACACAACTCATTTCCGGGTACACTTTTATATATATTTTCTTTTTTTTTTTAAAAAAAACACATCTGTACATTTACCAAAAATTTTATATAAAAAATGTGTATTTTTTCGGTAGATTAATATTGAGATTGTTGGTGTGCGGGACATATCGGGATTGGGGTGACAAAAATAATTTCTTGCGTGTTTACGTTTGTTCTAAAACATAAAAACTCTATCCCGGGCAATATACTATTCAAGACCCAGTGGCCATAGGTCCCGAAATCAGTAGAGTAACTCTGTTCGTACATTGAAATATCCCGATATGTCCGTCCCGATATGTCCGCGTGCCGGGATTGTTAAGATTGTCTCAGCCCATTTAAGATTGCTTCAGCCCCAAGTGTCTATTTACAATGGAGGTCTGACTTTAATTAATTTAAAAATTAAACAAAAAATGGTACTTATTCGGTTTCCCCCCCAGTCAGTTTTTTCGAAAATAAGTACCAAAATGGTACTTATTCGGTTTCCCCCCCCCAGTCAGTTTTTTCGAAAAATATGTAAAAATGGTCAGTCTGAACAACAATTGAAGAACCCATCGAGCTGTGTCGAATGACACCAAAATCAACAAAATCCGACTTGATTGTACCGAGATACAGACCCCAGAACCACAGGGGCTCAAAATCATATGGACGAGAATTTATACAAATGATAGCTCATTCGAAAGAGCTCGTCGAGCTGAGTCGAATGACACCAAAATCGACGTGATCCGACTTGATTTGACAAAGTTATGACATAAATCGTCGACTCCGGTAGGTCTAAATAATGTCATAACTTTGTCAAATCTTGTCCGATCACGTCGATTTTGGTGTCATTCGACTCAGCTCGACGAGCTCTTTCGAATGAGCTATCATTTGGTTAAATTTTTTTAATTTCGAAAAATCACCCCGGTGGTTGTTCAATTTTCAGGGGTCTGTATTTCGGTCCAATCATGTCGGATTTTGTCGATTTTGGTGTCATTCGACACAGCTCGATGGGTTCTATAATTGTTGTTCGGACTGACCATTTTTACATATTTTTCGAAAAAACTGACTGGGGGGGGGGAGTAGTTATCCATACTACTTTGTTTCCCCGTTTCCCGCACATTCCAAAAGGATGAGGAGGGGTCCGCAAAATTTCCTAAAGGATCTGAAGCGGTTGGGGGCGGAGTCAAAGGATTTTAGGAAAATTCCAAAAGGTTTTGGAGGGTCTGGGGGAGGATCCCGCAAAAAATTCAAAAGGATTTGAAGGGGTCCCTTTGATCTAGCCGCTTCTGCATTTCCAAATTGTTTCCCCTTTGATGGTTGACAAATTACAAATTGTTTCCCCCTTTGATGGTTGACAAATTCCGAAATGTTTCCCCTCTTACCGCAATTCCAAAGGGGGGTGAGAGGTTTTCTTGTTTTGCAATAATTACAAATTGTTTCCCCTTTGATCTTGCCGCTTCCCGCAAATCCAAATTATTTCCCCTTTGACCTTGCCGCGTGTAAAATTCCAAATTTTTTCCCTTTGACTAAATTGTTTCCCCTTTGGTCTTTCCACAAATTTCACTCATTTCAAAGATAAGTGAGGGGGCTGAGGGAGTGGTCCGTAAGACTTCAAATGTTTTCTTTGATCTCCAAAATAAATCTTTGTTTATGAATCAATCACTCGTAACATGATTAATTATTTTTAAATTTTTATTTTTTCCTTCCGACCTTTAATATTCTAAATTATTAAAATTTATTTTAAAAATATTAATTTTTTAAAATTTTTTTAAAATTTAATTTTGTAAATTATAAATCCATGAAAATATTCGAACCTAACCCTTTTACACTATAGGCAAGATCACTACCGACCATTACATTGAGGAACATATTTTAACTTATTTATTTATTTTATAAACCTTTTTACAAAATTAATCGATAATTTCAAAATATATTTTATTCTAATTTAAATTTTTAATTATTTAAATTTCCCTCTAAACCCTTAAAATAAAATTAAAATTTTTCTTCATTTCTTTTGTTATTAAAATAGTTTTCTTTTGAATTCCCAAAAGGGAATTGTTTTTAAAAATTTTTAAAAAATATTCTTTGTATAATCAATCAATTTTTAAATAAAAATTTTAAAGAATAAAATTTTTGCTTTCAATTCCCAAAGGGAATTTTTTAGCAAAATTTAAAAAAGTTTATTAGAAAATTAAATCAATCAATCAATTTTAGAATAAAAATTTTTTGAATTTTAATTAAAAATGTTTGTTCTAATTCCCAAAAGGGAATTAAGTATGTTTTTAGAATAATTTGAATTTTAAAAGAGCGTCGCTTCTGTTTTATAAACAAAGTCAATAATAATAAAATAACATGTTTACATTTATTCAGTTGATCGAACCTAGTGATCAAGATAGTGATGAGTGATAAATCAAGTATGAAGTGATCAATATCAACCAAAAGTAAAATAATGAGGTGATCACTCAACAGATCACTCAACAGATGGAGTGATCAATCATGTGAATGAGTGATCCATCAAGTGAATTTCGAATGATCAATTGATTAAGAAGGTGATTGACTAAAAAATGTGAACAGTGATCACCCGAATGAATGAGTGATCAATAAAGTTATCGATATGTGATCAATTAAGTTATGAGTGATCAATCAAATGGATAGTGATCAATGAAATTTATCATATAATAAAAATGTGAACATGATCAGAAAATTAATGAGTAAAATGAATGATCAATGAATGAAAAAAAATGATTATAGATTATAAATAAATATTATAAATTCAAGTATAAATAAATTATGTATATTTTTTACTTTTTATTTCAAACCCTCGAAAATGAAAATTAAAAATTTTTTCCATTCCTTTTATTCACAGAAAAATTTTTAATTCCCAAAAGGGAATTGCTTTTTAACAATTTTTAAAAATTTCTTTTAAAAGTAAAATTAATCAATCAATCAAAATAATTTTTTAAAACAATTTTTGAATCTTAAATAAAAAATTTTTGTTATTAATTCCCAAAGGGAATTGAATAATTAACAAAATTTAAAAATTTAATTTGAAAATTTAAAAAATAAATCAATCATTTTTAAAATATAATTTTTCCTATATAAAATATAAAAATTTTTGTTTTTAATTCCCAAAAGGGAATTGAATAATTAACAAAATTTAAAAATTTAATTTGAAAAATAAATCAATCATTTTTAAAATAACTTTTCCTATATTTAAAAATTTTTGTATTTAATTCCCAAAAGGGAATTGAATAATTAACAAAATTTAAAAATATAATTTGAAAAAAGAAATCAATCATCTAAAAAATTTTTTGAAACAATTTTTGAATAATATATCAAAAATTCTTTGTTTTTAATTCCCAAAGAGAATTGATTTTAGAAAAATTTAAAAATTTTTGAATTAAAAAAATTTTTTCAATTTTGAAATTTGAATTTTTAAAATGGCGTCGCTTCCTTTTTAATTTATTGAGATATCATAAAACTTGATATAGTGTGAGTATATAAATATTAAAAAAGTATAAATACCCAATTAAAACATAAATATTAAATTAAAAATGATTTTTAAAATTATTTTAATAGTAGTTTTAATTTATAATGTTACAAGTAAATATTCAAATATATCTGAATTTAAAATATGGCAGTGTGAGAGAGCTTTAACTATATTTCGAAGAAAACCTCCTTCTATAAATTTCAAAGAAGTTTTAAACATAGGCGTACCTAAAGACTTGGAGTATAAAGAAATATGGACCCCATACGGTCATCATTGGTGGGTTTGGGATGAGAAAGAAAAAGCTATTATACCAATCTATTATGGACCTCCACCAAAACCCAAGCAAGAAAAAGATGGTATATTATATTCTGGATGGTTAAGTATAAAAGAAACTTGTTCATCGATTATTGAATTTTTCAAAACGATTTTCAGTCCTTTAGCTGACCTAAAATTTCAAAGAGGCGTGTTCAAAAAGTAGTATAAAAAGTGAATTCTTCGAGCAGATTTTTATTTCCTTGACTCATTTTCAAAAAATTGTCTTAAGATGAACAATAATAAAAATCTTACAAGTCAAATTTTACCTGAAGTCGAAATTAGTATTAACTTGAATGGAATAACAATCTCAAGTGCACGTCTAACTCCTTCTCGTTTCGTACCGTATGATATATGTGGCAAATGTCGTGAATGTAAAAGTACGGAAGTTGAAGTGGATTTTATTGTCACCAAAGATGGTGTTACTATATTTTGCACACGTATATCAGGAACTCGTTATGTACCTTTTGATTCAACTTATGACTTACCAGGAATATGTTTCTTTCGGGTAGGTATTTTTTATTCTTTATCGATTATATTTTTTTATTTTAAGATTAAGAACAAAGGCCGTGTATTCAATATCCCATATGGCTCTGTAAAACCACAAACACCACTTCCAACTCAACAACCGATACAACCAGAAACACTAAACAACCCGGCTACAATATCAGAAAATCAGAAAAAACCAAAGCAACAAAAATTTACAAAACATACAATTGAAAATATTCTCAAAGACAAAAGTAAAGAAAATAATGAAAATATTTTGCTTAATGAATTTTTTGATAGTCTCGATGCAGCAACAACTGGAATTCCATCACAAATTGATAAGATGAATGATTTGAAGAAACAGGCTACAAAGATGGAAGAAGAAGAGATGGCGGCTATCGAAGCATTATATAACATACCTCGCTAATTTTTCCTATTTAAACAAAAATTTTTTTAATTTTTAATCATTAAAATGGAAACTTTAACATTCTCAGATAAAGATTTGAAATTTAAAATTCCTTTTGGTATGATAATTTCTGGACCCAGTTCCAGTGGAAAGAGCACATTATTATTAAAATTTATTTCTGAAGCTTCAGACTTAATTGAGCCTAAACCTAAAAGTATACTCTATTGTTTTGGTGAAATGAGCAATATTGTCCCTATTCTACAGAAATCAGGTGTCAGTGTTTATTCAGGTGTTCCCCCTGAGGATTTGATTAAAAAATATCAGAAGCCATTACTGCTAATTCTTGACGACTTGTTTATGTCAATTGATGAAAAATATTTGTCAGAGTTATTCACAAAAAAATCTCATCATCAAAATTTTGCTATTGTCTTCGTAACTCAGAATTTATTCGAACGAAAAATTAAAGTTGCACGTCAAAATGCTCAATACATTATTATAATGCGTTCACCTAATTCGGTATTATCAGTGCGTAATATAGGCGTTCAACTATTTCCTCGAAAACTTGACTATTTCCTCGATGCATATAGACAGGCAACAAACAAACCTTTTGGTTATCTGGTTATTGATATGCATGCTTCATCAGACCCTGGACTGAGACTACGCACAAGTATATTTAAAGAAGATGAAGAAAAAATTATCTTTATTCCAAAAAATAGAGCATAAATGGTCAGTCAAATTATTCAGAAAAATTCACAATTTTTACAAGTTCTTGCAAAAACAAAATCTCAACGGAAGTTGCAACGTATGCTAAGACTCTCAAACACTGATCAACTGTTAGCTATAACTGAAATTTGTTTGAATATTATAAAGGCTAGACTCAAACTTACATCTTGGCAAAAGAATAAACTAATTCCATATGCAGATTTTGTACGCAAAATGAGTAGAGTAAGAAGTGAACAAGGGGCCAGAAAAATTTTAAATCAAAAAGGCGGTGGTGTGGGAATGTTTGCAGCACTATTGACCCCTGTTCTTATAGAAATAGCAAGATCACTAGGAAGTTCTATAAAAAGCAAAAATTAAACAACTAATCAACATACTAAAATTATGGCTAACAAATTCATTCTTGTTCCCGAAGAAATTTATAAAGGTCTAACTACTTTTGATACCGGTGAACCAAATCTTGATTTAATTAGAAATGATCTTGAAAAAATTAAAAGAAAGAAAGATACTCCAAGTGCAAAAAATGTAAAATATAACCAGGAACTTAGACGGTATTTACAAATGAGAAATGAGCAACAGAATAGACCTGTCAAAGTAGAAATGGTTGCTACACCTAAGGGAGCAATAATGAGTACAAATTCTACACGTCCGACTTCTAATATAGTCGAAGACGATGATGAAATTTTGACAACAGATGAGATTTCTCTCCCGTCTTTTCCTCAATCTACTAAAGACATTAAATCAATAATTGATTTCAAACCCCAAAAACTACCTCATCCTCCATCGTTATCTTCATCATCCGTTAAAAAACGCTTTAAGAAATTGAGGGGAAGCTCACCACCTCCTCCTCCACTACCACCAACTACAAATCTTAAATTAATAAAAAAGGAAATTGTGTCTGAGCCAAAGAAAAGATTTTCAAGACCTAAAAGTACAAAATATTCAAAAACCGGGAGTACAAAACAAGATTCTATTATACTATCCGAAGATGTGCCAATAATATCAACTCATGTCTTACCTCAACAACGAAATATTAAAAGAGAATTAGAGGAGGGTGATTTTGAAGGTATAAAGAGGAAAAAGATATATGACAGCATAAGGGAACAAGAAATACGACAAAAAGAGAATAAATTGAAGGAAATCGATAAGAAACGATATGAAAAAAGGCAACAATTATTAGCGAGACGTCGAAAGTCGCAGAAACTTAAGGTTCCAATAGACCCTTATGTTATTCAACAATTACGTAATAAAGAAAAAAGTGGGGCATCAAAAGGTTCAAGAAAGGTTTTAAGAGAGGGAAGATCACCTTCCCCGCCATTGAGTCGTCAAAAAATAAAACGAAAAGCAGAGTGGTCACAAGGAGACGGACATACAATTGCTAAAGTCCAGAGAAAAGTCAACAAAAAACAATCACAAAGAGCTTCAAGATTATGGGTTAAAAATCTGAAGAAAAGAAATTTAGAATTTCGCTCATATAAAATAAAAAATAAATGGGCAACAAGAAAACCGACACAAAAGGATATCAACAGATTTAAACCATCTCTTTGGTAAAGGATGGCTGATTACACTAAATTTCTTGATGATCTATACAATAACCCTGAATCCCCCGCAGCATTTTCAGGAATTGACCGACTTTGGTATGAAGCACGTAAAGTTCTCAAACATATACCAAGAAAAGCCGTTGAACATTATTTAGAAGGACATAGAACATACACTCTTATGCGACCCAAACGTATTCATTTTAAAAGATCAAAAACTGTAGCAGCTGGATTTATGACAGATGTTCAAGTTGATTTGGCAGATTTCCAACAACTATCCCGACATAATAAAGGTAATCGTTATTTACTTCTTGGTATTGATGTCCTTTCTAAACGAGTGTTTGGGGTTCCTGTCAAGTCCAAAAAGACTGAAGAAATGATAGAAGCCTTCAAAGATTTAATTTCACAAATGCCTATGAAACCTCAACGAATTTTTTCAGATAAGGGGACAGAATTTAAAAATAAACAAATGAAAGAATTTTTTGAAAATGAGGGGATAGAAAAACATGAGCCAACACATTCTATAGTCAAAGCTTCAGTTGCCGAAAGAGCAATTCGTAATGTAAAACAAAGACTTTACAGAAATTTTGCTCAAAAGAAAACATTAAATTGGATTGATGTCCTTGAAAAAATTTTAGAGGGAATAAATAAAGCAAAAAGTAGAATCCATGGTATGCGACCGATAGATGTCAATTTTGATAATGCTCAAAAAGTATGGAAACGGATCTATGGAAACATATTTTCTTCAAACAAAAATAAAATAAAACCAAAACTCAAAAAAGATGATTTTGTACGAATGAGTGTAAATAAAGGTGCGTTTGAGAAAGGATACATACCAAATTGGGGAGATGAAATATTGCAAGTGGACAATATAAAGGAAACCCCATTACCAACTCAATACAAAGTGAAGGATGATAAAGGTGAACAGTTCAAAGGTTCATTTTACAATGAAGAGTTAACTCGGGTAAGAAAAGATGCCGATACAGAATACAGAATTGAAAAAGTTTTGAGAAAAAGAAAGAGACCAGACGGTACTTTTGATGTTCTTGTAAAGTTTATAGGATACCCAGAACGAGAATGGATTCATGAGTCACAATTAGTATAAAAGAAAACAATTTTTTCATTATTGTAAAAATTTTTTATTTGTGATAAAAAAATATGTCAAACAGCTTTTTCGTCTTCCTTCCTAGTAATATTCCCGATTATCCTGATAATCGACCCAATAAATTTAGAGTTCATTTACCAAAACCACTCTATTTTTCTGGCAACTGGGTGTGCGGCTTACACAGTATAAATTATCCATATTCATGGGCAGCAACTATTGGTACACTAGATGATCAATGGATTGATATACATTTCAAAGATAATCTTGGAATGGCTAAAGTCTTAAGGGTCCCCGTTCCAAAAGCTTCACATACAACTGTTGAAAAATTACATGAATTTCTAATTTCTACACTTCAACATCAAAGCGAAACTTATGGTGCTTCGCCTTTGGAAAAACCTGAAGACTTAGTCGATCTGCCCTCACTTAAACGTCAAAGAAATAAACGTTCATTAGAAGAGTTAAGACAGATTAGAGTGGGAATTATTCCTAAAGTTGATGAAGTGTTCATAGATTATCCTGATCAATATTGGGACCAAATAAAAATTTTAAAAGATAAACTTGTTGAAGATTCAAAATCCTTAGATGAGTTTAAATTAAGAACAGATAATGAACAGGATGAGACAATTAAAAGTGAAATGACAACAACATTTTGGAACCTAAGTTACAAAAGGAGTGCTTTAGAATCTCGAATTAGAAAATTGGAAGAGGAAGCAAAAAGAAGAGATTTTGAAAAGAACAATTCAGATGTTAACATTGTTGTTGATTTTTTCGAAACTTATCCTGAAAATTACAATGAAATATTAATTATAGATCATCTCAAACTAATAGCTCTCTTCATAGAAGACAAAAAGGAAAAACACTTACAATTAGAAGGATTTTTGCCAAGATTCAAGAAAGAAATTGAAAGAATGACAAAGAGAGTAAATTTACTTGATGCTGCTGTACTGAGAAGGGACAAACAAAAGACTGTTAAACAATATAATAGAGAGAACTATATAACCCACAAAGGCTATGTTGATAAATTTTTCTACGATAACCCTGATTATTGGCCAGCAATAAGAAGTAATTTCTACGGGTTGATCGCTACATATCAGGAAATTTCTAATACAAAAACTTTGTATGATGAGGAAACAAATGAGGATCGAAAGAAAGAATTAAATACTAAAATCGATGGACTCAAAAGACTTGTCAATTATAGAATGGATAGATTTAGGGCGCTTGAGTTTGAGGGAATTGCTAGAGATAAAGAGACAGCAGATGAACCTTACAGACCCCCACCTCTACCGACGTACACAGACATACACCCTCCAGCAACAACAACTCCAAACCTTCCCCCAACTCAACAAACTTCACCTTTAAAGTCTTTACCAGGTTATACCTCTCCAACAAAACCTGTTTCACAAGATCAATCTAAAGGAGATAATCCAGAACAACTTCCTCTTCCACCAGCTATAATTGAGCCTCCAAAACCTACAGATATTTCAAAACCTTACTTTCCGACACCTGAAACAACAACTCCTGTTCAATCTTCACGACCTGAACCAACTACTGAGGATGTTTCAAAACTTCCCCTTCTTCCAACCCCTGAAGAAACATTCAGTGATCCATTATGGACCGAAGAAATGGAACAAATATTAACAAAAATACTCGGGAGAACACCCAATCGCCAAGCCCGAATAAATTATTTACCGAATATGCCCGCTCTTTTACGGCAGTATGGACGATTAAAGAAGGATAAAGTTGATGCTTCAGTCCAAAAACAAATAATTGATTCTATCGAAATATTATATCACAAGGATTTTGAACGTTTCAAAGTGCAATTCAATCATACAAGTATTAAATATCTATCATTTTCTCCCCAACTTGGGTATGTTTTGGGCTTTGAAAATACAAATATGGTGCAAAATAGAGAAATTGCAAAGTATGGATGTGATTTAAGAGGTGGTTTCTCAAGCTTTGCTGTGTATACAAAGGGGCTAACAGAAAATATGATTATTGGTAATAGTTTAAGTTCACTTCTACGTGTAGTTTCCGTGGCCGGTGCAAAACCTGGAGAATATAATGAAAATATTTATGATTCACCAATATATGCTCGTGTTTTACCAAAGGAAGTTAATGAAATTGAGATTGAAATAAGAACGATGGATAATGGCAGACTAGTACCATTTTCTTTTGGTACAGTACTCATTGTCTTAATATTTAAAAAAGTGATCAATTTTTAATTTTTTCAAAATGTATATAAATAGTAGTTGTAATTATTTAAAATCTAAAATAAAATTTATTAAAAAATGGTGCATGTTATTTTTGACACAAGTACAGTAGGCTATGACGATTTTGTCCATAAAAATCCTAACGAAATGTCAGGTGGTGGAGAAATATCATATGATTATTTTCGAGGGTCTTCACCCTTCCAAAGAGGAAATGGTATTCAAAAAGGAGCGGGTGTAGGAGATATTATGCGCGGACTGTGGCGTTTCTTTCTTCCTGTTCTTCGAAATGTTGGAAATACTGTAAAGTCAGAAGCAATTAACACAGGACAACGTGTTCTTGAAAGAGTTAGTCAGGGAGAACCAATCAAAGAGGCTTTCATCAGTGAAGGAAAGAGGGGGGTTGATACTGTACTAGAGAAGGGAGGCTTACCTAAACAATTTGGCTCAGGATTTGGAACAAAAAGGGGTATAAAAGGGAGAAAATTACCAAGTTATCAAACATTAATTGGTAAACCTATTAAGAAAAGAGTGAAATCAGACGTGTTTGGTCTTTACTAAAATGGCTTTTCACAAAATTGACAATGATAGTATCAACTCGATTACCAATGCTTTAGACTTTTTTCAAATTCCACCTACAAATGTAAGTATTTCGTCATCCAAAGTTTTTGAAATTCTACCAAGCAATCCGCTCACTGATACACCTTACCATTTTAAAATTCACGCAAGTCAAAATTATATTGATTTGACTAAATGTTATTTATTTACTGAATTTCGAATTCGAAAAGAAAATGAAAGTGGACAACTTGTAAATCTTTCTGTTGCAGACAATGTTTCTCCAATACAGCTTATAGGACAGACATTTATTAATAATATGCGAGTAAGTATTAATGGAAGGGAAGTTTTCAATTCAAATTCCCTTTATGCTTACAAAACCTATTTTTCACATGAGCTCTCATATTCACAAAACGCAAAGAGTTCACATTTAAATGCCGCTGGATATTTTTACAATAATACTTCAACTCAAGAAGGTGGTTTAGATACAATCGAAAGGAGAAGATTATTTGAAAACAGTAAAACAGCACAATTCATTGCTAAACTTGATGCAGATATTTTCAATCAACCACTTTATTTGATAAATCATTGTGAAGTTGATATCGAAATTATACCAAACGATTCCCGATTTGTTCTTATGACATTTGGACTACAAAATGCTATGGAAGTACCAACACGATATTTGTTTGAAGTAGTAAATATGAAACTTTATGGTAAAAAAGTAGATTTAATGGATGGATTGGCTCTGGATATTGCAAAAAGACTTGAAATTAAACCTGCTCGCTACTCAATAAGAAAAACTATGATGAAGCCGTTGTTTATTAGCCAGGGTCGATATGAATTTAATGCCAATCTATTTATGGACCAAATTCCTAGACGTATTACATTGGGACTCGTTTCTAATTCAGATTATGTAGGAGATCTTAAACGCAGCCCTTTTAACTTTCATCATTTTAATGTTCGCGAGATTAGTATTATTGCCAATGGAAGAAATTATCCACAGGCCCCGTATGATTTTGATTATGAGAATGGAAAATATATTCGTGCTTTCAATGATATGAATGAGGCAGTTGGTTTAACAAATTCAACTGAGAGTAATGGAATAACTTTACAACAATATGGTAAAACACATTGTATCTATGTTTTCAATCTAACAAACAGTGGAGAAGATCAAGGAGGAACTTTTGATTTAATTAAAAACGGAACAACGGCTGTAAATATAAAGTTTAGTAAACCTGTACCTGAGGGAGGATTAATGCTTATAGTAATGGGAGAAGCAGATTCGCTTATTATGTTAGATAAAAATAGAACAATCGCGAGTGATACCACAATATAAATTTAGACTTTTCATATTGTAATTATTTTAAATTAGATAAATTTAATAACTTTTAGAACTTATCTTTTATTAAGTAAAAACATTAACTCATATCTTTAAAATTTAAAAAAGTATAAATATTAAAAAATTTTAGAGAAAATTCATTTAAAAATGAAAAATTTTTTGAAAATAATTTTTCTAATTAGAATATTTGTTCCACTAGTTGAAACATTATCAACAGATGGTACTATAAAATTAGATAATTTACCAGAATATTCTGAACTTGTTAAATATTATAGAGGTGAAAATATTACAGGAAACCCTTTATTACCTTCAAAAGAAAAAATTATTGCACCGTTACCAAATTTTATTAATTTTGATAATCTGCCATCACTCTGCAAAGAAAGTCCAAAAGACAACAATTTTTATGGACATGTATTCTGCTGGGGAATGATATGTTTATATGCAATGTTGTTGGCTAGTCTAGTTATTTATCAACTCCGATCAGTTCTTTGGTTCAAATTCAATTTTAACAACAACAGCAACAATGTACGCAAGTCAAATTACTCAAATTCTGAGGACAAATCCTCAAACGTGCCGAATCTTCCTAGGTTGCTTCCCTTGTAATCGTCTGCCTGATCCGACTTCAACAAAAGGAAAAATGCTAATTGTCAACTTGGACCCCTTTGGTTATGAAGGTTCTCACTGGGTTGTAGTTTACATTAATAACAACAACGAAGTGATTTATTTCGATAGTTTAGCATTACCTACAAGTATATGTATAATTAATTCATTTCTGAAAAATTTTTCAAAAATTTCAAAAAATCTAAAAGCTTATCAATACTCTTATTCAAATACTTGTGCCCATCATTGCATCTCATTTATTTATTTTTACTCAAAAGGTTATACGTTTGATCAATACCTTGAACTATTAAATAAACAATCAAATCCAGATTTATTTGTTACTAATATTGTGAATAAAATGATAAATTATTAAATTTATTTCTCAGACTACTAAAAAAATTTTCAATTTTTTACAATTATTTATTCAGATTAAATATTGTTAGCATCAAGTATTTTAATATTGTCAGCATCAATTATTTAATTAATCATTTAACATCTGTTTTATTTAAATATCATCATAGAGTATATAAACGCTAATTATTTAATCTTTGGCGTATATGGTGATAAAATATCTGTAGTTTTGCAATTCTTCTTGAAACAAACTTCACATATATCAAATTTAATTTCAATCTTATCATCCTTTCGAACTGCTTTGTCACTCTTTTTAAAGACATTGTCACGACAATCTAAAAATTATTTGATTTTAATAAAATTTATATTAATAACCTGCACAAAGTGAAAATGTCATAAGATATTTTCCTCTAAATAATTTCCAGAAAGGTTCACTAGCAGTTTTGGATTTAGTAATTTTTGTGGGAGCAGTTTCAATGTTAATTGCTTCCATTTAAAAAATTATTTTTTAGTTGTGAATGAGCTTAAAGGTTAAATTTCATTGTATTTATATTGTCAATTTAGGGGCGGAGCTAAAAATTTTTGCAAAAAATAGAGTATATAAACGCTAATTAATATTAATGATTAATTTCATTTAAAAATATTTTTTAAAATGGTCCTGGTTATTGATGAGTGTGCTAATATTTTATGCTGTACTGTTAAATCACTAAGATGTTATCTTAATCATCCTGAAAGTAAAAAATTAATTTTAAAAAAGCTTCAAGGTCGTAAGGTTGAAACGACATATACTGATAAAAACGGAATGAAAAGAAGTTTTATTATTGGTGGATTATCAAAGGAGGGTGCAAATGTTATACCAGCATATGGAAGACTTTCAAAACCTTTCAACATTTCGGTGACGCAACATTATTATGCAAAACATCGTATTCGACTTCAGAATCCTTATCTTCAGTGTATTATAGAACAAATACCTAACAAAACTGAATCATTCAATGAAAATCGATACTACCCTATGGAGTTGCTTGAGCTTGTTAAAGAGGAAGAGAATGAAGAAAAAATTCCAAACTCAAAAGAAAATGTCAAAGACACTGAGAAGCCTGCAAATACTAATTTAGGATTAATAATTTTGGAAGATGATGATGAAGATTTTGATCAAAATATGTTGGAACCAAGTTATTACTGTAATGGATGGTGATTATTAATTGTACAATGTTCAAATATTTATTATTATAAATAATTATGCAACATGAAAATTTATAAAAAATTTTTATAAAATTTTTAAAAGAATTATAAAAAATTTATAAAATTTTTAAAAAATTTATAAAAAATTTTATAAAATTTTTAAAAGTATTATAAAAAATTTATAAAATTTTTAAAAGTATTATAAAAAGTTTATAAAAAAATTTTATAAAATTTTAAAAAGAATTATAAAAAATTATAAAATTTTTATAAAATTTTTAAAAATTTTTAAAAAAATTATAAAAAGTTATAAAATTTTTATAAAATTTTTAAAAATTTATAAAATATGACAAATGATATATAATTTTAAATAAATATGACAAATGATATAATTAAATAATACAATTAAATATGACCAAAATTTAATACAGAGAAATCGGAGGGTTTTACAATTCCTTTGCCGATGAATGGTCTAGAAATTTTCTGACGTGATTGGGTGGAGACATTTAAATTTTTGATTGAGGGGGATATATATGAGGGGTACGAAATTTTAATTGGTTGATTCACTCCTGTAGTTGCATATTTGATGACCTGTTGTTTAAAAGTTTCATAACATAATCCTTGATTGTTGATGACATCATAATTTAAAGTCATTCCTCTTACTTTTAAAATATAATCATGTTCAGCTTGTTGATTATTTTTCTTCTTCATTTTAAATCCATATTGGTTTGCTCCACCAGAAACATATTCAATAATATCATGTTTTGGATGCTCATCGGTAAATTGCCCAAGATGAGGTCCAAGATTCAGAGGGTTGACTCCTTCAGGATGTGTGAAAATTAGGGAGTCAGTGTCCGTATAAAGTAAAGTACATCCTGCAGTACGGACAACTTGTTGCATTGCACGAAGAAGGTGGATTCTTGCGGCGGATGTTGTCCAGAGTGAAATAACTAAATATAAAAAATTAATTTAAAAATTTTAAAATAAATAATACCAATGTTAGAGCACTCATGTTCTTCGATCCACTCTTTTTTCTTCGTATATGCAATCAATAATATTCCTGGTAATAATTGATCTATACTTGCTATTTCAATTGATTGATCGTTTTTAAATTTCTGGAATTGTTCTGGATCATCAGTTATTATACATTGCGAAAGACCAAAGTTGCGTAGTGAAAATCGCCCCCAAAGATTATTTAACATAAGTTTGGCTTGCGTTCTCCGTCCTTTGTTGGGGTTCATTTTACTTCTTTCAATTTTAATTCCAAATTTTTCACTACATTCTTTAATAAACTTGTCTTCTGCTTCAGTGTTGTTTTTAATATTGCTGTCAAATCCTGATGAATGTATTTTTTCTGCCATGAATTCTGAGATATAAGGTTGGAACAGTTCAGAGTCTGATTTGTTGTAATCGAGTACACGGAAGAGTTTTGTTACGGTGTACCCCTCTTCTAAAGCAACATTTAATTCAATTGATGTGCAAGTTGATACCCATCCTCGTTCATTATCTTTGTGTGTGCAACGGTAATTTTCTATAACGCCACCTTCAGGATACATTTTTCTAAACGAAAAAAATTATTTTCAAATAAAAAAATAAAAATCTTACGCGCATTTTGCACACAGAGGAAAAAGCAGACGGGCATCATTTTCTAATTTCATGGGTAGAACAGGAACATCAGTTTTTCTTGGAGGAATTACAAAGACTTTCAAAATTGCCAGTTTGTAAGTGTTGTCAGTAGCTTTTGTCCAATTTACATTTTTATTGATGATGTGAACTTTTGGATGCCCCACTGGATAAGCTGTTGTTACATTTATGAACGGATATAATGATGTTACGTCATAATAGGATATCCGTTCTCCATCTTTGACTTTGTGATGGAGTTTTAGTGGTCCAGTTCTTCCTCCATAGAAACAGCTTCTAATATCAATTGGCCCATCATCAATATAACTGTAAAACAATTGCCTCATTTCCCGATCTTTTGCCAACATTTGACGAATTTCACACTCCCAATAAACATCAACACGGGCAATTTGTGAAAGTATAAATTCCATTCTATTTTTGTCATGTTCTCTCAAATAGCCAGCTGTTTTTCCGTTTGGCATCAACTCATAATCATTTGGAAAGCATTTGGGGCATCCATGCCAGACACAGCCATTAACTTCTATTCCATAATTCTTCTCAACAACCCATCCATCAAGTTGGTATTTTCCAATTCTTTTCTCGCCACCGTCGGAGTTGACATTTTGGACGGTCACACCAAATTTTTCAGAGTACCATTTGAAAAATCGGAGGGCGAGAAGGCTTTGATTTCCATCAACTTTGTCATAGCCGCGTTCGGGTACAAGTGCCAAATGTTGTTCTTTGAGGTGGTTTGTTCTGAAATGACGCATGCAGGCCGAGGCAATAGTCATTGAGTCATGTAATACATCAATTCCTCCATGTGGTTTATTTGATGCTGCCCTTTCTCCATTATTGCGTTTCGTCACCTCAAAAAATTCTTGTCGAAATGCAATAAGTGCTGCCATTAAAATTTCAACATCATTTGTACAATAGCTGGCCAAAGCTTCATCAAGGAGGAAGGGTGTATCTTTATGTTGTTCGTACCAAAGATCAAATATTTTTCTTTTTTCAGGCATCATTCCATCGGCGAGGTAGTCCTTTTTTGATGGATATATTACTTTGCCGTAGTTTTCAGGACGATTGACCATGTGAGGGAAAAATGGTTTGTCTTCTACTTTTAGATCAAACGATGGCACAAGTGAAGCAAGCGACATTGGCATTAAATTGAAGGTGTCGCGGAAGATGATACTGTTCTTCTTGTTCTTCATCTTCATTTCATAAACTTTGTTGCCTTTTTTCAATATTTCAGGGCATAATCCTTGTGTAACTAATTCTTTTAAGGTGATGATCATGTCGAATCTGCCTCCAAAATGTGAAAAAGCAAATATGTCGTTATGTTGGGGCAGATCATTTAATATCCAGTTGACAAATGATACAAGTGGAGAATTGCATATAATCTTTTTATCAACTGTTGTTTCAATAAAAGGTTGCTGAGAAAATGTAATTGTTCTGTTGTCTCCACAAATTTTGCAATTATTATTTTTTAAACTTTGTTGCCAGTTGCCATTAAAAATACAATCAGGACATGATACTTTTGCTGCAATAAAGTTTGGTTCGTGAATTGCTGATAATTGAGTTGTTTCAAAATCAAAGGCAATAATTAAATATGGCTCGAATGGTTTTGGTTCCAATGGTTTAATATAGCAGCCACGTTTTAAATCATGGAATTCATTACAGGTGCTACAATATTTTTCGTTGCATACATGTCCTTTACGGCCGTTACGATTGTTGTCTTTAATGCTCCAAATAACTCCACATTTGTTGCATTTTTTGGAATTATTACAGAAACCATTTTTTAAATGTTGTGTATAGCAATCGTTGTTGTTAAAATTTTTGAAGCATAAATTACAATATTTGAAAAAAATGTTGTCGGGCTGGCATGGAAATTCTGGTCCGACACGAGAGCAGTTTTTGCAGCGAGCTTTGCATGTATTAGTATGGTGTTGGGCTTTATCGTAGACACACATGCATGAAAGACAGTAATATTTTCCGAATAATCTGCCATTTTTCTTTACAGCATAAAAATGTTTTTCAATGTCGTTGAAGTAAATAATTATTGGAGTGTCGTAGTCTTCCGGACCATATTCAAATTCGGGTTTATAATTACCTTTGTCACCAAATAAGAATACTTTTACGATACATTGATTTTTACAAGTAATGTTGTTCCACTGGTCGACAATACGTGGAATCCATTCATCAGCGTCGTATTCTTTCAATCCTGTTTGTGCACCAACTTGATTCATTATTTCATATGTGTCTTTTTGAAAACGACCATACATTCCTTTCAGATTATGTATATAATTGAAGAAATTTTTACGTGACCAATTGCAAATATTTTGAATAAGTGCAGCAATTAAAGAAAAAAATAAGCAATGATTCATGTTGTCAGGGTTGTTGAATTTAATTAATGACCCTTTATTAATTTGATGTTGAACTTTTGGAATTTTACGTGCTGCACCTCCGACACGTCGTTTTTTAAATGAACTTTTGTTAATTGTTGTTACTGTTATGGTAAAAGGTGCACCAAACAATGATAAATCGTCTTGTTTTTTACTTTGTGCTATATGTTGACAACGATTTAACATGGCGTCAACAGTATTATTTGTTATGTCGCTGAATGGAACCCATATGTCATAATCCAAAAAGTCGCTGGTTAAAGTGCAGGCTATTTGTTCTGGTTCAACATTTTTTTCTTTAGCATGTTCCATGGCCTCGTCAATGCAAAATTGAAAGATACCTAAATTTTGGAATTTAGTGAGAAAAATTTTTTTATTAACTACCTGAGAGAAGAGACTCGGCATCCGCTGGAACATCCTTGATCATGAATTTTGAATAAGTTTTGGTGACATTGAACTTTTCATTATGCCACATTGAATCATTTAATCTTTCAACATAGCGTTCTGCGTTGTAACCATCCCCTTGTTGGAATCCAAGGAGGTTATCAATCATGAAATTACGGGCATTTTTTGAAAGTTGTTGCATTTTATAAATTTTAGTGATTTTTGATAAATTTGTTCTAATTTTTATTGATTGAGAAAAATGATATAAAATTGTAAAAAATGAGCCTTTTTATAGTCCTGCCCCTTACACCTTTTTATTTTAAAATTTACATAATTTGATTGATCGATTTTTACATTTATAAAAAAGTGAAGCGACGCCTTTTTAAAAATTCAAATTTCATAAGGATGCAATTCCCTTAAGGGAATTGAAAACATAAATTTTGTGAATTTTATTTAGGAAAAATAATATCTTAAAAATGATTGATTTATTTTTTTAATTTTCAAATTATATTTTTAAATTTTGTTAATTATTCAATTCCCTTTTGGGAATTAAAAACAAAAATTTTTATATTTAAAATTCAAAAATTTTTTAAAAATTGATTGATTAATTTTATTTTTAGAAGAATTTTTAAATTTTGTTAATTATTCAATTCCCTTTTGGGAATTAAAAACAAAAATAGTTCTAAAAATTTTTAAAAATTGATTGATTAGTTTTACTATTAGAATAATTTTTTGATTTTGCTAAAATTCAATTCCATTTTAGGAATTGAATAACAAAAATTTTCTGTTTAAAATTCAAAAATTGTTTTGAAAAATTTTTATAAAATTGATTGATTGTTTTTATGTTTTAAAGAATCTTTCAAAATTTTTTAAAAACAATTCCCTAATAGGAATTAAAAAACAAAAAATTTTTTATTTAAACTCAAAAATTGTTTTAAAATTTTTCATTCATTCATTCATTCGGTTGATTTAAAAATTTTTCACTCATTCATTCGCCTGATCATTGTTCACATTTTTATTATATGATAAATTTCATTGATCACTATCCATTTGATCGATCACTCATAACTTAATTGATCACATATCGATAACTTTATTGATCACTCATTCATTCGGGTGATCACTGTGCACATTTTAGTCAATCACTTTCTTAATCAATTGATCATTCGAAATTCACTTGATGGATCACTCATTCACATGATTGATCACTCCATCTGTTGAGTGATCACATCATTATTTTACTTTTGGTTGATATTGATCACTTCATACTTGATTTATCATTCGATCGATATCTTGATCACTAGGTTAGATCAACTCGTATAAATGTAAACATGTTATTTTATTATTGACTTTATTTATAAAAAAAGAAGCGACGCTCTTTTAAAAATTTAAAAATTATTCTGATGAACACTTAATTCCCTTTTGGGAATTAGAGCAAACATTTTAATTAAAATTCAATAACATTTTTAAAAATTGTTTGATTGATTTATTTTTCAAATAAACTTTTTTAAATTTTGCTAGAAAAACAATTCCCTTTGGGAATTTAAAGCAAAAATTTATTCTTTAAAATTCAAAAATTTTTATTTAACAAAATTGATTGATAATACAATGAATATTAAAATTCAATTCCCTTTTGGGAATTGAAAAGAAAAATATTTTAATAACAAAAGAAATGAAAAATTTTAAGTTTTATTCCGGGGGTTTAGAGGAAAATTTTAAATAATTAAAAAATTTTAAATTAAAATAAAATATATTTTTAAATTTATCGTTTGATTTTTGGGAAGAATATGGTTTATAATCTAAAATATATAAGTTAAAATATGTTCTTCTATGTAGTAATCGGTAGTGATCTTGTCGATAGGGTAAATAGCTTAGGTTCGAATATTTTTCAGGGTTTATAATTTATAAAATTAGATTTTAAAAATTTTTAAAAATTAATAAAATAAATTTTAATAATGTAAAATATTAAAGGTCGGAAGGAAAAATAAAAATTTAAAAATAATTAATCATGTTACGAGTGATTGATTAATAAACAACGATTTATGTGGAGATCAAAGAAAACATTTGAAGTCTTACGGACCACTCCCTCAGCCCCTCACTTCATCTTTGAAATAATAGAGTGAAATTTGTGGAAACATCAAAGAGGAAACAATTTGGTCAAAGGGGAAACAATTCAGGATTTTTAACAAGCGGCAAGATCAAAAGGGAAACAATTTGGAATTTCGGGAAACAAAAACAAAGAAAACCTCTCACCCCCCATCGGAATTGCGGTAAGAGGGGAAACATTTTGTATTGTGTCGGCATATCAAAGGGGAAACAATTTGGAAATGCAGAAAGAACAAAAGGGAAACAATTTGGGATTGCGGGAAAACCAAAACCCTTCAAATCCTTTTGGAATTTTTGAAGACTCCTCCCCAAAACCCTCCAAATCCTTTTGGAAAGTCCCCTAAAATCCATTGGCTCCGCCCCCAACCCCTTCAAATCCTTTTGGAATTTTTGCGGACCCCTCCTCATCCTTTAGGAATGTGCGGGAACCGGGGGAACAAACTGGGGGGGATAACTACTGGGGGGGGGGGGGGGGGAAACCGAATAAGTACCCAAAAAATACTCTTGTCATTATCCCCAAAAATCCTTTGTTAATTCCACAAATTGCAGATTTATGTATCTTTTTCTTTATTTTTGATTTAAATATAATTCTCTTTTTTTTTAAATTGTATATTTAATAAATAAAAATTTTCACAAATAAAAATTTTTTTAAAGATTAAATTTTTCATCAAAATAATTTTCTTATATTTTTTTAGTTTTGGATAAGCTCTTTTTTGATTAAATTAAGTGAAACTCAAAGACGTATGACTTTTTTGTTGCAGATATCTTAAGTCTGGTTGGATTTATCGAATCGGGCCGTTCGAGTCTTTTTCGGGCCAAAATTCGAGGCCCGATTCGATCTTTTGAATCGAGCCAGGCCCCATCCCTAATCTTAACTTTTAAATATTCGCGAAAATTAGGCTTCTATTTTTAATTTTGGCGTTCTGTTTATTTTATTTAAATTTTTGCTTTGCCCGCTTTTTATTTTAAAAAGTCTGAAAAAATTTTTTCGGGATCGTTTTTTAATTTTGTTTCGGGCAAAACGCGTACTTTGATATGAAAGAATGGGAAGTTTTTTTCTACGGGCTTTTCTGTTGCTTTCCTTTCCTCGTTCTGTACTGACATTCAAGCAATTTATAAAGAACTACTTTCTTGCATAAAATGAACTAATGATTTTAATTGTAAATTGGTTGATTTTGTACCAAGACGGAACAAGGGGAAGTAAAAGAAAAGTCAGCGTAACAAGTACACAAGAAAAGCCCCTCGCATTCTTCATTATTGTAGTTCCTATCAGAGGTCGGTCGCAATTTCAATTTACAAAAGTTTACGATGATTTTCTAGTTCTGACTTTTGAGCACGGTTTCCAATTTCCGGTACCTTCGTCTGGCCAACCTCTGAATATTTCCGACTGACCTCTGATAATCTTTATTTTCTTATTTTAATTTTTTAGATTAATTTTGGCTAAACTACAGTTTCCGTACCAGGCTCAGAATTGGACGATTTATATGTCATTCGAAAGAGCTCGTCGAGCTGAGTCGAATGACACCAAAATTTTTCAGCGGAAAAAATTCTGAGCCGAGTTACAGACCCCTAAAGTTCAAAAAACCATAGGGGGGACCAAGCTGTTTTCTGGGGGTGAAAAATTCGAATATGCAAATTATACCTCATTCGAAAGAGCTCATCGAGCTGAGTCGAATGACACCAAAATCAATGCAATCAGACGTCATTTGACAAAGTTATGACCGTTTGTTTTAGTCCCTTACACAAGGGTTTCGCGGAAAAAAGTTTTTGCCGCTGCGGAGGAAGCCGGGCATGTCGAGCGGAACGACGGCCGCCGCTTCGCTACGGTCGCCGCGAGCGCAGCGAGCACGACCGCAGCGAAGCACGGCCATCGTGTAGCGAAGACCATGCCCGGCCTACCCTCCGTAGCAGCACAAAAACAGTTTTTCCAGCGAAGATTCTGTTGGTCATAACTTTCTTCAAAATCATCCAATCGAGCTGATTTTGGTGTCATTCAACTCAGCTCGTCTAGCTCTTTCGAATGAGGTATCATTTGTATAATCGAATTTTTGACCCCAAAAATCAGCTTGGTCCCCCCTATGGTTTTTCGATTTTCGGGGGACTGTAACTCGGCTCAGAATTTTTTCCGCTGAAAAATTTTGGTGTCATTCGACTCAGCTCGACGAGCTCTTTCGAATGACATATAAATCGTCCGATTCTGAGCCTGGTACGGAAACTGTAGTTAGGCCTTAATTTTAATAAAAGAGAAAAGAATGATTGGAGAAACTTCACTGGACAATTTGCCAGAAATTGTGGATCCAGAAAATCAAGAAAATTTAGATTTGGAAGAATCTCAACAAGAAGAAGAACCTACTTTAGAAGAACGTTTAACAGAATTAGTCCAAAATGTGTTAAATAAAAGTTGTGCTGTAGCAATTCGTGCAATGAAGGATTTGGAACAAAAATTTTTGAATGATGAAGATACTTTGGAATTAATTGAATGTGCTAATAAATTGGTTTTCTTTTAAAGATTTTTGTTGAAAAAAATTTTTTTCTTTTAAATAGGTGGATACAATTCGTGAAGAAACTAGTCGACAAAATAAATTTGCTTATATTCCTCCAATTCCAAATAATCACTTGGCCAGCTTTTTGTTGTTACGTTTTGAGGAGGAACGCGTAAATATTAAAAAGGCGGCGATTTGTGCTTTTCAGGTTTTTTAAAGAATTTTTGCTCCCTAACCTTCTCTAGTGCAAGAAAGCATTTGGCCAATAACCCTAAAATTAACTTTTCCTTTATGTTCTTGTGCTTATTGTTCATTTATTTGACCCCTTTCTGACTAAATTTGTATATGAATTTTTTTGTAAATAGAATATATTTTGAACAATACCCGCAAAGGTTTGCGGATTAAGAAATTATGTCCGCATGTGTTTGCTGCCTAAAACTTAGTTCGCAAATGTTACGGACAGAAATTTGTCCGCAAGAAAATCCGTAAACCTGGGGAGCCTTTATGTACTACTATTTTAGCTCTGAAGGTTTCAGAGCCAACATAAAATTTCTTTCTATTTAGGCTCTTTTCCCACATCTTGCTGATAGAGACCCAGAGAATGGTAGTGTTACTTGTGATGCCCTAATTACCACTGTTTGTGCTGATCGTCTGGCCAATAAATGCAAAGATTTGGCTTTAGCTGTCCGCAAACAGGCTGCTTTGACTTTAACTCGTTTATTGCAAGAATATGGATTAAATGTTGAACGTTTTCGTTCAACATGGCTTCATGCAGTAATGCACCAAATTGTTGATAGAGAGCCAAGTGTTCAACAACATGCAGCTAAACTTATTTCGGTTTTATTTTTAAACATGCTTAAAGAAGAGAATTTTATATTGTTTTAATAGGAGGTACTTGTGGAGCCATTACTTCGTGATTCTAATGCTAGTGGGGAATTAGTTTGGGTTTTACTTGCTGCTATTGAAGAAGAAGCGGATTTGCGGTATAATTTTGATTTTTGAATGTTGGCAAGTGGGCAAGTCTGGGGATTTCCGGAACTGAACCTAAATTTTTAGAATTTCGATAACAAAGAGTCACAAGTTTAAGAAGTGATCTTCCTTTCTCCGATGAATTCTATTCTGAACCGACTACCCTAGTTCTGAATGTTATTTAGGATTGTGATTTTTATAAAGTCTTTGTCCGAACCTAAACTATTTTAAAATCCAATGACAGGCAAGGTCCTATATCTTTATTAAAAGAAAAGGCGGATTTGTAGGAAGAAACTTGGGGAGGAAAAAATGGGGTCTGTTGGGTTTAATATTACTTCTTATCGTTATCCCCGCAGAATCCAGGCGCTCAAAAAAGTCTTGTCTTGCCTCTGAAATCTGTTAAAAAATCAGACCTTTCCCAAACCACAGCTCGGATTTAAAAAAATATTTTACAAATTTTTTAGACGTTTATTTCTTCGCACACTTGTCCATCTACACACCGAAAAACTACTTTCTCCTCGTATTGTCAAATTATTGTTTAACCGTGCTTCAAAACAGCCACAACAAGCAAATGCCTGTTGGATGATGTTAAGCGAACTTTCTGCATTTTTAGATGTTTTTTTTTAATTTTTTAATTAAAAGTAATCTTTTTCTGTAAAGGTATCTCCAGCACCGGCAATTGAACATTGGTCTGAACATTTAAATTTGGATGAACAAAATCGTTTAATTGGTTATATGTCAAAAGTAATTGCAAATCGTGCTGATTGTTTAAGTCTGCAACAACGGAATTTTCTCAAGTCAAATATGGGTGATGCTCTAACAAATCACAAGTAAGAGGGGAAGGGGTTTTTTTAATATTTTTAGTTAGGGGTGTATGGGGGGGGGGGTTAGTATCTATACCTATATCGCGGAGTCCCGGAACTCCTTTCAGTGGGAAATGAGATTAGAAAGAGTGAATTTCCTTGCTCATTTTACATTTAGAAAAAAGTATTGGCATTTTTGGAGAAATTTTTTTATTTTTGCGGAGAAAATAATTCTATTAAGTATTACATATGTTTTCAATTCTAGAGTAAATCCAACATATATTAACGCTGTTTATTTTGCATATGCACGAGTTTTGAAAGGCGTAGCAAAAGGAGGTTTGGAATATTTTTTTGTTGAAAATTTTCTAAAAAATTTCTAGGAGACCAACAACTTCAGCAACCTTCAGGCCATGCAGAATTGGAACGTTTTAATCAGCGTTGGTATAGCAAAACTTTGAGAGCTCTCGATAAAACAGTTTATGAGGAAGGGGCTTCTGGAGATGAAATTGTTTCTTTTGAAGAACAAATTGAAGACCATCTGCGTTCTTTTCAATCACCTCCGCCTAATAATAATAATGAAAATCGGGAAAATGTTGTGACTGATAAACCAACGTAAGAAAATTTTTTTTAATATTTAAATTTTTAAGTAAAGACTTAAAAATGATATATATCTTGTTTTCATTTGAGGAGCATTTTGTATAAAGTCACTGCTTTTAATTTTTTTTCATAATTATTAGAAGGCAGATCTTCTTTTAGGGTTTTGGGCTCTTGTGTGGTTTGATATTTTGGTTGTGAGAAAATTCTGAGTTTGGTAAGAATCTTAAAAATATTTGCAGAAATTTTTTAGACCCCCTGAAAATTTTTATAATTTTTTCTAATTTTCTCATATTTTTCAGTGATGACAGATTAATTCGTCTACTTACAAGTATTGGTGAATGTATTCAATATACTCCTGCACTTATCAACAAACGTTTATTTCGTTTATTACAAGTCATTATTGCTTCGGATATGCTTAAAAAAGTGCATGCTGAACATATTGCTGAACAAGGTTTTTTAGAGAAATTTTGTGAAAATCTTAGAAAATTCTGGAATTTTTTTTCTAATTTAGGCACCACTGTTCTACCATCAACTGTCATGTCACCTTCAAATGCTATGTCAGTAATGTCACCTAACACTTCTTTCCATACTGAACTTCCAGGTTTTATTTGAAATTCTTCAATTAAAAAAATCTTTTGAGGTGCCCCTTCAATTGCGCCTTCTCAATGTTTTGGCAGTCCAACACATACAGTTTTTAGTGGTGCGCCTGGATCTACTGTTCCAAATCCTTATCAAATACGAATTAAAAAACGAGTATTTCATTGTAAGATTTTTTAAAAGATTTTTGAATTTTTCAATTTAAAGGTGAATTGATGACCCGTCGTGTGCGTGCAACAGCTGTTCTTACATTGGGGAAGCTGTGTTTACAGGTTGGGAAAGATTCTTTTCTTTGATGACTGTTCTAAAATTTTCTGAATTTTTAAAAATTTTCTAAAATTTTTAGAATTTTTCAAAATGAATTTTTTTCCTTAGGATGAACAACTTGCCAAAAAATGTATCCCAGTATTTATTAGAGAATTGAAACAAAATAGTGATCATTTTGTACGAAATAATATTGTTGTTGTTGTTTGCGATCTTTGTATTAGGTTCATTTTTATTTTCAAATATTAAAATTTTTTTCAATTTTCAGATACACTTCTTTGGTTGATAGATACAGCACAATATTAGCTTCGAGTCTTCGGGATCCTTCAATTCTAATTAGACGTCAAACATTAATGCTTTTGACAAATTTGATTAAGGAACAATATATGAAATGGGAAGGACCGGTTTGTTTTTTTTTATTTTTGATGGGATGATTCGGCGGTACATTCATATATGTCACGGGCCGAAATTCAATAACGGAAATGCGAGACCCGTGCAATTCTTCGATGTGAGGCCCGATCAAAAAAATTTTCTAAGCCCGACACGAAATCCTACCCGATTTTATTCTGCACGTGCTATCTCTATGTTACTTACGGTTCAATTAAAATAGTTGAACATTTTGGGACATAAGGGATTGGAAATTTTAATAATGTTTTAGTTCAGTTACGCCTTAGGTTAACGACGTGGTGATTGGATATATGTATCAGGGATGGGTCAGGGTTTCCGTGAACCGTGAGCTGAAACCAATTTTAAAACCTTTTCTTAACCTTGCTCATCATCCTTGAGTGTACCATTTAAAAAGGGAAATAATTTTTAAAAGTTAATTTTTTAAAGATTATTTATCGTTATGTAACAACATTATTGGATCATGATCCTTGTATTCAGGAATATGCTAATTTCTGTTTGGTATATTTTTTTAAATTTTTCAAAATCTTTTAATTTTTAGACGGACATTCTTCTACCTCAATTTCGTGAGCGAATGTTCTTCCACCATTTTCTTGAGTGTGTTTTTAGTTTTAACCAAGTTAAACATCCATCACATATTAAACCAATTTATGATGGTATGAAAGTTTTATTTTAAAAATAATTTTCTACTTTAAAGATGGCTTTGAATTACATTCTGAAGTAGATAAACAATGTTCTTTGGAAGGTCGCCAGAAGTTCAATGATCGTTTACGTCTTTATAAATATATGGTTTGATTATCTATAATTGTAGTTGGTCCTCATTTTTAAATATTCTCAAAAATTGGGTACTCCTCGGTTTAGGATGCGTTTTTTAATTTTTGTTTAGTCTTCCATGGGATGAGATGCTTATTGTTAGGCTATACCCCTATTTTATATTTGGGTAAGACCGTTTTACTAACCCTCTAATTCTAATTGATAAGGTTGACCCTCGTTATAAGGTACGAGGAAGCTGTTTTATTTTCTTTGGTTTGGTTTGTATCAAGACACTGGCTTTGACGACCGGCCGCCACAACGATTTCTTTAGTCCCTAAAGATGTATTTCTAACATGGATGGGTCGGGTTACTCGAAAATCCAATTCGAAGAAAATTTTGAAAATCCGATCCGAAACCCAATCCTACCTTTTTATCAACTCGGCTCATCCCTGATCTATAAATTGGGTTCGACTATAATATTTAACGAATTTTTTTTAATTTTTAGTTAAACACATTTGAAGATCATCAAAAAGTCTCTATCCTCGAAAAAATTGGATTAGAAATATTTGTTCCAATTGTTGAAGGAGGAATGCTTTTATCTGAAATAAATGTTCGTTCATTACTTTTTGATGCTTTAAAAATTATGCAAACATCTGAAATTAAATTAAAAATGCAATTGGGTAAATTAGATGTTGATTATGAAGGTGATGATGAAGAACCACCAGAATTGATTAAGGTTTGGAAATTTTTAAGAAATTTTTATTCTTTTGTGTCTTGGCCTGTCTGGGTGCCATACAGTTGTTTGTTGTATTTTCTAGGATGTGTTCAGATTTGGATCCTTTTCATTCTTTAAGTCTTATTGGAAAATCTTTAGATATTTGGAGCTGAATCAAGGAACCGAACCGAAAAATCCTTGTTTCTTCGATTCCCTTTAACAGAACACCCAAAAATTCATCAATACTGTCAAAGTTCATATAAGCTAACGGAATGATCTTTCGGAACGACTTAAAAAATCTTACTTAATCTAAGAAACTTCAAGAAAACCCAACATAAAACTCGGTTGCATAGACTAGAGACTGGACCGAGGCTAAATCTCGAACAAAATTCTTCGAGATATCGATCTCGTTTCTTATACGACTCTCCCGGTCCTGTCTCTCCCATAAATAAATGGGCTTTTTCTTTTTTTAGTCAGCAGCTCGAAAATTTATTTCAACAACATTCCGTAAAACAATTGCTGAAACAGTTATGCCACACTTATTTGCTCTTAATGCATTTTTACGTGAAAAAAGAAGTCCGTTGACTGAATATTGTTATGGCGTCATTCTGTAATTTTTTTTGAAATTTTTTTAAATTAAAAATTTTTTAAAGAGAAATTTGTCGTGATCATCAAGAACAGTTGGACGATTTTTTGGCTTCTGATCCACAATTAAAAGCAGAAATTCGTTTTGATTTGCGGCAAACTGCTGGTGGAGGTGGACAACAAGGACAACAGCAACAAAAAGAAAAGGAAAATCGAAATAATAAAAGGGGAGGAACGCCGAGAAGTGAACAAAAAAGAAATCGAAAACAACAAAAACAAATGCACCAACGTTCATTTTCACAAACACCTGGACGTGAAAGAAGTGTTGATTAAAAATTAATTGAAGAAAATTGATGAGAGAAGTTATTTATTTTTGAATAATGATTGTCAGGTAACGCTACTTATATTTAATTTTTAATATTTTGAAATATTTTTTGGAATTGTTAGGTCGGTTCTTAAAAAAAGTTCGTTTTTTGTTATTGCATGTTTTTTGGGCGATAACTGTATCCTATTTAGTCTTATCCTGTATACCCCTTTAAAAAATCTGATCTCATTTCTGATGCATTGTACTGCGTCTTCAGTCTTGTGCCTGTCCCGTAAGAAAATTTGTAAAGACATGAAATGAATTATTCTGATAGAGTAAGAAGGGTGGGATATCACTTTCCAATGGGATATAAACTTGCATCACTTTCCAAATTTAAATCAAAAGACAAAAATCGAAAGACAAGAAGAATTAAGGTGCTCCTTTAAGAAAATAATACTTGAAAAAACTGCAAACTAAATTAAAACAAATATTGAAAAAATAATTTTAATTCTAAAGTTAATAAAATTCAAAAATGTGATAAAAAATTACAAACTTTTATTTGAATTTAAATCAGATACATAATTTTATTGATAATTATGTTTGAATAATAATTTCAATTTAACAGAACAAAGTGTTGTCAAAATGTTACCAACATTTATTACAACAAACACGACTACAATTAAAAGCAATTTTATTGCCCTCGATCTTGGAGGAACGGGCTTTCGAATATATATGTTTGGAACAATAGGCGAAATTATCCATAAAATAGTCACAAAAATTCCTGAAAATATGAAGAAGGGAAGCATCGAAAATTTAATGTTTTTCGTTGCCGAATCACTGACAACTTGTTGTTTTTACAAAACTTCAATACAAAGTAAATCGATTGCGGTGAATCTTATAATAACAAGGCTCAAAATTTACTTAATTGGCACAGCCGGGGAAGAAACTTGCTTGGGCAATTCCTGAACAAAGGAAGATAGGAAATGTTCAACATTTGTTTCGAGTAGAATATCCTATCTTCCTTTGTTCAGGAATTGCCCAAGCAAGTTTCTTCCCCGGCTGTGCCAATTAAGTAAATTTTGAGCCTTGTTATTATAAGATTCACCGCAATCGATTTACTTTGTATTGAAGTTTTGTAAAAACAACAAGTTGTCAGTGATTCGGCAACGAAAAACATTAAATTTTCGATGCTTCCCTTCTTCATATTTTCAGGAATTTTTGTGACTATTTTATGGATAATTTCGCCTATTGTTCCAAACATATATATTCGAAAGCCCGTTCCTCCAAGATCGAGGGCAATAAAATTGCTTTTAATTGTAGTCGTGTTTGTTGTAATAAATGTTGGTAACATTTTGACAACACTTTGTTCTGTTAAATTGAAATTATTATTCAAACATAATTATCAATAAAATTATGTATCTGATTTAAATTCAAATAAAAGTTTGTAATTTTTTATCACATTTTTGAATTTTATTAACTTTAGAATTAAAATTATTTTTTCAATATTTGTTTTAATTTAGTTTGCAGTTTTTTCAAGTATTATTTTCTTAAAGGAGCACCTTAATTCTTCTTGTCTTTCGATTTTTGTCTTTTGATTTAAATTTGGAAAGTGATGCAAGTTTATATCCCATTGGAAAGTGATATCCCACCCTTCTTACTCTATCAGAATAATTCATTTCATGTCTTTACAAATTTTCTTACGGGACAGGCACAAGACTGAAGACGCCGTACAATGCATCAGAAATGAGATCAGATTTTTTAAAGGGGTATCCAAAAAAAGGAGTATTTTGTTAGGATGTTTAGGTAGCTTTTTTATCTGTTTGATTTTAATTGAGATATTATATGTACCTATATATATTTTTTGTTATTTTTATTCTTGATAAAAAAACGACTTTTATGAACCGGCCTAATAAAAATTTGTGTCTGTATTATTTTCTGATTTGAAAAAATTTTAATTTTTGAAAAAAGTTGTTTTGTCGATTCGCAACCAAAAAACAGGATCTTGGCTAGGTTCTTGATATTCGAAAATTTTCCAAGAATCAACAATTGTCGTCCAAGACTGTTTGTTTTGAGCCATGTTACACGACTTCCTGTCGGGGTTTTTTGGTCATAGGTTAAATTAAAGTCTTTGTCCTGATCAGAGACTGTTTTTTAAAAATTAGTCCTATGTGGGGTAAAATTCGAAAAGATTTTTCCTTTTGAAAACCTTTCAAAATTTTTGAGTTAATTTTTAATAATTCCGACTCTTTTTATTAAAAGAATATATTTTTAAATTAGACGGTATTTCATTTTTTGTACGTATTACGCTCCAATTCTTTTTTTAATATTATTTTTTTATAAAATATTTAAAGAACTGTCTCTTCTCTCTTTTCTCAATACAAAAAAAAAAGAAATTATTTTCTTCAAATTTTTTGACTTTTTCAAATTATAGGAGATCTTTAATGAAAAAAAAGATTTTTTTGTTTTGATGATTTTAGGCAATTAGTAGGTACATTAAAAAAGTCTTTCTTTTCTATTTTCTTCAAAAATTTATTTTTATTAAAAAATATTTTAGAAAACCATCAAATATAAGTTAACATTTCTGGAAGAGAGCCATCCCTTGAGAGTTTATAACCGAGAGACGTTTAAAGTGCTGTCATGGAGTTGCTCTCTTCAAGTGGAGTTAACATTGATGACTTAAAAAATTTCTTTTCTTGGCTTCTCTTCAATTAAATTTTTATTTTAATGTTTTTCTATCCTCCTCTTATAAAAATATTTTTAGTTTCTGTCTTACCTTTTAAATTAAATTCATGTTCCTCCTATACTTAGTGAAGAAATTCCAATCAAAGAAATTCCAGCTTTCTATTAATTCTTGGACGCTCATACCAAAATTCGTACCTCGTATCCATACTTGGTGCGAACTACAAGTACGAGCAAAATAAGAATTTCAAAACGCTGCTTTCTATCCATCCTCTAGAAACCCCTTTTTAATGATTTTTTTCTAAAAATTAAACACAATAAAAGATTAAAATTCTATCTCTCCTCTCCCTCCTCATTTATAAGCATTTTTAAACAATTTTCTCAATTAAAAAATTAATTTTATCCATCACAAAAACTTCTTTTTTTTAAATATTTATTAAAAATTACTTCCTTCTCTTTTATTCTGGAAAATTGCGTTGGCGGTTCATTACAAGTAATCCTCTCTTTCCAAAACGGGGTGGGCCACGAGGGCGATATAATTTCTTCCCTGAAAATAATTTATTTTTGGAACTATCTATTAATTTTATAAACTTACAAGGAACAACAATTTGATCATCTTCAAGGACATCTGAAAAAGTTGAGGTTAAAAATGGCAGGTGGGGGGGGGGGAGAATTGGGGTTGTTGGATCTTGTGGGAAATATTCGAATATCACGAATATCAGTAATCCGGACTTTCCTAGGATCCAAATATAATTTCCTTCAATCTATAATGTAGAAATGGATCTTGGGAGGAGAGATGGTCCTTGGAAGGATAGATGGTCCCTGAAAATAGAGCTGACATTGGAAAAATAGATGGTCCTTCAGTGGCCCTTTAAAGATTCCAAATGGTTCTTGAAAGTCTTCCAATGGTGCTTGGAAAGTGTACGATAACGAAAATTAGTTTGTAAATGCCCCTCTTAATGGACGGTTCTTTTGTTCAATATCTCTGGTCGGTACAGAATATTCTATCTTTTGGCGTTAAAGGTAATTATCCCATTTTATAAACAAATTGCACTAGTAAAATAAACACAATTTGGCTACAAATTAATTAATGCATAAAAAATAATTTGCATTAATTTTTTCCTTTTTCATTTTTTAATTTACCAGTTTCCATTTCTGACGCTCCTTGTAAAGCTGAAGTGCCATCAAAAGTTAGTAGAATTGATATTACTAGGAACCAGACAAATAAAAGGGTAAATATTTGCCGTTGTGAGAAGGGTAAAGTGTTGTTGTTAAATGGTTGCATTTTTCTGTAAAAATTTTTCAGATGATGGTGTTAATAAAAATTTCTGTGTAAATTTGTGGGTAGATAATATTTTTGAAGGAAAAAATTTTTTAAGAGTAATAGGAAGGGACCGAAAATATATACTTAACCGCTCCCAATATAGTTTTCTCTATGTCTGTTTTTCTGGGAGGGTTTTAAATATCCAGGGTCTGAGTAACTCAAAAAATTTTTTTACAAATCTTTTATCATAAAAGTGTACGAGAACGAAAATTAGTTTGTAAAAAATTTTTCAGATGATTGTGTTAATAATGCCCTATCTAAATTAATGCCCTATCTAAATTCTGTTCACTAGCATCGCAAGATCGAAAGTCCAAGAGATACTGAGATATTACTTTTCTCTTAAGTTATTCCATCTATCACTAATATTTCATGTCCCTTCAAGTTTTCAGTCATCCTAACCCCTTTTACACACCTCAAGTTGTTGGAATCTCAAGTTATCTTGGAATTAGCCCGATTAATAGAGAAAAATAGTCTTTACCTTTTTTTAAATTTTTTGTGTCTTAAAGATTAACTTTGTGTGCTTCCGTTTGCGTGTAACAGTTAAGTTTACTTGAAAATGAATTGGTGAAATGATGATGGTTTTGGCTGAGCAACTTAGCCAATTAGCCAAAAGGCAAAGATGGCCAAAAAAAGGAAGAAGAAAAAACGAGTAAAAAAAAGAAAAGCGTTTTTCCATCACCTTAATAGTAAAAAAAAGTTTTTAAAGTTGGGTTTATAGCCCGCCCCTCTTAAAAAATTGAGGGAAAAGTGGGAAAGTGTTTTTATGTTTTTTGTCTTCCAAAATTGGGATTGAAAGGAGGCTTATGACGCCTTTTTAAGTTTTTAAGAGTTTTCTTCTTTAAAAAATAATAATATTGGGAGGAAGGTCGTTTAACTTAAAATATATTTTTAAGTACGTGTATTTAATGAAGTTAAGTAAAAAAAGAGGGAGATATAATAGTACTGATAATTATTTTTTGTTGGCAATTTTTATAATGAAAATGAGTATTTTTCTGGATATTTTTGGATATTTTTAAAATGTTTTGTCTCAAAAATTGGAAGTTGAAAATAACTTTAAAATAAGACGATTATGTAATTTTTTTAATTTACAGGTACATAAAAAAATTTTTTTTTGAAACTAATCAAGACGCAGTTCACAACAATAGGTAAAACTCGCTCATGAAAACATTGAAAAATACATATTGTTTTTGTATGTTATAGACTGCGAAATAACCGAAAAACAACATAAATGTGCTCAAAAGGCGGAATTAAGACGTTTTTTTGAGATAGAAAATTCCAATATTCCGGCGCGGGTTCGATCTCGCGACCCAAAATTTTCCAATTGTCAATTGTATATTATTTGAAAGGACTCCTTGAGCTAAGTAGATTGATACCAAAATCAGCTCGATTCGACGATTTTGAACAAAGTTATGACCAAGTGAATTTTCGCTGGAAAAACAGTTTTTGTGCTCGCAGCAGAGATGCACGAAAATAAAATTTCGCACTCAACGAAACGAAAACGAAAAAAAATAAATTCGCCAATGTACGAAACGAAAACGAAACGAAAAAATAAATTTCATTTTTGCGAAACGAAAGAAACGAAAAAAAATCTCAATTTTTACGAAACGAAACGAAACGAAACGAAAAAAATCAAAATTATAAAAATGGTAAGTTATCGCCTAATTTTTTCCCCTAATTCACTTTCTATGCCAAATTTACTTTCAAAAATGCCTATTTTATTAAGGTGTGATAATTTTTTCCCATCGTTTCACTAAGATGAAGAGATATCCGAAGGATATAGAGATTAGGAAGGATATAGATATCCGTATTAATCCTTACACATCCCCAATACACTCTTAATACATTAAACAGATACGGATGATATCGGGATAACCTTCATAATTGGATTTCGATCGATATAGAGTGAGGCGAATTTGGAGGGATTTACAGAGATATTGTGGAATTTGGGCGTTTAAAAGGGATATTGGTGAATTTGGGAAATATCGAGGGATTTAGAAATATAGAATGATTTCTCCAGAACAATGGTTTTATCAGAGATTAAAAGGGAAATCAAGGGTTTATCGTTCTAGAAAATTTTTCGGTAGGTATAGATAAACTTTTGCACCCCAGTGTATATCCCCTCCAAAGCCTCGATTTACCCTTGATTTTTCATGATCTCATTAAACCAATGGGACTGAACCGAGCTATATACAAGAGGGACAGTCCATTGATAAGATCTATATTAAAAATACAATCACTAAAGCCTTGACTTTTCATCCATTTCTCAGCGCCGCAGGCGAAAATTTTGAAAATTTTTGATGATCAAACAGTAAACTCTCTTCATTTTTCAGCGCCGCAGGCAAAATTTTTTGAATTTCCAGTTCCTAGGAGAAAAAATTTCAATTTTTGACTTAAAAATATGACAAAATTTGTCTAAAAATATCGAATATTTTTTCGTCATTTTCGTATAAAAATTGCAGTTTACGAAACGAAAACGAAACGAAAATTTATTTTTAATGAAATACGAAACGAAAGAAACGAAAAAAATTATTTTTAAACGAAACGCGAAACGAAACGAAAACAGTCAAAAAATCCACGAAAATCTACGAAACACGAAACGAAACGAAAAATTTTCGTGCATCTCTGGCTCGCAGCATGAATATCAGAACAAAGTTCCTGCATTAAAATGGTGAGACTCAGATGTCCTTTTCCGAATTCAAAAAAATTGACATTCTATCACATTACAGGCTGCGTTGGCATTTTAATAAATTCTTGCCCTATCTACCTTTTAAGGAATCGATCTTCTAATCGATCTTGGCTGCATCTACCTTTTAATTATTTCTAGCTGCGTCAATCTTTAAATCGAATTCTGCCGCGTCTACCTTTTAATTAATCTACCTTTTGAGGAGACGTCCTCGCTGCGAGATGGTTAGATTTTCTGTCTAACCCACCTTGTTTTCTTTTTCTTTTCTCACAAAGAATATGTGTTTCCTAAATGTTTAGATGTTTTGTTTAATTCGATCGCTATTTGGTTTTTCGAAAAGTTGGCTTTTGTATTTCTAATCCAAATTGAATTACATTTTGTATTTTTATTACTATAAAAGCTTTTCTCGCTGAATTGCTGTTTTTTAAAAATTTTTAAATTTATTGTCTTTAGAGAGTGATTTATACATATTCTTTACTATATTAATTTATTTCTTCAAACAATTTTTAATAATGTTTTCGACAGCGACAGCTCTTGTTGAATCAGATGAAGATTTATTGGAGAAATTTGATACTGAACATTTGGATTTGGTATTTTTTAAATAATCTTTTCCATCAATTTTGTTTAATTCAAGGTTAAGAATCGTTTAAATGCTTTAGAATTAAATAGTGAGCAGCTTAGTCAGATTATGAAGCTTTTACAGTTTGATTTAACAGAAGGATTGAAATCAGGTTTTTTTGATAAATATTTCTGAATAAAAGTTTCAATTTAACAGAACGAAGTGTTGTTAAGATGCTTCCGACTTTTGTTTCATCAAATAAAACAACTATGAAAAGCCAGACAATAACCCTTGATTTAGGGGGAACAGGGTTTCGTGTATATTTAATCGATTCAAACGGAGAAATTATTCATGAAACGATAGTAAAAATTCCAGAAAATATCAAGAGAGGGACTGAAAATTTAATGTCCTTTATTGCCAATTCGTTAAAAAAATTTTTCATCAAATACAAGTTACCTCTGAACAACAAAATGCCTCTAGGCTTTACTTTTTCTTATCCGTGTGTCCATAATGGGCTTACTTCGGCTTCACTTATGAGATGGACCAAGGGATTTTCTGTAAGTTCTCTTTTCAATAACGAATTTAAAAGTCACTCACTTTTAGGCTGATGGTTTTAAAGACAAAAACATTGTACAAATGTTGCGTGAAGCTTGTAGTTTAGAACAAATCCAGCTTGGCGTTATTACTCTTATTAATGATACAGTGGGCACTTTGCTCGCCTGTTCTTTGGTTAATGGCGATTGTTCAGTTGGCTTGGTGGTGGCTACTGGATTTAACATTGCTTACATGGAGAATGTTAAAAGTGTTCCAAAGTTAAAAAATCATGACAAATTAAAAGGTTTATTTTTTACTCTTCGATGTAAATTTGAAAAAAATTTTATTTTTAAGATTATAAGGAAATATGCATTAACACAGAAATGGGTGCTTTTGGAGAGAACGAAACAATTGAACCTTATCGAACCGACTTTGACCGCCTTCTTGATACAAATTCAATTAATCCAAAGGAACAGATTTTTGAAAAAATGATATCTGCAATGTATTTGGTGGGTTTAAGATTTTTACCTTTCATAAATGTCGGTCGCCTTTAACTTATTTTTGATATTGAAAATATGGGTAAAATTTTAATAGGTGGGATTGTTTAAGTCTGCACGGGAAATTTTTTCAAGTTGCTAACCGACATTTGCGCACTTTATAATTTTTACTTTTCCACTTATTAAGGGCGAATTAATGCGTCTCGTTGTACGTGATTTATTTGAAGCTGGTATGATTTTTAATGGAAAACCAAATGCGATTTCTTTGCTTGAAGGACAAGATTTTTTTAAAACTTCTAACATGACTAAAATTGCTGAGTATGTTTTTATTCTTGCTTTTTTTTGATCATTTTATTTTTAAGATACAACCGGAGATATGAAAAACGTCTTACAAAAATTCAAAGTTTAATAACAGGTTAAGATTTTTTGATTAGATTTTAATTGGGATTGTATAGGGGAAATTTATACATCCCATTTTGTAGGGAAGTTTATAAATAGATGATTTCTATTTATGATAGTTTCTTTTATTTGGTAGAGGGTTTGCGGCACATGATAGGCGTGTTCCAAAACAGATTTTAAAAGGCGGAACGCGAAAGTCAATTTAAAAATTGAACGGCGAAGGGCAAAACTAGTCACCTTTAAGCCGTACTCTCCTTTATATTTGTGTCAGCAACTAATTTTAATATTTTATTTTAAGTTGATATTTCACCCACCTTTACTGACTGCGCTGTATTATCTCATGTTTCGTCATTAATATTTTCTCGTTCGGAAATGTTGACTGCTGTTGCTTCAGTTGGTGAACAAATAAATACACAACAAATTATAATTGGCGTGGATTTTTTTGATTGAAAGATGTAAAATTAAAAGAAATGATACAGGTTTTGACTTTATAATTTATGCAGGTCATATTATTCTGCGTTCAGAAGTACATATTTTTAAAAAAACTTTATCAAAAAACCAATAAATAACTCACCGAATTTACTTCTGAACGCACTTAATTATCGATCCACACAAACCTTAAAGAGTCTCAAAAAAACACAAAACATAACCAGCACTAAAACAACCCAAAAAAGTTCTTTATCCTGTTTATACTATAACTGTCAATCAATTAAAAATAAAATTCACGAATTGGATCTTGAAATTGTCCAACAAAACCCTGATATTTTATTCTTAACTGAAACATGGATAAATTCTAACGAGAATCCTCTTATGTATCTTAAATCAGCTTCTCTCTTCCAAATAATTACTGAGAATATAAACCAATCTTATAAAAGTAGAGGCGGTGGTGTAGCTATGCTTATTAGAAACGGAATATCATTCAGACACATCAAATGTAAAAAAATTGCTGGCATTGATGCATTAATTATTGACGTCTCTACCACTCGTTTTAAATATTATATTAGGTTAGTTTTAGTTTATAGACCACCTTCCATCTCTAATCAGTCTACACAGTCCCTTATCAAAGTTCTTCAAAAAATTTCTGAAGGTAATGTAGTCATTATAGGGGACTTTAACTTCAATAAATCTTATATAAACTGGAGTGATCTTACAGCTAATAATAGTATCGGCAAAGAATTTTTAGAATTTACATTAAATTTTCATTATTCAAATCTTATTCTCGATCCAACCCATTATAAGGGTTCAATCTTAGATCTTTTGTTGACTAACAATTCTAGTTGTATTACATCTCCCTCTTCATCTGCTGGACTCTCTACTTCGGATCATTTTTCCACTAAATTTTCGCTAAACATACAACGGCCCAAACCATCAGTAAAAACCTTTAGAGATTATAAAAATATTAACCTTCTAAACGCTCACATTGCTAAGGAATTCAATCACCTCTATGATATATTTTTTATATCAGATAAATATAGTTTCTTTGTAAATTTTATTCTAGAGTTGAGTAACATCTATATTCCTATACGATCACTTACTATTAAGCCAAACGTAACAATCTATCCTAAATACATCAAACGTCTACTTGCCTCTAAAAATAAAATTTTCAAGGATCTTAAAAATAATAAGATACACCCATCTCAATATTTAAAATTTTGTAAAACAGTTAAACACATTATTAATAGATATAACTCAACTAGAATTAAAAAACTAGTCTCAAGCTCTCAAGGAATACACAAATTTATGAAAAGATTTACAAAAGGTCATTCTCCAATCCCTTATTTAGAGCATAATGGATTATATACTTTTGAGGATAAAGCTAAATGTGATTTATTTGCCAGAGCTTTTGCTCCATCATTTTCAAATGTACCGATTCAAAACCATCCTATTTTACCTCCGTCAAATTATCCATCTCAGCTTGATGATATAGATTTTACGCTTATAGATGTTGTTAATATATTAAAGTCTCTTCCTCCAAAAGAAGGTGTATCATCAGACGGAATTAGCTATAAACTTTTAAAAAATTGCACTGATTCTATTGCACCATTTCTGGCAGACATATTTAGGGATTCATTAGATTCTGGCGTTCTACCAGAACCTTGGAAAATATCTTTTATTACCCCAATTTTTAAAAAGGGTTCCGAATCAGATGTTTCAAATTATCGCCCAATTGCTATCACATCATGCATATGTAGAGTCTTTGAGAGATTAATTTTACAACATATTTTAGCACACCTAGAGACAAATAAATTTATTAGCGACCAACAGTTTGGCTTTTTAAAAAAGCGCTCGACTGTTACCCAGCTTCTGTCATCTTTTGACGCATGGTATAAAGCTATTTTAAATAATAAATGTATTGACTGCATCTTTATAGACTTCAAGAAAGCTTTCGATAGTGTTCCCATAAGATACCTCATTTACAAGCTCTCTAATATAGGCATTAAGGGAAAACTCCTTAACTGGATTTCAAATTTCCTCTCTAACAGAACAGCTTTTGTAAAAATAAATAACAATTATTCTGATCCTATTCCTATTATGTCGGGTATACCGCAAGGAACGATAATAGGCCCAGTATTGTTTTTAATTTATATAAATGATATTATCTACCGAATACCTTCCCCTGCAAAAACCATGCTTTTTGCTGACGACCTAAAAATATTTTGTGAATTTTCAGCAAATAACGATAATGCCTGTCTTCAAGAATCACTCATTAAAATTGAAGAATGGTGCTTTGATTGGGCATTAGATATCTCTTTGAATAAAACATGTACTTTTCATATAGGCAAAAATAACCCTAGAAAGCGCTATATCCTTTTTGGCACTATTTTACAGACTGTATCTTCCGTTACAGATTTAGGAATCACCTTTTCAGATAAACTCTCATTTGAAGCATATCTATCTAAAATCATTAAAAAGGCTTACCATCGTTCTATTCTTGTTCTTAATAACATTAGTTCATCTAATCCTAAGATTCTCTCTTTAGCCTTTAAATCATACGTTAGGCCTATCCTGGAATACGCCTCCATAATATGGAGTCCTAAAACAAAAAAACTTATTCAAAAAATAGAACAAATTCAAAAGTGGTTTACAAGGATTGCTTTAGCTAAATGTAAAATCCCAAAAATGAATTATGAAAATAGACTAAAATTTCTTAATCTAGAATCTCTGGTCCTAAGGCGTACTTTATATGACCTTTCAACAATCTTCAGATTAACAAAAAATTTTACACATCTTGATCCAACTTGTTTTGTTGAGTTTTCCACGCGTCCTATAAGAAATAAACATAATCTACAATTACGAGTTCCTAAAAAGATATCAAAGACTGAGCATTGGATTATAAATAGAACTATAAACTTATGGAATGTTCTCCCTATACAGATTATTAATTCTCCAAATCCCAAATCATTCTGGATAAACCTAAGGACTTATTTAATACAAAATCAAGATCTACTTAAGGACTTTATTGGCCACTTTTAGTGCAATTAATTTTTATGTTTTTTTTGAGACTCTTCCGTCCTTTTTAATTTTGCTTACAAATTAAAGCATTTTTCTTTCCTCTGTTTTATATGTTTTATGTAATTTATTTTTTAATTTTAATTTTACAATTTTTTTTTCATTTTAAGGCATTTCTAATTTTTGACTTTGGGTAATATTATTTTTTGCCATTTCTTACCATGACAAGCAAACGTCAATATTCTATTGGAGGAAATTCTAATTATATGGAGGACTCCTCCACAAATTAACCTCTGACTAAAAAACAACAATTACTTAATTCCATTTCATCTTTTTAGTTTAACTATGATATACATATATGAATTTCCTCCATCATGTTTTTGCACACCCATGTAAATTTTCATAGTAATTATTAATTGACTTTGTTTTTTATGCTTTGACATTCCTTTTTTGTACTAAATTTAAGAGACGTACTTGTTACGCCCATTTTAGTGAATAAATTATTATTATTAAAAAAAAAAGAATCGAAAATTGAGTGTTTTAGCGATAAAAAGGTTTCTAATTTATTATATATTGTTTTAATTTTAATATTATTTTTCAGATAAAAGTTATCGATACACAGCCGCACCCAGTGGAAGAGGTGCGGCTGTGGCGGCCGCACTTCAAGCAAATTCATTGCAATTAGATTCATGCACGATATTTTAGGTTTTGTTACAATTATAAATTTTAACTTATCATTTTTTTCAGGTGTATCCAATTGTCTAATTTTTTAGTCTTTCCAAGCCTTTACTTATTTTAAAGCTTTCAGGAGTGATAAATAAGCACACAGATTTTTTTTGTATTTATTTTTAGGAACCACTTTATGTCTATTGGTTGTATGAGTTTTGCCAGAACCAATTCAATTATTTTTGCCTTTCAATTATTTATTTAAACATTTCCCTTTATCCTTTTTTTGCTATTTTATGTTCATAAGTTTTTTTTGTTTGATGAGTAAAGATAAAAAATAAAATTTTTCTTCGTTTTCTACAGGATTTTTTTATTCCTCTTAATTTATTTTATAATTATACTTGATTTTTAAGCAACAAACAAGTTTTATTGATGAACTTCAAATTTTGACAGAAGAGGATGAACATTTTAAAGGATGAGAAATTTTATCAGGTTAATTTTTAAATGATAAATTTGAACGGACGAAATTTTCGGTTTTTTCTGCTTGACTGAAGAAAGTAAAACTGACAACTCTATTTGGGGATATTGTGGTTATCGCTTTTAAAAATACTTTTTGTGGACTTTCCCATTCTCTGTCAATTTTAAAAAATCAAGTTGTATCTATTTTTTAAAAATTTCTCGAATTGGTTTCTGATTTAAAAGTCTGGGTATTGTGTAACACATAACACATTCCTGCTTTCTTTTCAATTAAAAATAGGACAAAACATCCCTAGAGAAATTTGCAGTAAAGTCCGCAAAAAGTGTCTGCAAAAGTGGGCACCTCTTCAAGTCTTACAATTAAAAATTTTCAACAAATTTTTTCTTTTAATTTTTAAGGTGTAGTAACAAATCAACAACTTTAATGCCAAAAATAAAATTTTTAAGTTTAATTTGTTTGACAGCTTCTTTTTGTTTTTTATTATATTATATTTATTCTACTAATTTTAATGATGAATTACAAATTTTGAGAACTCAATTTGAATTAAAAAATCAACAAATTTTAATTTTGAAAAATGAAATGGCTGTACTTTAGTCTAGCGGACGCGGAAAAAATACATGAAACCGGTAACATTCGATTCGTCTCACCGAGCTAAGTCGAATGGTACCACTCTCCATCTGCGGAAATGCCTACGAGCCGAGATATAGGTCCCCGAAAATCGAAAAACCAAGGGGGGAGTAAGCACATTTTTGGGGCGAAAAATTCGATTTTTCGAATGATAGCTCATTCGAAAGAGCTCCTCGAGCTGAGTCGAATGACATCAAAATCAACGCGATCTAACAAGCTTAGACAAAGTTATGATCGTTTGTTTTAGCTCCTTACCTAAGGCATCCGTGGAGTGTTTGCTGCTGCGGAGGAAGCCAGGCATGCACCTCATCGATGATAGGAATAGGATTATGTTACGAGCCCAGAACCCAGCGACCGTAGACTCCCCGCGAGGCGCGTGCCGCAAAACTCCGCGCGAAGCGCGGAGTTTTGCACAAGCGCCTCGCCTACGCCCCATAGGTTTATGTTGACCATTTTGAGCCTGTTTATCTTGGCTCAGAATCAAGATCTCGAGCTGATTTTGGTGTCATTCGACTCAGCTCGAGGAGCTCTTTCGAATGAGCTATCATTCAAAAAATCGATTTTTTCACCCCAAAATTGAGCTTACTCCCCCCTATGGTTTTTCGATTTTCGGGGACCTATATCTCGGCTCGTAGGCATTTCCGCAGATGGAGAGTGGTACCATTCGACTCAGCTCGGCGTGACGAATCGAATGGTACCGGTTTCAGGTCTTTTTTCCGCGTCCGCTAGACTAAAGTATATCCAATGAAATTAATGGTTTATTTGTTAAAAAAATTAATTTTTTTAATTTAAATTTTTAGATGCTCAATCTCAATTAAATAATTTGAGGAATTCAGAAATTGAATGTAAATCGCATAACGAGGTTCTCTTAGGACTTAAAGGTTTTTTGATATTAAAAAAGATTTTTGTGGGAAGTAAGGTTGGGGGATTTTTGTTGGTAAATACCCGGATGTCCGAGTGCAAGAGACTCGGGTCCGAATATCCGACCTGCATAGATTGGTAAGGAGGCAATTTGGGTATTTTATTTAATATTCTATTTAAAATTTTTTTGTTTAAGTTTTCTGATTTTGTCCGTAAAATATTTGCTGACTAATCTGTATTTTTTTGAAAATCCTCATAATTTTTTTAACGAAAGGATAAATTTTTTTCTCAATTTTCCAAGAAAAATTAACGGTAATTCTTCGGTTCGTACCCCCCTCCTTTTTCCTTCCTCAAAGTGTTAAAAAATGGTCAGTCAGTCTTATGTTACAGAACTCGTCGAGCTGAGTCGAATGACACCAAAATCAACGTGCTTGGACATGGTTTGACAAAGTTATGACATGAAGTAGGCCTAAAGGAGTCGGCGACTTATGTCATAACTTTGTCAAATCTTGTCCAATCACATCGATTTTGGTGACATTCGACTCAAGATGAGCTCTCTAGAATGGGCTATCATTTACATAAATTTGCGTGGCCATGGTTTTTCGCCCCCATGGTTTTTCAATTTCAGGGGTCTGTATCTGGGTCAAATCATGTCGGATTTTTTTGATTTAGGTGTCATTCGACACAGCTCGACGAGTTCTATAACATAAGGCTGACTGACCATTTTTTAACACTTTGGTGAAGGAAAAAAAGGGGGGTACGAACCGAAGAATTACCAATTAACCTCGAAAATATTCCCAATCCACAAAATTCTTTAATTTAAAAATTTTTTAAAGCTGCCGAAACAAAAAATGACCAACAAAACAAGCCTGTAAAGCAAGTTCGTATCCAACCAGCAAAGAATAATAAACATCCAGCAATTAATGCAATTAAGGAATTGGATTTACAACATTCGATTAATTTTAAAAATATTTTTTTTGGTAGGACAAAGAAAAAAATGTTTGGGGATTTTTGCTGGATTTTCTAGCTAATTTTTAACTCCCTCTTTTACTTCCTTTACATTTATTTATAGTCTACCTGTTATTAGTTAATTTTAACGTTTTCTCTTGTTGGGTTTGTGGTTAAATAGTTAAAGTCTGAATTCTTAAGGAATCTTTTTAAAGTTAAGTCTTTTAGCTATGCATTTTGATTTTAAAGGTCTGGGGTTCGTGACCATTTGTTGGAAAATAACTTTTATTTCTAATAAACGTTTGCAAATTTTTAAAAAAATTTTTGTGACTTCAACAAAATCTTTTAATTTTTTTGAAAATTTTTCAAAAAAATTTCTCAATTATTTTGATTCATTTTTAGGATTAACCCCGTCTTACATTAGAAGGAAATTTTGTTCCAACCAATTTATGGATGCATTTTGATTTTAAAGGAGCCCCTCCAAAAGTTTGTTTTCTTTTTTTAAATTTTTTTTTAATTTTTAAAAATTCTTTTTAGCCTTCTTATTTTATTTCTTTATTACCTCTTTTGCAAAATATGGGGTTTAATGGATTACTTATTGAATGGGAAGATATGTTCCCCTATAAAGGAAGACTTGCTAATGCAATTAATGGGGATGCTTACACAATGGATGAGGTTTGTGGTTTTTTTAATTTTTTAAACTGAAAATTGGGTTCCCGTAAATATTTTAAATTTTTTATGTGATGTTTGTTTCCAACCCCTCGCTGTTTACTTCTCAAAGGTTAGAGGAAGGGATCGCCCTATTCGAAACCTGAACTTCTTTCAACTCGAACCCGATAAGAAGAAACTTTCCATAACCCGCTTCGAAAAATTTTCGAAGTCCGCGGCGGCTTTTTCTCAACCCAACACATCTTCATCCCTGATATGTGTCAGTAGATAGATAATTAGAAATATCCATAATTTAGAAAAATTTTAGTTTTTTTCACATTACAAAAAAATTTTTTTATCTCTACCCTCCTAAATTAAAAAAATTTTTTTAATCACTATAATTTTGCTAGACTTTGATCAGTCTCTAAAAATCCTCTGTTCCTCTCGTTCTGTTCCTCTCTATAATTTGTATTCTTTTATTTTATTATCGGTTACATTTATTTTTAATTATATCTTCCTACTTTCATAGAATTTTTCGAATTTCATCTTTTACTTTAAATAAAATAAGTTTATAATTCTGTTCCTCTCGTTTTCACAACTCTATAATTTGTATTCTTTTATTTTATTATCGGTTACATTTATTTTTAATTATATCTTCCTACTTTCATAGAATTTTTCGAATTTCATCTTTTACTTTAAATAAAATAATTTTTCGAATTTCATCTTTCATTTTAAATAAAATAATTCATTTTAAATAAAATAATTTTATAATAGCTTTATTCTTTATCTAATTAAAGGAGAATTAATCCGACTTTAGTAATAAAATTTACGAGAAGAGCTTTTTCAATGTTTTTTATGGTTCCAGTAGCGAATATTGTGCTGAGTCCAAATTTGTGCCTGTCAATTTGTTTATTTTGAACCATAAACCCGAAACCAAGTCAATTCGGGTTAATAATTCGAAATTCAAATTTTCGTCAATTTAACGATTTAAGATACATGATTTTTATTCTCCGACTCAGCTCGACTAGTCGGTTCAGAATATCCCATAAATATAATTTCAGATTTTTACCCCGAATTCGACTATGTCTAATTCGTATCCTGGATTTAGAATAAACAAATTATTTGTTCACATTGTTCTAAGCACACCAGCTACCTAATGTTAAACCTGAGATCGGCGGAAATGCTCTTCTCCGTCATTTATTTCTAAGGACAAGTAACACATTTACCGCGACACTTGTTTTATTTGATTTACTTCGGACTGTTTTGATTTTTAATGAGGAAGCAACTGCAATTTTGTTGCCTGAACTAACAAGGTTGTTTAAAACTTCGGTTATGACTAAAATTGTTGAGTATGTTTTTATTCTTGTTTTCTTAATTATATATTTAATTTTTAAGATTTATATGTAAGTCAGACACCCGTTTGAGAAAATTCAATTTCCAATAACAAATTAAGGTTATCTGTCATTATCCAGATAAAAATAATTTTTTTCCTTCCTATTTATTTGGATTCACAATATTTCGTTCAAATTTTTGTTTAATTTGTTTTTATTCTTCAAGTGCCATCTTTCTAAACGGGTGCCTTAATATGTGCCTTTACTGTATTTGACACCTTCAAAATATTATGAGATTGCTGTCCTAAACTAGAAGAAGAGTTGAGTGGGTGGGAAAAAGAGATGTTTGAAAAGGTTTTTTTAATTTTCCAAGTCTCTAAAATTATTTTTTAATATTGTGAGAGTATTTTATTTCTCTAAAAATATTTTTATTTAAAAAATGGTTTATACTTTTGGAAATATATTCAACGATTTTAATAAATTTTGTGAGGAGAAAACGTCAAAATTTAAACAAAGTTTTTCGAGTTCAAGTTTGTAGTTTTTTAAAAATTTTTTAAAGAAATAGTGAAAAATATTTTTGGCGATTTTTTGACCATTTTCAAATTGACCATTTTGTCCACTTATGTCAGAAAATTTCTATTTAAAAATAGTAGAAGGGATTTGACTGTTTTTTAACGATTTTTTAAATTTTAGATTCGACAGGCATTTTCAAAAGATACTCTCAATCATCGTCTAGTAGTGAAAATAAAGTTTGAATTTTTAATAAAGAGAAATTTAATTAAAAATTTTAGGAATGCCCCGAAGAAGTTAATAATTTAACTCAAAATAAGCTCTCCTTTTCTTCAAATTCTACAGCAACACCTTTACCTTCTTCAACTAGTGGTGTTCCAACATCTAATTTTGTTCCATCTCCACATGGGTCAAATACACAAATGAATAAAATTGAGCTATTGAGAGAGAAAATTGTTAAGTTATTTCGAAAATTTAACCATTTTAAAATTGACCATTTTGGGATTTGACCATTTCGAAAATTTAGCCCATTTTGAAATCTGACCATTTTTAAATTTGACCATTTCGAATTTTTAATGTGACCATTTTGAGACTTTGACCGATTTTAATTAGGAAATTTTCTCATTTGAAAATTTTTTAAGTTTAGAATGAAGCTCTAATTGAAGGACAAAATAACCGTAAAAGAACGGCAGCAGATCAACTATTACAACAAATTGCTGAACATTTTTCGAAAGTCGTTTTGACAGATGGTTCAAGAAAGGGATCGTCAAATGTGGAAGATAATTGTAGTGGTAATCGACAGAGACTTGGGGCTGGTAATTAATTTGACTGTTTTGACCATTTTGAGTTTTTACCAATTTTAAATTTCTAGCAAAATCAACAGCTGGAATGAGTGCTGTGGAATTTCGACGTCGAGGTCGTCAGATGGTTGATTACATAACTGACTATGTGGAGAATATCGAGAATAGAAGGGTAATTTTTCTAAAATTTTTGAAATCTTTGACCATTTTGAGAATTTTTTTTCAATTTTTAATTTTTTCTTAAGGTTGTCCCATCAATTGAGCCTGGTTATTTGAAAGAACTTTTACCTTTACATGCACCACAGACAGCAGAACCATTTGAAAGACTTTTGCAGGACTTTGAGAGTTATATAATGCCGGGGGTATTTTTCAGAAAAATTTTAGGAAATTTTCAAAAAAATTTTTTAGGTCACCCATTGGTCTCATCCCCGTTTTCACGCCTATTTCCCAGCAGGAAATTCTTTTCCTTCAATTTTGGCTGATATGTTGTCTGATGCTTTGGGCGCTATTGGATTCTCTTGGGCTGCATGTCCAGCAATGACTGAACTGGAAATTCATATGCTCCAATGGTTTGGTGAGATGATAGGCCTTCCTGTTGCGTTTTTACCGTTTACAGAAAATGGGACAGGAGGTGGAGTCATTCAGGTTATTATTTTTAATTGTGACATTCTTACAAAATATGAATGGTTTACCATTTTAAATTAAAAATGGGTTTGACCATCTTGCAACAAAATACACAGTTTACCATTTTTAGACAATTATATTTTTGACCATTTTGAAAAAAAAGGATTTTGACCATTTTGTAATAATATACTTGGTTTACCATTTTGAAGCAGATGAGATTTTTGACCATTTTGAACAAGAATTTAGACCCTAAGAAATTTCTTTAATTTTTTTAAAAAACAGAGTAGCGCCTCAGAATGTAATTTTGTCGCTCTACTAGCAGCACGTTTTGAAATTATGAAAGAATTGCGTCAACGTTTTCCCTTTGTTGAGGAAGGATTATTAATGTCAAAATTAATAGCCTATTGTTCAAAAGAAGCCCATTCTTCTGTAGAAAAGGCAGCAATGATTGCAATGATTAAATTGAGAATATTGGAAACAGATTCGAGTTTTAGACTGAGAGGGGAAACTTTGCAGACTGCCATTAGTGTGAGTTTGGAACTTTTATGTGATAACTCGGAGAGGTTAGGGATAAGTAGGAGTGGGATGGGTTGGTGGTAGATGTTAAGGGCGTGTGTTGAAGACGCAAAGAGAGGAACTGGGATAAGTGGGAAAAGAATAGTTAGTGGAGATACAACTCGAAGATGAGTACTTGATCGGGTGGGAAAAATAGAGGAGTAGAAAAAAATGATAGAAGAGTAGCGGTTTTAAGTGGGAGAGATTTATTATTTTGTAAAAAAAATTTTTTTTAAAGGAGGATCGCAATCTTGGACTAATTCCCTTCTTTGTATCAACAACCCTTGGAACAACTTCTTGTTGCTCGTTCGATGTTTTGTCTGAAGTTGGGCCTGTTTGTACACATAATGGTTTGTGGCTGCATGTTGATGCTGCTTATGGTTTTTTTTGAATAAAAAATTTTTTTTAACTTTTTTGAAGCTGGTTCTGCAATGATTTGTCCAGAATTTCGGTTTGTTTATTGAAAATAATTTTTTTTGAAAAGAAAACTTGCGGACAGATTTTGCGGTCTTTTTATATCAAGTCGTCTTTCGATTTTTCTGTGAATAAAGGAAAGAATCTGCAAAAAAACAAAATCCTGAAGAAAAAGTCCGCAAATTTTGTCCGCAAAAGATTTCCTTAAACTTAAAAAATTTAAAAGATATTTAATGGCCGGTATTGAACATGCAATGTCATTCAATACAAACCCAAATAAATGGATGTTGGTTAGTTTGGAGATTTATTTTTAATTTTAATTTATATCAAATTTTTAAGGTGAATTTTGATTGTTCTACAATGTGGTAAGAGGTTTATTTTTAATTTTATTATAAAAAATAATTTTTAAGGGTGAAAGACCAATTCAAATTAACACAAGCATTAGTGGTTGACCCTCTCTATTTGCAACATAGTTGGACTGGTAAGAGAGAGAAAATTAAATTGTTCTACTTATCAAGGATGTCACGGGTTGACCGATCATTTTCAAGGTTAAAATTGACCATTTGACGAAATGGTCAATTTTTCTTCTTGAAAGTTTTTGAAATTTTGAGGGCGATCCGAAGAAATTTTTTAAAAATTTAAATTGAAGCTAGACCCAGCTTTCTTTTCTCGATCCGTGACATTCTTGCTTCATAATAAGGAGAATCCAATGCTAACAATAAAATGGTAAATTTGATTTAAAAATAGGCCAATTTGAGAAAAATGGCCAAGAAAGGTTGTCTATTATTTCTTAATTCCTGCTTTAAAACTCCCAGTTTTTGACGAAGTGGTCAATTTTTGCTTGTTGGACGTTTTGAGAATTTTTCAATTTTCTGATTTTAAAAATTTTTTCGCAGAAAATTGCCTATTTAAAAATTTAATTTATTTTAAAGATAAAGCAATTGATTACCGTCATTGGGGCATCCCCCTTAGCAGACGCTTCCGTTCTTTAAAACTTTGGTTTGTTATTAGAAGCTATGGTGTTGAAGGTTTGCAGCATTATATTAGAGAACATGTTAGACTTGCAAAACTCTTTGAATGTTTATTGTTGGCTGATGATCAATTATTTGAAGTTGTTGCTGAAGTACTTATGGGACTTGTTTGTTTTAGAATGAAGGTAAAAAATTTATTTTAAAGATCTAGGGAAAATTTGAAGTTGAGCTAGAACGACTTTGAGGTCCCGTGTTTATTTTTAGCAATTTTGGGGTTAATCCAGTAGGGCTGTGTCTATAATGTAGGTTGAAGGGTGACTTTTCATTCCTTGTGGACTTTTGTCCCTCTTTTTGGGATTAATTCCATGATATCGTATCCATTTTTGAAAAACTTTGTAGGTACATGCCGTTGTAGGATTGAGATTTTACTTATCTTTGAAAATACAATAGGAAGGATTTTAGGTTTTTAAATTCCGAAAATCGATTAAAAATTCATGTTTAATTTTTATATTTCTTAAAAAAGGCATCGGATGAATTAAACCAACTACTTTTAACAAAATTAAACAGCAGTGGTAGAATACATATGGTACCAGCTTCGTTAAATGATCGGTATTTTTTAGCTGGGGTTTTCATAAAGGATCTATGTATTTTCTGGGGGATTTCCCAAGTTGAATTTTTCATTGATTCAAGATTCTAGAGGACAAAACCCGACCAAAGCAACATCCATATATTTGAAATATAGATGATGTTTTTTAAAAATACCGTCCATTTCGCTTCGCTCATCATTTCATCATATTTTTACCCCCATCTAATGAATCAAATCCAGTCCAAGCCCAATTTCGATTTAAAATCTAAAAAGTTTTTTTTAAGTTTTGTAATTCGTTTTTGTGTATGTTACGAAAATTCAACTGAAAGAGATATTCATATTGCTTATGAAATAATTAAACAAACAGCAATTAGTTTGAGTATGTTTTTGGGGGGTTTTGAGAAGAAATTTAAGAAAATTTTTCTTTAGGAGAACCAATACCCGAACCTATAGCAGAGAATTATGAATTAGAAATGGAAGAAGCTGAACAATATGATCAAATGATGCAGGACAAACAGAAGAATAGAAATTCGCCAAATGTAGAATTGAATAAAAATTCGTCTTTAAGACGTCAATCAATAGGTTTTCTTTTAAATTTTTTTGAAATTTTTACAAAAAAATTTTTTCAAAAGGTTCTACAACTCCTTTACATCCTCAACAACAACCACAAAATTTGGGCAATTCTCCTTTAGCTGTAGGAATTGGAAATGAACAAGCTTTGAGTGGACATTCACCATCTTCTTTAACTTCATCAACGGGATCGGTTTGAAGAAAATTTTATTTTTAAGAGTTTTTCAGAAAATAATTTTTTCCACATCTTTCTTGCACTTTTCCACCTACTTTCCTCTCAAAATGTTACAACTAAAATGCGGCACGTGCGGGATCATGTACAGAACCCATAATCCCGTCCTGAAATCCTAGCTTTTAAGCGACAAACGGGATTAATGGGTTTTGGAGATTAATACCGCAAGATTCCTCCCGTTTGCTTTTTTGGAGCACAATCCAATTACGGGACTGAACTCAATCTCGTTATTTTGCCGACTTTTAAGTACAATCCAAGAATTGTTTTAACTATTACATAAAACCCCAAAATGTCTCAAGAAGCTCGGGTACCAAGGGCGTATCCAGGGGGTCGGTTTCGGGGGGGGCTAACACTGGGTGGGCGCAAAAATTTTTGGCGTTTACCTTGGCGTTCCGGACGCAAATTTTTTTGTACATAAATTTTTATCTTTTCTGCGCCACAGACGAAAATTTTTTGAATTTTAGAAGGCCGTAGGCAAAAAATTCACTTATTCAGCGCCGCAGGCGAAAATTTTTTGAATTTGATGGGCCGTAGGCCAAAAAAGTTCACTTTTTAGCGCCGCAGGCGAAAATTTTGAGTATTTTGGAGCTCAAGAAGCCAGATTTCTTCCATTTTTTGCGCCGCAGGCGAAAATTTTTTTAAATTTGAGGGTTGTAGGCGAAAAAATTTCACTTTTTAGCGCCGCAGGCGAAAATTTTTTGGAATTTGGAGCCCAAGAAGCCAGATTTCTTCCTTTTTTAGCGCCGCAGGCGAAAATTTTTTGAATTTGGTGGGCCGTAGGCGAAAAAATTTCACTTTTTCGACCATCCTTCTCCTAATTTTTTCCCCCTTTCCCCCATTTCGGGGGGGGGGGGCTCTAGCCCCCCCCCAGCCCCCCCTGGATACGCCCTTGTCGGGTACTTCAAAAATTTTTTAAAATTCTGCCTAAATTTTTTTAAAGTTTTGACAAAAATTTTTTCAATTTTATAGGATCGCCGTAGACTACATACTTTAGCTGAAAAACGCTCTTTCCTTGTCCGTATGGTTAGTGATCCAAAATGTTACAATCCAAAAATTGTTCGTCATTTAAATATGAGAGCACATAATCAAACATCTGCAGAACTTTTTAGAGACAGAACATTGAGGTTTTTTTTAAATTTTTAAGGGAAAATTTAAAAAAAAATAATTTTAAAAGACAAGCAATTCAACAAGGAAGTTTTCAACAAAGAAGTAGTTTGGGTGCTGGCACATCTCATGGTGGAAGAATTGGTGGGGCAGGAAAAGCACCTTTTAGCAGTGGAAAATGTTTGTGAAAAATTTTTTATGAAAAATTTTTTTTTAAATTTTTCTATTGGGAAGGGGATAGAATCAATAGAGTAGGAAGACAATTTACAGGAAAAAACCTGTTTTCAAATAAGAAAAAATTTGTTGGGGAAATTCCTATTTTAGGTAGTAATGAAGCTAGGCAATAAAATTCTAGAACCCCTTACCCAAAGGAAATAATTTCTTGAGAATTTTCTGGTTTTTCTTTGGTAAAACTAAAGCCATAAAGTACAGGAGCACCCGTTGGAGACCCAGCGAAAAAATTTCCCTGGCTTTATTTTATTAAATTCTATGACCCCTCGTATTCTCTTTCAAAAAATTCTTATTTTTAGATGCATGTATGAGTATAGATCAAGGATCAGATGAAGATGATTATTCGTCTTTATATTTCCAAAATGATCAAAATATTGGAATTTAAATAAAAGGAAGAGAAGAAAAAAGAAAATATAATAATTAAAAAATTAAAACAATACAAATTTAAAAAATAAAAATTAGATAAATTTTAGAAAGAGGGAATTTTTTAATTTGTTTGAGGTTAAATCCTCTCATTTAATATTTTATTTTGAATTTTCAATTTTTGTTCAATTTAAATATTAGAGTCCGAGTTTTGTGGGCACTAGTGTTCTTCCTCTTTATATTTTGAGACTTCAATGGGTATACCCATTTATTCGCTTAGCAAATAGAAATTGAGAAATAGTACATATTTAAAATTAGGAGAGTGGGAGAGAAAAGAAAAAGTAAATTTTCTGAGAAATTAAAATTTTTTTGTTTTTAAGGGGTTGTTTTGGTAGTTAGGGATCGGAAATTTTAAAAGAAAACGTTGATCTTGATTTTTGGTTGAGAACCTTACCAGCTTCTTGAACTTGGGTCAAGGGAAAATTAAGAGATCGGCCTGGATCCAGATCAGAGATAGGCGAAAATGGAATTTTCTTCTCAACTAAACGAAACGAAAAAATTATTTCCAAGCGAAACGAAAATTTTCGCCCATCTCTGATCCAGATCCAGGACGATCCTTATTGATACATAATCTAATTTTTTTAGACCTTTACATATTCACAGCATTTACAATTTTCCAATTTACTACACTTTCTTTAAATTTTCTTAAAAAATGGATGATGAAGATATGACTGATGAACTAACCCAACAACAAACAACAAAAAAGCCGTGCTCTACTTTATCAAATCAAAATAAAAAACGTAACAGAATTGACCAGTTTGCTGCTATTTTGGCGTAAGATTTTTTAAAGGTTTGGAGGATTTTTAAGATTTATTTTTTAGAAGTAGAACAAAAAGTACAGACACAACACAAAAATCGCAATCTCCTAATAAACTGACTGAACAAGCGACGTCTGGAAATTCTTTAAAATGTTCAATTTGCAAACTTTCAATTCAAAATGACAAAATTAAAGAAGCGAGAAAATGTTCGAGTTGTATGAAGTAAGAGGTTTAATTAATTAAACGAGGGAATTAGATGGGGGTCTGGGGGTTTTCGAATTAATATCGAAGATAGTCTATTGGAATGTTAGGTTAGCTGGATAAGACAGCAATTCCCCTGAAAGCCGTAACTATCCAAAAATCTCCACAAACGAAGAAGCCAAAAATTGACTTTAGGTTATCGAATGGTAATAGAAAAAAATGAAATTAATACTTAAAGTTTCCCATTTACTTTTTAAAGGTTTGTTCATTTTTCTTGTGACAACGAAATGGAAACATTTGGCACTTACAGATGCGTTCCCTGTCGTAAAGGACCTCTTGTTGGTGGAGATGAAATGCTTTCGTGTACAATGCTTCCAGGTTCAAGTTTTGGAGATTTTTCTGATGACGAACTTGGCGGGGTTCCTACAAGCTCTAAAAAATTGGAAAATTTTTTGCAACAAACTACTAACAATCCTTCAACTTTTCCTTCTCAACAAAGTACGAGCGAAAAAACTATTGTTGACCAATATTCAAATGTTTCAACACCACAAGACCCGTCACCATCAACTACAAGTAACAGTATTCGGGGTTCAGAGACTCCAACACCGCAACCTGATGAAATTTATAGTGATAATGATGAATATCAGCCGCCAAGGTTTTCATTTGTTTAAGCGATTTTTGCGGACATAACCAAACCAAATTTCTGCGGACATATTTATGCGGATTTGTAAATATAAAAGGAAAGTCATGTCACTCCCAGTATTGCCCCCAAGCAATTATTTCAACTGTCCGATGTGAGCGTGTGCTTGGTTCAGTAAAAGTATATCTTAAACTATTGAAAATTATGAATGCTCCTAGTAGTCCGCATAAACATTTCCGCAAAAGCAGGTTTGGAATAACCCACCATTTTTTTTATTTTTTAGTTCAAATCGTCGTGTTGAATCTACATCTCGTGGAATGCGAGGAAAATCTTCAAGTTATACATCAGAATATTCACGCCATACGCCAATGAAAACTCGTTCAGGAGGGAAGCCGCCAGTTGTTTCTTACATCTCTAAATTCAGTGAAACTTATGTTGAAGCACCTGAAAAGAAAATCTCAGGCAAGAAAGGACGTGGAAAAGGAGCTAAAGGTTTGTGAAAAAATTTAGTGGCTTTAGAATTTTTTTTGCAAATTTTTTAATACTTCTTTTTTTTGGAAAACCCCAAAAAAGTTTTGGTAAAAATTTTTTTGGGGGGGGGGGGGGAGACTATTAAGGATTATTTTATTACTTGTTATTAGTAGTAGGTTAGTCAATACTTTGCTTTTTTAGGATTTACAACAGACAAGGAAGGTCAGCAAAAAAGTTGACCTGATTGCCTCCCCCATTCAGAGCCATGCCACCTTTCTATGCCTATACAGGGACTACCTATATTAAAGAAAACTTAACTGTTTTAAAAATTAAAAAAGAATTTTCTTAAAGGAAATGGACGTGGTCGTCGTAATACAACAGGAGGTGGTGGTAGAGGTGGAAAATTGGTTAGTATGTATACTACAGCTTTAACAAACTCTTCAAATAAACTAAATTCTCAACAACAAAAAAATGTCTCTGAAGATGGAGGAAAGAATGGAGGAGGAAATTCTTCAACAAAAAATTTGGGAGAACTAAAGAGGGATGATTATATTAGAACAGCAATAGTTACAAGTGTTGGAGATAAATTTATGATTGAATATCCAAATTTGTGTTTAATTTGTGGAAGCATTGGAAAAGGATTAGAAGGTTTTTTGAGGGATTTATGGGTTTTGGGGATCTTTTGGCTCTTGTCTGGTTTATGAGTTCAACCAAGCTTCAAATGTCCAACGAGATTTACACTACAGTTAGAACTTTTCAGATGGCTGGGCCGTATCCAGGGTTTTTTCAAGCTGGCCCGATCGGGGTTTCCTTGCTAAAAAACTGAAAACCCTAAAAACGAATTTTATCAAACTACCAGGTTTTTGGGTTACCGGAAACTCGATCCCGGCCAGGGTTCGAACTCTGATTTATACTCTCACAAACATGTCTGGACTAGTAATTCTTCAGCGAACTCATAAGCTATACCAGGGTCGTTTTTTGAAATTTAAAAAAATTTTTAAAATAGGAACAATGATTTCTTGTATGGCCTGTGCTCAATCTTTCCACACTTATTGTGTTTCTATTCACGAAAAGGTTTTCTTGTATTCTTGTTTTGAAATTTAAAAAATTTTTCAAGTTGAGTATGACAATAATTAAAAGAGGATGGCGTTGTTTAGGATGTACTGTTTGTGAGGGATGTGGAAGTGGGGATGACGAGGTTTGTTGGTTTTTTTTATAATTTTTCGGCATTGACCGCAAATAGTTCTTCCCCAATTCCCCAAATTATTTGGTTAATCAAACCGAAAATTTTCGAGTTTTCAGTTTGAAACTGGTAACTCTATGAGACATGAAATAAATTTTTGATTTTTCTAAATTTATCTGAAAATAATGTTTTGTCTTTGTAAATTATTGTTATTAGTAGTCTTACCAGGTGAAATTTAAAATTTGTTGGGTGCTTTCTTGTTCACAATCTGAATTCTAAGTAATTCCCAAAGTTTTTGCACATGCTTCCTTATGCTCTCTGAAATCCGATCTCTAAACGCTCTTGTATATTTACAGAGATTTTATGGACTCTTGTATCAAAAAATTCTTTTTTTCAATAAAAAAATTTCCTTTTTTTCAGTCCAATTTATTACTCTGTGATGAATGTGACATTTCTTATCATACATATTGTTTGGATCCCCCACTAGATTGTATTCCATTGGGTTCTTGGAGATGTAAATGGTGTTCAGCTTGTATTAAATGTAACAATCAAATAAAAACATCAAAAGGAAAATTACCAACAACAGAATATTTACAACGTTGTGAGGGTTATTGTGAAATTTGTTATTCAATGAAAAAATGCCCAAAATGTTTATGTTTTTATGAAATTGGGGATTTGATGATTAAATGCCAGAGATGTTTAAAGTTGGTTTTTTTGAAAATTTATTTTTGAGTTTGAGAATTTCTGGGAAATTTTCTTGTAATTTTTTTACTGTAAATTTTCAAAGAAAAAATTTTTTCTAAAGGTGGTTCCATGGCCGTTGTGAAGGACATGGAAGTGAAGAATCTGCAGAAAATGCTGCTGACAATGCATTTAGATGTTCATTTTGTAGACCTCAATCTTTTTGTAAGTAATTTTATTTTTCTATTCTCAATATCTAATTTTTTGTTTTGTGTTAACTCTAGAAGGGGTTAATAAATTCAATTTTAAGGAAAATATATAAGACGAAAATTGTTTATACCGTATTTCCTATATTAGAGCCCCATGGGGCTCTAATTTTCAACTATCCTCCAAGGTGGGGCTGTATTAAAGGGTGGGGCTCTAATTGAGGGTGGGGCTCTATTTTTCAACCCTCTTTTGAGATAGAATCCCATTTATTATATCCATTGCAACTAGAGATAAGTCGGAGGGTTTGGTCGATAAAGCCGCAAAATATCGAAAGAGAATCTATATTTTTCGATTTTTCAAGAAAAACCAAAACTTTTTAAGCAATGAATTACAAAATAGTCCCAATAGTTCAATGAGAGTAAGATTAATTATTAAATATGGGTAGATTTGGACGGATTAAAGGAAATATTATGGAACTTTTATTTGACATTGATGGATTAGAGGGATAAAAATGGATTTTAAGGGATTATGGGGAATATCAGAGGATTAAGTTTATATTGAGAGATTTAGAGGGATTATGAGGGATATTCTGGACTAGGGGTATTAGGAGGCATATGAAGGGATTTGTTTGATAAAGCTTTGGAACAGGTTCCAGAACTGGAACTGAAGAAATTCAAATAGCAGTTACGTAACTGAAATCGGTTCCAGAGAAATTTTGGTTAGATATCACTGATTAGATATCTAATAGATCTCTAATAATCTCGCGAATTATCATCAAGTGCCTAACACGATTGCAACCCTTTATAAAATGATTAGATTTTGGAGGTAATAGGAGGAATTTAGAGGAATATAGGCGATATTAGAGTATTTTGACGGATAACGGGATTAATCCCTCATTTTCATCCCTAATCCCCATGATCCCTCCTCCTCAATGATCACGAAATCATAGATATCCCCCTTTATTTCCTTAACTCTCTTAATACATACATCTTAAAAGTTATTCTGATATTTTTTCCTCCAATATTTTTTAGGTGGGGCTGTATTTGGGGTGGGGCTCTAATTGAGGGTGGGGCTCTATTTTTCAACTATCCTCCAAAGTGGGGCTGTATTAGAGGGTGGGGCTCTAACAAAGAGTGGGGCTCTAATATAGGAAATACGGTATTTTGGTTAGTAATGTAGGAGATTTTTGGAGGTGAGATTGCTGGTGCTGGGTTCGAGTCCTTTACGTAATAAGAAAAACCCTTTTAAATTTAATTTTTTGGACTTTTTATAATTTAAATATTTTTTTTTTAAATTTTTCTTATTTTTCAAGTTGATGCTTTAAACATTCCTGTTGTTGTTGACAATGTAATGGTTAGTAAATCGATGGCTGAACAGTTAAATGGTGGAATGAATAATTTCCGTAGACTTGGATTTATTGGTGGTGGAATTAATGAAAATATAAGACCATTGATTTGTGAACAAGGTTTTCTTAAATTAAAAAATTTTTTTAAATTTTTTTAAAGATGATGAATTAACCGAAGAAAATCAACAACAACATTTTCGTGAACAATTTTCTCCCTCATCAATTTTGTCAATGCGTGGGGGACGTGGCGGTGGTGTGTGCAGTACAAATAACAGTATTTATATGAGAGGAGGAATAGGCCCAGGACGTCGAGTTTTGAAATTGGGAGTTGGAGGATTTACTGTGAGACACACAAAAAGTGCTGCTGGAGGAGGAATTAATAGCCGTTCACAGTCTTTTGGTGGTTCTTCAGCTGGATTCTCTCCTCAATTAGAAGATGAACAGGGGCAAATTGAGGATGATAAAAGTTTGGCTTTGTTGAATGCTGGAGTTACTTTGGGTGGAAAGCCGAGAATGAGGCGTCCTAGGAAATCTAGAAGACCACAATTGGAAGATGCTTATCCTGCTAATATTCAGGTTTTTTAAATAAATTATTTTGAAAGGGAAATTTATAGATGAATAGAAAATTGCAAATAGGTATCGATTCTAAAATAAGCAAAGCTTTTCATAATATTCACAAGATTTATAGAAAGTTCCGAAATATATACATTAAGTGCCGTGTCTCAAAGTTCATGGAGTAATGCGTACATAAATCACTACTTTTGACCTTCTCTCGCCAGGGAATTTCCGAATACAAAACGCGAATCTGCATGTTTTGCCCAACCCTGCTATGAGTAATTTTCGCGACTTCAATCCTTCTGTCACTTCTAAAAATTAAAATTTAATTTTAGGAATCATTTTTTGGTGTTGCTGCAGTTGAAAGTCGTTTATTAGCAGAACAAAATGTTGAAGAACCTTTACTTGTTGAATATAATAAAATTTCCTCAAATGTTTTTGATGCTGGAAAAATTGGGACAGAACTTTCTGGTTAATTTTTTTTATTTTGAAGAAAAATAATCCTTATTTAAAGAGCATTCGGCTGAACTTTTACGAAACGAACAAGAAATGGATATGTTAGATGATATTCCTTTAGTTGATGATATTGGTTTGGATATGGAAAGTTTAGATTTTACTGATTTGCTTGTTAATGAGGAAGAAGATGTTGCTATATCTTCTGCTATTGCTGCTGAAAATATTGACTCTTTGGATGGTAAATTTTTATAAGGCTTTAGAAAATCTGCAAAATTTGTCTGCAAATATTTGCGGATTTTTTTAGAAATTTTTAGAAAGTCTGCAAATTTTGTCCGCGAAATATTTAAAATTTCTATTTTTAACCAAAAAATTTTTTAAAGGTTTCAATGCCGGAAGTTCTTCAAGTTTATTAACTAATAATGCTGTTGAAATTTGTTCTCCACCATCAGCGTCAACTATTCGAACACAATCTAGAATGCAACAAAATAATAGTATTGAATCTTGTGTTACTCAAAATGCTTCAAATATTTATCAAACGGTTTTTTAAAAATTTAATTTTTATAATTTTTAAATACTTTGGGTTTCACTACAATATAAGGCACCCACAGATTTATGTGCTACCAGATCGAGGGTTTCCTTATCGTTGAAAGATTGGATTTATTCAGCCCCAAATGTTTTAGCAAGAGCGCTTTACTTTGAGGTTCTTAGAGAATTTCCTAGGAGATTCCCCCTCCTGCACCCCCTCTCATTATAGTCCCCTCACCTCCGACCCATGAATTTTTGTAGTGTTGTAGTGTTGCCTTTTTTTGTAGAGTTGCCCGATTGTATTTTTTTTTGAAAAATATTTTTCTTAGGTCAAAGAATCAACTCCAAAATTAATTGAATATCAAAGATTGAGTGCAGGTGCTTTAGCCGTTGAACGTTGGGAAGAGGACGAACCACTTGGTGATAAAGCAACAAAAGCTGCTGTGCTTTATTCAAATGTATTTATTTTTTGTATTTAGAATTAAAAAAAATTTTTTTTAAGATTCAACATCCAAATTTAAAAGAAAAGTTTCCTTTGTGGTCCGATCGTGTTCGACAAATAAATAAAATTTGGAGAGAATTAAATCCTGAAAAACGTCAAGAGTATGTTCTTGAAATTTTTAAAGTTTTTTAAAAATTTTTTTAGATTTGTTGAATTAGCCCGCAAAAATCGTTTAAATTGTCCTACACCTCGAAGACGATCAAGAAGGGTTGTTATAAATCCAGCAACTCAACAACAGCTATCTTTGGAACATAATACTTCTGAAATATCTCAAACTGGAGATACTTCTATTAAAATTAAAGAAGAAGGCTCGTTGGATGTTGCTTTCCGTGAAGAACTTTCAATGACAGACGTTAGTTTTTTTGAATAGTTTAATTTTAACTTTTACTTCTGACGGAGGAAATACTTGAACTGTTAGTATTAACTTGTTGCTGATATCATTCGATACCTTACAAAAATACTAGACTTTAAAACCTCCTATCTTGCCTATTTTGGTCTCGTAGCTAAAAAATTGGCAATATGTTATCGACTGCTTTAACGAATGATTCCAAAAAGTCTTTTGGGTTGAATCGTTTGTCCTTCAAAGGTTTATAGTCAAAGATTCAACCTAAAAGTCTATCTTTTTGTAATGTTTGACCAAAAAATTCTTTAATTAATAATAATATTTTTTAGCAATTATCGAACCAATCGACAGGCGGTTCTTGTTCATATTCCAATACTACATTTATTGGATTGGATAAAACATCCGAAGATAAGCAGCACCCACAAACAATTCAACAACAATCCTCATCAATTGACTCACAACAATTATATTTTGATGAACAAGGATTAAAATTAAAAGAAGAATTGCGAATTGAAGAAGAAAAAATTGAAAAAATGAAAAAAACAAAGAGGGCATTAGCAGCAAAACAGAGACTTTTAATTAAACGGCAACAATCACAACAACAAGAAGGGGGAGGAGGAGCTGGAACTGGAGGAGCATGTTCATCTACAACAACAATTCCATCATCCCCACAACTTTCTTCAGAAGAGTTGACAGCACTTCCTTTGCCACCAAGACGTGGAACTTGTGATTTAGTTGAAGTTGAAGCAAATTTATTAGCTACAAAAAATTGTATACAAGAACAACAAAAATTGGTGGATGCTGGAAGACAAAAATTGAAAATGTATTTAGGTGAGTCTACACACACTACGTATATCGACACCCCGTATATACGAATGACTTCATATATCGTCCGCAAATCCAATTCGCAAAAATTCCACAAAGATCTAGTCCGCAAATCCAATCCGTAAAAAATCTACAAACCATCCAGTCCGCAAAAATCCAGTCCGTAAAAATTCCGCAAATCGCAAACGATGTAAAGATCTGGATATATGGGATCAGTCGATATAAAATCTGTAGATATATGTGATTCAATTTAGGCAAACAACAACAACAAATGAAAAATATTTTAATAAATAAACAATTGGAGCAGCAACATCAAATATTTTTACCTCCTTCAACATCATCACCTCAATATTATTCAAAATATTTAATTCAACAACAATCATCTAGTACATCAATTAATAATTTGTATGATATTGAAGGGCAACAACAATATTTTAATAAAAATTCTGGTTCTTTTGATCAGTCATTAACAGCTTCATTTCAACCAATAAAACCAACACGTGGACGAAAAAGGAAAAAGGTTTTTAAGTTTTATAGTTATAAATTAAAATTGCTAACCTATTAACGCCTAACTTTTATCGTCATGGCTTTATTTTATTATTTTTAGAGAGGGTCTTTGACATGTTAGTGGGGAGAATATAGGCAAAAAAGACTCAAGCAAGTTGTTTCAGGTAGTTCCTCCAGGCATTCTCGTTTTAAATCGGATCGCCCCGGCCTTTATCATAATACCCACTAAAATGATCCGCAAAAAGTTGCGGACAACACACGCCGGGATAAATAATTAGTGTTGGCAGATTCAATTAGGTACTTTATGGATATGTCACCCCCCTCCTATTTTGAGTCTCAGAGTTTTCCTTAAACGTAGAAAATGGTCAGAGATTATTTTCTTCTCCATGTCAATCATTTTTTTCTTCTTCGAGTATTTTGCTTGTTTATTTTGCCTTTTTCACATATTTTGTACTTACATTTCACTCATTTCGTTTCTACATTTACCACATTTCACTTATTTTGCTTGAAGAAGGAAAAATGATTGACATGGAGAAGAAAATAATCTCTGACCATTTTCTAAGTTTAAGGAAAACTCTGAGACTCAAAATAGGAGGGGGGTGACATATCCATAAAGTACCTTCGAGGCTTGGATATTGGATACGTTCTCGGATATCCGAAAGAAGTTTTCCATCTTTTTATCTCTTCTCTTCCTCCCGTAATATGTCAGATTACTCTTTTATTCCTTTATTTTTTTAGCCTCCTCATGAACATATTCGTTCTCAAATTCTCGGCAAAATAGTCTATTCAACTTTACAAACACAAGAAGACAGGGATGTTTATGATGTAATTGATGGACTTGTACATACAGTTTCCAGTAATTTTAATAGTGCAAATAAAGCAGCGGATGCTCTATTTATTAAAAGAATTTTGTTTTCTCATCAGCAACAAGAACAAAATTTGAATTTGGCAACGAGAAGTAGTAGAGGTTTTTTTTGGAATTTTTTTGAAAAATTATAAAAAAAATTTTTTTAAGATGGAGGAGAATCTTGTAGAGGAAAGAAAAGAAGCCTTAATAAGCAAAATAAATGCCAAGAAACTACTACAGAAGTGAAAAATGATTTTATGAGGTGCCAAGACAGAATAAAGGAAGCGGTTAGTTTTTTTAACTTTCTTTTTAAAATGTGGATCTATAATGGTAATATGAAACAGGGGGTGCATCGTACATAGATGTTCGAAATTAAGAATAGTCGAAAACGAAACGCGAATTTTTTTTGCTCCGTGTCCTTTTAATTAGAAAAATGTCAAGATTTTAAAATTCTGAGATACTTCACATCACAGCTGTGTCGAAATTTTGATTTTTTGTACTTTTTTTCGAATTTCTATCTTTTTAATTTTTTTCCTTTTTTTTACAGTTAGATTCATTACCTCCATTAATAACAACATTAGAACAATATAAAGAATATGATCGTCATATATTAAAATATCCTAACCAAATTGGTATGCCTGATAATCCTGGTTATGCTGAATTTTCGAATAAAAATGTTAAAGTTGGAGAATATAAGTGAGGAAATTTTTTTTTGAAATTTAAAAGGGAAAATAAAATTTTTCAATTATTTTTCAGACTTGATTTTATGATTGATTTTTATGATGAATTGGAAACTAATAGAGGCGATTTTATTGAAGAAGAATTTTTTTTTGCTCCAACAATGGATGAAATTTGTCAATTTGTTGATTTGGATATGCTTGAAAGGTTTTCTTTTGTTTGATTTTTTTGGAATTTTGAAAAGAACCCCCCCCCTTTCTTCTAGGGGAATTCTTGAATATGTTTCTTCTAGGGAATGTTAAGGAATTCTTTTCTGTTAGCTGTCCTCTCCATATAACTTTTATTTTAAACACACTTTCCTAAATTGGATTTAATGCCTTCCAGATTCGAGAACCTGTTTAGGGGAACCGTTAAATTTTTGGGTCTAATCATTTCCGGAACTTGTCAAAATTTGGAACCGCTGGGAATCAATGAGCACCCATCCCTGTTGGGAACTAGAACCACAAATCTATTTGTTTTTCGAATAATATTAATTTACATTTTTTAAGTTTTGATGATGATAGCCTCTCTACTATACCTTCTGGTTCTTTTGAAATTAAATTTGGAACTGATTTTGCTGATAAAATTAGAGAAATGAGTTTTATTGACTGGACAAATCTTTCTATTGAGAATATTGCTGATAAAGGAAAACTTATACGTTCTGCTTTGTTACCTGGAGGAAGTGGACCAGAAGTTGACGTTCCTATAGATCCGCATTGGTCTAGATTTGAGAAAGAGGTTTGGGTTTTTTTGTTTCTTTTTTATTTGAGTGTACCTTTTGAATTTAGGAAAATTATTTTTATTTTTGAAGGGAGGGATAGGATCTTTTTATATTTTGTCCTCAAAAAATTTGCGGACTACTTTTGCACATTTTTTATGAAAAATTATGGGGGCAATGAAAAATTGTGGGAACAAGTTTTACTTTTTTTGTGCGCAAAAATGTTGCGGACAATTTTTGCAGATTTTTATAAATTTTTTCTTATTTTTTTGTTAAATTTTTCCAGGAAGTTAACCCCCTAGAACGTGAAGTAGAAGTAATTATTGATTATGATCCAACAATAACTTTGCGTGAAGATATGCTTAAAAAATTACAAAAATTACTGGGAATAGGAGAAATATCAGCAGTTGAATTAGAAACACCCCCACAAACACCAGCATCACCACCACAACAACAACAAACACAATTAATAACAAATTCTAATAATTTATTGAGTGGAAATGTTGAAAATATTAGAAATGTAAATTTGAATGAAAAAAATTCTTTAATTATTTGTAAAAAATGTGAAAATGTGTTAGCACCAGAAAAGAGACCAATTGAAGAATTTGCTGTAAATTTGGGATTGTCTAATGAAAAGGTTTGTGTTTTTTTAGAAATTTTAATTTTTTCGTAATTTTTAATTAGTCCTTTCCCTTAGCATTTTTGGCCGTATTTATTCCACAATATGCCGTAAAAGTTCTAAAAGCCCACTATCTAATAAACGCCCATGCCTAATATAAACCCAATTAGCGAGACAAAAAAATTAAATTTAACTACTAGAACAATTATGATAGCTTATTTTGGGCAATTTGCTTAAGGGCAGTTGTGGTGCAGTGGGAGAAGGCTCTCCTATCCTTCGTTTTACGTCGAGGGTTCGAATCCATTCGTTGTTTAATATGTTTCTTTTTTCATTATTTTATTTTAAAAATATTTTGTAAGTGTTTATATGCTTATAAAAAATTTTTTCTAATTTGTAACATATTTTTTACCTTTTTAGTCTGCAATAATTACTTTTTGTTCAATGCCATGTTATTTTACTTTTCTTGCTGATAAACGTATTCCTTTAACTGTTGAATTATTAGGGATGGCTGAACGTTGTGTAAATGAGGTTTATTTATTAAAATAATTTTTTTATGATTTTTTAAAATTTTTTAAAGGAAACCTTAGAAATTTTACGTCAAGCAAGTGTTGATAATTTTGCAAAGAAAATAAATAATGGAGGAGGAGATCAACAAGGAGGCGGAGGAGGGGGAACTGAAGAAAATTGTGGAGAATTGCTAGATTTAAATTTACCGAGAGAATTACGTTTAAAATGTTCAGAATTGGCAACTTTAATTCAAGCAGAAAAAGATAAAAAAGAAAAGAATTTGATGAATAAAAAAATTTTTAAATGGAGAGGACATGGATGGACTAGATGTGATGTTGAATTAATTAATTCTTTTAATAAACAACAAGAGGAAATTAAAAAAGTTTTTTTTTAATTTTTTATGCTATTAATGGTTTGGAGATCTAGAATTTGTGCCTGGCGCATGGGCGGACTCTGTCAAATTTTTTAGAAGTTCGGGTCCCAAATCCGGGTTTTTTCAAAATCCCCGTGTTATTTTCGGGAGGATTAATTGACCGAAAAATTCGATTGATCCTGTCCGACGTAAACGCGGAATCCGCTATAGTAATTTTTTATAAGTCGATTTTATCGAATTGTCTTTTTAAAAAATTGACCATATTGTCTAAACAAGAAAAATTCTAACCTCACAACATTTATAGTGGTTACACTTATTTTACTACCAAATTAGTTGTGGTATAGAGGATTAAAATATTTTTAATTAAAAAATTTCTTTAAATTTTTTTTTTAGAAAATTGACTCAATCTACCTTAGAACAGCAAATAAAAAATATGAAATTCTTCGAAATGAAGATACTAGATTTTGTGCTTTTTGTGGAGAATTAGGTGATGGTGATCAAGAATTGACTGGACGTTTATTAAATTTGGATGCCAATGAATGGGTACATGTAAATTGTGCTTTGTGGTCAGCTGAAGTACATGTTACTGAAGAGGTTTTTCTTTTTAAATATTTATTATTTAAAAATTGTTTCTAAACCTACCCAAAGTCATTTTAAGTTAAAGAAATAAAGGAAAATAATAGTTGACACCTAAACGGGTTCGAACCCACGACCCTCATTTATAACTAAAATCATCATATTTGTGTATTCAAAAATTTTTTTCATGTTTTCTCCTGACATAATTATAAATTTTTTTCTGGGTTTACTATTTCCAGTAGGGGGACCAATTTATTATTTTTTTAAATAAAGAAAAATAATAGTTGACCACCAAACGGGTTTGAACCCGTGACCCTCAAGCTAGTTCTTTTTAAATTACTTTTCTTTCATATATTCGTACTTTTTTAATTTATTTTTTTCATATAATGAGTAAATTACCTATAAAAATATTAAAAAAATATTTGTATTTTTTAAAATTTTACAAAAAAAATTTTTTAAAGGGTGCATTAATCAATGTGGATGTCGCTTTACGTAAAGCACAAAAAGTTGATTGCAAAATTTGTAATAAAAAAGGAGCATCAATACGTTGTTATAAATTGGATTGTATAAATAAAGATTTTGCTTTTCATTTGCGTTGTGCTAAAAAATGTAATGGACATTTTTTAAAAGACAAGGTTTATTTTTTGAAATTTTTTTTAAAAATTAATTTTTGCGGACAAAAATTGCGGATTTTTTGAAGATCATTTTTTAACCATATTTCTAATAAAATCTGACCTCATCCTTTCTGCATGGGGTCAGTTTGTAAAAAAATGGCTGGGGTTAGTCACTATTGAAAAATTTTATTACTAGGTCGGTTCATAAAAAAGTTCGTTCTACAAAAATGGTTATATAATTTTTTGTATATGTTCAAAAGTTTTGAAATTTTGCATATTTATTCATTCGAGTGTTTTCTAATAGACCCCAAAATTTGAGAATTTTTGGTTCGGTATTCAGGGAGTTCTAATCTCCTAAAAGTTGTTGTCGAAAACTATGTTACACATCCCCCCAAAAAATGATTTTTCTAACTTTGCGTAAAATCATCCGATCTTGATGATCTAAACGGTTTTGTACATAACATATATGATTTATGACTAAATACGAAGAATAAAGTCTGTAACTTGGGCCTAACCCGGAATTCGACATTTCGACATTTCTGAAAATCGACTTTCCCGTTTATGAAAAATTCGGCACTTAGGCCCCCCTGATAGAGATTTTTAAGGGCTTTCGAATGGTATATTACACTAGATATTACAATTACATATGCTCGAGAGGGCTCGAACCCCGATGGTTTTCAGATTACCGGTGTTTTCGACCATAACTCCCTGAATACCGAACCAAAAATTCTCAAATTTTGGGGTCTATTAGGAAACACCTGAATGAATAAATATGCAAAATTTCAAAGCTTTTGGACTTCTAGAAAAAATTCTATAACCATTTATGTAAAACGAACTTTTTTATGAACCGACCTAGTAGAAAAATAAATTCCAGAAATTTGCAATTTTTGTCCGCAAATAAAAAAATTTTTTTTTATATTTTAATAAATTAATTTATATTTTTTAAAAGACTTTCTTCTGTCCGAATCATGAAATTCGACAAGATTTTTTAATTGCTCATTTTGATGCTTTAAAAAGAATTTTTATTCAACGAGAAGAAAATTCATTACTTTCAAAAATATTTAATCATTCATATTCTACAGAAATGTTGATGCGTGTTGGGTAAATAATTAATTTTTTGGAATTTAATTTTTAAAAATTAGGCCCCATTATAAGATACATTTAATAGAGCGTCAGCCCATAGGGCTGATTTTTTACTAGCACCGTGTATGTTATAATGAAATCCGATTTTTTTAAGAAACTGTATTTTACAAAATACTACAAACATTCTAATAATTAAATTTTAAAGTTCACTTATTTTCCACAAAATTGGTCAATTATTACCAGAACAACTCAAAGCTTTTACTACTTCAGATTATATATTCCCGGTTAATTTTTATTTTTAAATTTGGGGAAAGATTAGTTCAAATATTGTTTTCTCATTCGTTTTTCTTGTAGATTTTTTAAATAAGATTTATTTGGATTAAGAAAACCCATGGGAAATTTATGAAGAAAAATTTATTTTTGAAATGTCCGCAATTTTAATCCGCAAAAAATATTGCGGATTATATTTATTTTAAAGATAATTTAAAAAATTTTTTTTAAGATTGGCTATAAAGTAACACGTATATTTTGGTCAATTTCTGAAATTTATGAAAATGAAAAAATGTTTTATGAATGTTTAATAACTGAAAATGAAGGAAAACCTAATTTTATTGTAACAATATTATCAAACAAAAAGGAGGAAGAGAAAAAATTTTTTGGAGAAGAGCCAACAAAAAGTTGGGAGGAAATACAAGAATTAATTTGCAAATTACGTGAAAATACTAAAGGAAAATATTTACGTTTTTTTCCAAAACAATTAAGTGGAGAAGTTTTATTTGGATTTACAGAACCGGCAATTAGTAAAATGCTTGAATCGGTAAGGGAGATGAAATTTTTAAAATTAAATTCTAAAAAAGCTGATTTCGATTTTTACATACATTCTTAAGGACTTAATAACGGTATTTACCGGGGATCTGGCCAACGTAAAAATTTAATTCACGATTTTCGGGAATCGGCTAGATCCCTGGTATGTAAAATTGAAATATCCACCCAGTAGCCAACAAGAGAAAAAAAGATTTTTTCTTAACTAAGGTTAATATAAACTAATGGATGTTTATAAAATTGAGATCTTAAATTAAGTCAATTGCTAAAAAAAACTTTTTTTTAAGTTGCCTGGTATTGACCAAATTTATACTTATACTTTCAAACATGGAGGAACTCCATTAATGGATTTGTATGTTTTTTTAATTAAAATAAATATGGGGTCTTTACTGCCCCAGAAGAATTATCAATTTTTGTATGATATTTAAAAATGAAAAAAAATTGTGAGCCCTTGAAGTTGAAATTTAGCGAATTTTGGTTTGGGGTTTTTGGTGTCATTGATCTTGTAAATTGTGTATTTCCGGCTGTTATCATTAAAGCATTTAATAAAATCTATTGGAAGAAATCAGTGTGTGTTTAATTTAAGCAGCTTACTTTTCTTTTACCCCATCCTTACGCCCTACTTTTAAAAAATTATATGTATTAAATAATTTTTAATATTTTTTAAAGGCCTCTAGCAGAAAATCCTTCTGGTTGTGCTCGTTGTGAACCATGTTTTAGAACTTTGGTTAAACGGAAACACAAACCTATTATTAGCAATTCACCAAATAAATTGGATGAAAAGTCAACGTTTTCATCTGATTCTGTAGTTTCTAGAGAAGGGAGAGGTAAGGGAATTTTTTGAGGGGCAGATTTTGTGGATTAAGCTCTTCCAAACATCCCCCGCTATCCTTCTCTTGCTGTTTTCTTTTTTCTAAATTGGACCCTGAATAGTTTAAGATAAGAGGCTACAATATAAAATATAATATAAGTAGGACTTTTGGTTCGGAACCGAGCAGAATCGAACTGAAAAACCAATGATCTTTGCGGTTCTGTTCCTCGTTTCGGTTATCTGAAACGAATGACTTGTGAAAATCCATATATAACGAAATTTGAGAGTGGAACCATTCCAAATGTTTTTCACCAAAAAAATGTCAATCGGGTCTGTTTCAGATATTTGAAAATTTCCAGGAACCGACAGCTTTATTTATAAGACTTACAAGAATTTATAAAATTTTTACGAATATCTTTTCTTTTTTTTTTGCAGCAAGAAGTTCAACATCTCAGCGTTACTTTAATTTATCAAAAATAGATGAAGAAACAAGAAAAGCTTACAAAACGTCAGGAATAAATGAGAGAATGTTACAATCTTTATATTTTCGAAATTGTAATGAACAACATACTTTATTAATTACTCAATATAGAGAAATGAAAAAAGAATGGAAAGAAAATATTTATTTGGCGAGATCAAAAATACAAGGATTGGGGTTATATGCAAAAAGAGATTTGGATATGAATCAAATGATTATTGAATATTTGGGGGAAATGATTAGAAATGAGGTAAATAATGGAGAGGGAGGAAAAAATGGGAGGGGGGGCAATGTACCGCTGAGCTATAACTTTGTTAAAAAACATCGGATACGGGATGCCCTGGTATTGTTCGATGCAGCTTGTCGAGTTGTATCGAACCATACCAAGCTAGCGGTACGTTGGGATGTAATCGAGGGAAATTTAATTAGAATGCAAGAAAAGAAATGAAAAGTACAAATTTATAGTTTATTATAAAATAAATCTGTTAGCGATGTCGTTGGTGTATTGGTTAAGGCTTCTGATTTCAGGCAAAAGTTGCTGGGGTTCGATCCCTCTTGCTTCCTTCTCCTTTGGTTTTGTTTTTTAGACTTTCCTTTTAAGAAAAATGAGAAAAAAATTTTTTTCTAATTTTATTTTTTTATTTTTTAAAGGTTTGTGAGATGCGTCAAAAACGTTATATAGAACAAAATAGAGGGGAATATATGTTTAGAATTGATGTTGATTGGGTTGTTGATGCTACTATGGCTGGTAAGAAATCTTTAATTATAAAACAATATTTTTTAATTTAAAAGGTGGATTAGCTCGTTATATAAATCATTCTTGTGATCCAAATTGTGGGACTAAAATATTAACAATTAATGATGAAAGTAAAATTGTTATATTTGCAAATAGACCAATTAAAGCGGGGGAAGAGGTTATTAATTAATTTTAAATTATAAACTATAAATAATTCTTTTGTAGTTGACATATGACTATCAATGTGGGTTTTTATTTTTATTATTTATTAGCTATTTTTTAATATTTTGGCTTAAATTTTGACTAATTTATAAGCTTGTTATGGCTTATTTTTGAATGGGTTTAATTAGCAACTTCGGTGGTGTATTGGTTAGCGCTTCCGACTACAGGCATATACCCGTAGGGTTTCGATCCCACTTGTCTCCCTTCTATTTTTTTTTTCTTTTTTTTGACTTCCCAACTTAAAAAAGCCCTTTCATCTTTTAATTTTATAATTTTACAAATTTTTTAGATCAATTTTACTCGCAATTTTATTTATTTTTCAGTTGAAATTGAGGAAACAAACAAGAAAATCCCTTGCTTATGTAGTGCCCCAAATTGTGCGCGTTGGATGAATTGACGAAGATAAAAAAATTATTTAAAAAAGAAACAAAATAGCCTTAAATTGACTATATATTATTTATATATATTAATGTGATCTCAGTTAATAACCGCCGTGACTTGTATATTGACAAAATTTCAAGTTCATTACTTTAGTAATCTCGAAGTCTATTATTTTTTAATATGCCAAGTAAATAAAATTTTTTGAAAAATAATAGGTATTTTTATAAATTTAGAAAACCGATATATCGATTGATATCGATTTATTGATTTTTTATCGATTTTTGAAAAGTAATTTTTATAATTGCAGAAATCGACATATCGATTAGTATCGATTTTTTCGAAATCAAAAATTTTTAAAAAATAATTTATCGATTAGTATTGATTTTATCGATTAGTATCGATTTTTTCGAAATTAAAAATTTTTAAAAATTAATTATCGATTAGTATTGATTTTATCGATTAGTATCGATTTTTTCGAAATTAAAAATTTTTAAAAATTAATTATCGATTTTATTGATTTTTTTTGGAAATTAAAAATTAAAAAAAATAATTTATCGATTAGTATTGATTTTATCGATTAGTATCGATTTTTTCGAAATTAAAAATTTTTAAAAATTAATTATCGATTTTATTGATTTTTTTTGGAAATTAAAAATTAAAAAAAATAATTTATCGATTAGTATTGATTTTATCGATTAGTATCGATTTTTTCGAAATTAAAAATTTTTAAAAATTAATTATCGATTTTATTGATTTTATCGATTAGTATCGATTTTTTGAAAATTAAAAATTTTTTAAAAATTAATTATAGATTAGTATCGATTTTCTGTCTTTCTAATTTTATCTTGAAATCGACAAAATGCCTAACAATTCTAAACACGACAAAATGCCACACTGTTGTAGATACGACAAAATGGTCGATGTTAAAATGCAACAAAATGCCTATTTTCGAAATGCGACAAAACGCCACACTAAACTTGTTCAATTCTAAAAAGTCAATATTTTATCCTGAATATAAATTGTACAATGAAAGCGTAAAAGACCCGAGTATGAATGTCTTGACTTGATCGAAAGGATTAAAAATGGCTGAGAAAGAGGAGAGTATTAAGAATAGGAAATCAAAAGACCCTCTATATTATGGACCTCTAGAAAGTGAACCTATTTGTAATAGACATTTTAAAGGCGATTTTTAGAAAGAGAAATCTCCCTGCATATTTCAGGATTGTAGTAAACACATTTTGCCAAAAAGGCCAAAAACACTCATTTTGCCAACAAACTTATTGGTAAAACATGGGGTTTTAGCCTTATTGGCAAAATATAGTATTGACAAAACATGAGGGAGCTACCTATAATAAAGAGGTATGTCCACAATATAGAGGTATAAAAATAAATAATAAAAATTCTCATATTGTTGTCCATTAAATATCTCTCAATTTTTTTTCAATATTTTTCTTCTTTTTTGCTGCTGCTGCCGGATATTTAACAAATGGCCTTTTTGGAAATATTTTTTGTTTCAAAATTTTTTGAGCCGCATCTTCTCTTCTTCTAAATAATTCCAAATCTTTACTCATATAAGTCAATATAAATTCATCTACAGCTTCCGGATAGAAATATAAATTTAATTCATGCCTCAATTCATTTTCAATTCTTTCAAGTGGTTGTAAATAATAATTTATATATGTTAACACTTTCTAGAAATGAAGAAAAATGAGCAAAAAATTATTTTTGATTAATAGCAAGGAGTAGAGCTTAACATTCTTAAATTGCCAAGCCTGGTCTTGAGCTTATTCTTTCAAACCGACACGAGCCGGGGTTTCCGGACAAAAACCTCAAAAACTCGAAGTTTACCAAAATGCCCAGTCTCCACGATGAAACAACCCAGGACCAGGTGTCGAGCTGAGAGTAATTGTTAAAAATGGTAGCCATGAGGGTGAACAGTTCCGACCAGACGTGTAACAACAGAATGCTCGGAAAAGATATCCAGGAAATATCCGTCCTAAAATTCTGGCACCCTAAAAGGTGTTTATTGATTCAGTCTCAAGCCATAAGTATTTAGGAGGCCGACGTATTTTTTCAAAAAAAAATCCCCAAAAACCACACCTTAATATACATTGGAGAAGAAGAATTCCAATTTTCTGTCAGAATAGATACCCAACCATTAAATTCAAAATCTGTATCAATATATTTTCTTAATTGTTGACTAAAAGTTGAATATTCATTAATTAATTCGTAGACCTTTAAAAAACAGATAAATTATAAAAATACTTTAAGGGAGGACAAGAAAATGAGGTTTTATGAGGGTTAAAATTTTTTCTACTGATTTTTGACCAAAAAATAGAAAACTAATTTAATCAGGCCGTAACCAGGATTTTTTGGGAGGGGGGGGGGGCAATGGGGAAAATTTTTTTGAGGGATTTTGGGGATTTTTTGGGGATTCCCCACCCCTACCCCCTAATTACGGCCTGAATTTCATAATTTTCTATTCCTCGATAACAAAAAAATTTTTTCAGAAAAAATCAAAGAGATTAAAGTAATGAAAAATTTACTCTAATTACCCCCCCCCCTCAATTACCCAAAAAATTAAATTTATTCAAAAATTTTCTCTTTTTTACCCTCTTTCCAGGAAATTCACAACCATAAGCAAATCCAGGTTTATATGGAGCATCACAATGCAATAATTTTGAAGTTTTTTCATAACGTCCATCTAGGGGACGTCCAGCGAGTATTGTTTCTGCAGACATTGAAAGTGTGGGTATTCCAACTGGGAGCATTTCACAAAGGACGGCTAAATGATCATAACGAGACCAACCAGTAATTATTAGACCCTTCAAAGAAAATTTTTGGAAATTTGAAAAATTTCTGAAATTTTAGCCTAGGGGGGGTTGTCCCAGTCCGAAACCCACGAAACAGTAAAAATATAGGTAAGGGATAATTTGGAGATGTGTGGCAGTTAGGAGACGGTAAAATCCTAAGCCCAATGGACAAGTCAGGAATAGACAGAAAATTGCGGAAACGAACATAAAAATAGACTCCTCGAAAAAATAGATTTTCAAAAAAAAACCTGAAATCTATCAAATTCTTTATAAATTTTAGTCATTTGTTCAATCCAAGCTTCATGATTGCGAATATAATGAATTGGATTTGAATAGAAACGCATTGGGCCATCTGCACCTTTAAAAGCTGAAGCACCCCAAACTTTCCTATGAAAAAAATTAAAATTTAATTAAAGCTTTAAAAAATATTAATAACTCTCTAAAAAAATTAAAACAAGGAAGATAATATCCCCAAGAAAAATTTTTTTTGAAAGGTTTAAAGACAAAAATTGATAGACACTAAAATACCCGAAAGAGGGATTCGAACTTTCCCAGTCACACACGAAAGTCACAACAACTAACCACTACACCAAAACAACTTATAAATCAAAATCAAATTTAATCGCTTAAATAAGTAAAAGAAAACTCCTATTTTACTCCTAATAAAATCAAAAAACCTCTCTTCCTTACTCAAATTTTTTCAAAGCAAGCCAATCAGAATAAGGCAAATACATATCCAGATCTTCGGCATATGACCTAAAAATTGAAAAAAAATTTTTTAATTAGAAATTTTTTTGTGAATTTTTAAAATAAAAAGAAAATTCTAAAAAAAATCTAACACAATTAGTCACCAAAGTATTGGTTCAAGTATTTTACTCAAATTAAAAGCTTCAGAGTCTCTATCTGACATATGAACAAGCATATCATGCCAAGCCAAAATTGTTGTCTTTAAATAGAAAAAATTTTTTTCGAAAGGAAAGGGGTAGCTAAAGTTAATTAATATTTGCGGACAAAAAGTTGCGGACTTTCCCGAACCTCTAGAAAACCAGAATTTTTTAAAAAGAATAAAAGGTAGAGGTAAATGAAAGTGGGGACCGGACATAGATCTATCTCATTGTCAGACAAAAATATTGGTTATCGAGAATAGAGATTCTTCGAGATATTTCATACGACCCTCCTAGCCCTATCTCTAAATGAAAGGCCGAAAATTTTTTTTTTGGAAAAACAAAAAAATCGTGACTAGTCCAGGAAACAAGAAAATAATGCTTGGATAATGCTTAAAAGAAACCAACATAAAAACAAATTTTTAAGGAAAAAAACATTAACAGGAGCAAAATATTTTTAACGAAAATGGATAGGTGAATCAACAACCCAATCCCATAGGTAAATAAATTATCCATTAAAAAAATTAAAAAATAAACAAACCGAAGAAGCAAATTGTTTTTTAACAAAATTAGCAGTCCTAAAAACATGCCAAGAAAATGCTTTATCTCTACTTCCCAATTTTTGAATTAAATTAATTGTTTCATTACAAGTTCCAAAATTAAAAACTTCATCTGCACCAATATGGAAATAATTCATTCCAAAACTTGAAAAAATTAAATTTAAAATTCTACTTATAAAGACGATTATTTTTAATAGAAATAATTGACTTTGAAATTCGTCATGTAATCTTAAATTTTACTGTACCCTTACAAAGAGTCCAGACAAGGGCTGGACACAATTGCGGATTGCGTGTTTTTTTAACTTGCGGATTGCGTCTGCTGATTTTAAAATCAAAATGAGGAAAATTTTTTTCCAATTGCGTCCAGCCCTAGTCCAGACATTTTCCCCTATTTCCTAGACGCGAGGACTTGTTTCCTTGGATTGTTAAATTAAAAAAATGTAAGTCAAGATCAACGATAAGAGGGACGATAAAATTCAAAATTAAATTTAAAAAGTTTTAAAAAACCGTTTATGTACACTAGCAACTTGATTAATCATATCCATTATAATTTGCCATGATTCTTCTGAACCGATACAAATAACCTTTTTAAAAAATTAAATTTTTTTTCAATAAAAAAAATAACAAAAAAAACCTGTGGATACAAAGGATCATCTCTCAAATGTTTAAATTCATTTAATTTAAGTATCCATTCCAAATGTCCAAAAGTTTGTACTAAAGGGACTATTTCAAATTTATATTCTTTTGCTGCAGCAAGCATTTTCTCTACCTTAAATAAAAAAAATTTTTTTAAGAGAAAAATTTTTAAATAAGGGAAACCCTTAAAGAATTGGTAAAAAATGATTTTTAAAGAAAAATGTCAGGGAAAGTGGACCTATCCAAAACATAAAAAGAAACTGTTCAATTAAATAATTTTTTTCTTAAAAATTTTCAAAACCCGGGCCGTTTAATTTATGAAAAAAAAATTTTTTACCGAAAGAAATAAAAAATTTTTCCTTCCGTTAAGAAATTATGAGAATTCTCAAAAAATACAGTTTAGTCCGCAAATATTTTACGGACAAAGTGCTGAAGGAAATTCTTAATAGAAATATTTTCATGAGAAGAAATAAAGGAAAATACTTTTAAATCATTAAAAAAATTTTTTAATTTAAAATGCTTCGTACAAAAATTAAGAATGGAGAAAGGTTGGGTTGAGAAAAAGTTGGCCTGGGTTTCGAAAATTTTTTTGAGTTGGGGCCTGGAAAGTTTCAACATCTATCTTCAGTCTAAAAATTTAAAAAAAAAACCACAAACTTCATTCATTGTGTAAGCATCCCCATTAATTGCATTGGCAAGTCTTCCTTTATAGGGAAACATATCTTCCCATTCAATAAGTAATCCATTAAACCCCATATTTTGCAAAAGAGGTAATAAAGAAATAAAATATGAAGGCTAAAAAGAATTTTAAAAATTAAAAAAAAGTTTAAAGAAAAAAACTTTAGGAGGAGCTCCTTTAAAATCAAAATGCATCCACAAATTGGTTGGAACAAAATTTCCTTCTAATGTAAGTCTGGGATAATCCTTAAGAAAATGAAAGAATTAAATAAGAAAGAAATGGTTAAAAAAAAATTTTTTTTTGAAGTCACAAAAATTTGTAAAAAAATTTGCAACCGTTAATTAGAATAAAATAAAAATTATTTTCCACCAAACGGACACGAACCTGAGACCTAACGTCAAGATAGTTCAGGTCAAAATAACTTAACCACAAGAACACCCACATACACCTTGCTAATTTAACTAATAACAGTAGAATATTAACAAATATAGAGGGAAGTGGAAGAGAATTTTTTAGGAGTTAAAAATTAGCAAGAAAACCAAAAAACACCTCCAACAATTTTTTTCTTTGCCCTACCCAAAAAACGAAAACTAAAAATATTTTTAAAAATTAACCGAATGTTGTAAATCCAATTCTTTAATTGCATTAATTGCTGGATGTTTATTATTCTTTAGTGGTTGGATACGAACTTCTTTTACAGGCTTGTTTTGTTGGTCATTTTTTGTTTCGGCAGCTTAAAAAATTTTAAAATTGAAGAATTTTGTGGATTGAAAATATTTTTCAATGCTAAATTTTCTTGGGAAATTGAAAAAAAATTTTCCCTTCGTTAAAAAAATTTTTGAGAATTTTCAAAAAATGCAGATTAGTCCGCAAATATTTTACGGACAAGGTGTTGACGGTAATATGAAGTCATTAATTATAAATTATTAATTCAACTCAGAAAACTTTAATAAATTTTTAAATAGAATATAAAAATACCCAAATTGCCCCTTTTACCATTGTCTGCAGATCCGGATATTCGGATCCGAGAAAGTCTACATATCAGAAAACTTTTTTCGATTCAAATATTGGGCACGGATATTCAGGAATTTACCAACTAAAGATCACCCAAACCTACTTCCCCCAAAAATTTTCTTAATTAAAAAACCTTTAAGTTGTCCCAAAAGAACCTCGTTTTGTGATTTACATTCAATTTCCGAATTCCTCAAATTATTTAATTGAGATTGAGCATCTAAAAATTTAACTTAAATCTAATATTTTTAACAAATAAACCATTAATTTCATTTTTCAAAATTAAAATTTGTTGATTTTTTAATTCAAATTGAGTTCTCAAAATTTGTAATTCATCATTAAAATTAGTAGAATAAATATAATATAATAAAAAACAAAAAGAAGCTGTCAAACAAATTAAACTTAAAAATTTTATTTTTGGCATTAAAGTTGTTGATTTGTTACTACACCTTAAAAAATAAAGGAAAATTTTTGTGAAAATTTTTAAGACTTGAAAAGAGGTGCTCACATTTGCGGACACTTTTTGCGGACTTTCTGCAAATTTCTCTAGGGATGTTTTGTCCTGTTTTATAATTGAGAAGCAAACAAACAGGGATGGATGCAGAGCTGCACGCAATCGAAAAAAAGATTCCGCAACTCGCAATTTTTTTAGAAATCCGCACCCGCACTTGCGTACAGCCCTGAAGGGATGTGTTACCCGGAATTCAATACCTAAACTTTTTTCGATCCGAAGCCCAATTCGAAGAAAATTTTAAAAATACAAGCCGTAACACGACTTGATTTTCCCCTTAATTTGTCCCATTCATAAACATAAAGCAACCCAAAAAGGAGGAAGTCAGCAAAAAATGTATACAATAGTGATCACCCCATCATTCTCAAATAAAAAATTTAAAAGATAAAAAACTAGGGGAAATTTCTGAAAAATCTATTAATTTCAAAAGGTGTGAAGTAGTCCAGTAATAGCCCAAAATAATTTAAATGCAAATCCAAAAATAAATAAATTCAAATGAAAACCAAATTCATCCCACAAAATTCATTCCCTACTTTTAAATTTAATTCCCCCCTTCCCCCAAAATTCCCCTGCCTACTTTCCAAAAAAAAAGAATTAACACCCCAAATAAAAAAAATTTTCAAATCACTAACCGCATTATACGCCGCCAACAATGAAAATTCATGGAATGTGTTGACACACCTTTTTTGCTTTTTTCTCGCTTATTTTTGATGTTTTAATTGATTCTCTTCTTTTTTCTAACTATTGTTGCCAGTCAAAACATTTTCTCCTTTTTTATTACATAAATAGCACTTTTAAAAAAATAACTTTTAGTAAAGCGAAGGACATTAAATGAAAGGACATTAAAATAAAAAAGAAACTTGGCGGAGAAAATTATACGGCCACGCCCAAATAGGCGCGCGGCTATAACGGCGCAAAACCATAACTTGCTGGAAAATTACTATCCCTTATCAATTTTGGTACCAATCTCTTTAGCTCGATGAGGGGAATCGTTTAATACTAAATTTGGTAAGCTTTGGAAATCTTGAAGCAAGTTATGGCTTTGCGCCTTTGTGGCCTCGCGCCCAATTGGGCTGTACCCAAATTATACGTAGAATATTAGAGTCTTGGCAGGTGGACAGTAAAGAATATATAACATTTGGCTAAAGCCTCGGCTGCAAATTATGGCTTATTTTGCTTTAAAAACCTACGACTTTTGAGGATACTTGACTGTATTTCCTCTAATAGAATGGCCTGCCATTCTCTTTTCAATCATCTTCCAAGGAGCCATTCTATTAGAGGGGGCCATTCAAATAGAGGAAATACGGTAAGCATAAAGTCAGTGATAAAACTGATAAACAAAAGGATTTGGTAATTTTTTATAGATCTTAAAAAGTCGGGTAACCTTTAAAAGAATGTGAAAAGGGGAGGAAATGAGGGGTATAAAAATATAAATGTGTTAAACAGATAGTATATATATAAGAATTTCAATTAATTTTGTTTTATTTTTATTCATTCTAAATTTAATTTATAACAAAAAATATTCAAAAAATTGTGTAAAATTTTACAAAAAAATTATCTTCCAATTTTAATATCGTTTTTAACAACTTTGAAGACCACACACACACACACACACACACAATGTCAGACATTCATTTAACTAAAAAAACTCCAAATTTTAAATTTATTCAAAAACAAACTTGAAGTGTCTTTGCGTGTTGAAAATAGAAAATATCAAGTCAAAAAAAGTTCTCTCAAGTTGAACCTAAAAATTGAAAAAAAAATAAAGCTTTGGTAAAGTATAAAACGAAAATAAATTTGAAAATATTAAAATTAAATAGGGAGGGGGGGGCCTGGACTATGTGGATCAGAGGCTAATGAAAATCGTTCAACCTCGAGGAATAGACTGATTAAACACAGAAAGATGAAGAAAGTGACAAATCCCCTACTCATTTAACGATTAAATCGCTTTTTCCCTATTTTCTTTTGGATTTTATAGTAAGCCTTATGGGGGGGGGTGGGGGGAGTTTTTTAGTTTTCAATAAAATTTAGTTTGGAATCTGAAAATAAAAGGGAAAATTATGGTTAAATAGGGGTCTTATTAAAGTGCAGGGAATAGATGTACATACCCCAAGTCATCACACTAATCAACTAATAATTGAAAAAATAAAAAGAAAAAACCTTTTTTTAGTCGACACTGGAAAAAATTGAAAAAACCACAAATTAGAGCACAGCAATTAAAGCTAGAGCCGATTGAGTTCCCACATAGGCAATATAAATTGACCAAACATTAAATTCATCCCAAGTAGCGAGACAAAAACTTGAAAAAAAACAAAAATAAAAATTCCCAAAATTCAAAAAAATTAAAAAACCTTAATGGAGTTAAAATGAAGAAGAAAATAGTTAAAAATTGAATTGAAAAAATAATCCAACGCCTTCTAAAAATTTTTAAATTCTTCAATAGAGTAAATAAAAAGGTAAGAAATACAATCATTAGAACACATAAAGCCATAATTCGAAGATAAAATCTGAAAAGGATTAAAAAAAATTTTTTTTTGAAACAAAGAATGTCAAAATAAAATTTAAAAAAATTTTTTCTAAGAATGTGCCCCCAAAGGGAAAAATAATTATCAACCACAGGATTCGAACCACCTCAATATTTAACCGAAAACCAAACACTTAACCAACACCTTTACTAACATAAAATAAAAATTAACCTATTTATTTTCCGACTAAAAATAAAAGTTGCAGGTAGATCAAAATAATAGATTGTGAATATAAAGCAAATCCACCAGAGAATGTCCTCCACCTAAAAAAATTTTTTTTGAGTTTTAATTACATAATATAAAAAACGATAAAAAGCGAGGGGAAAAAACACATATTTTTTGCGACAGAAATATTCTGGTCTTGTCAGACTCTAACACAGGAGCAATGTTTGAAAGCTCGTACCAAAGTCGATATCAAAGTTACATAAATAAAGAAAAAATTTCCGAACAACTCCCAGAAAGCACCCAAGCCTAATTTAATAGCCCTCCCCCTCCAAAAATTAATAAAAAAAAACAAACTCTAATTCCTCTGCTTTTTCCTTGACTCAAAAATAGCAAATTTTCGCATTCTTCCTCTTTCCTTTTATTCAAAACTTTGCAAGAATTGCCAAAATCCTTCAATTGTCCATTTGATCTATTCTGTTGACTGTAATTTTTTCTTGAATTAATAGCACAATTATTCTGGTTTTTAATAGCCATATTATTATTGCCTCGATTCTGATTTGTAATTATTGCAATTCCTCATTAATTTTAAAGCTTTAAAAAATATTTTATGACTTAAAAACCAAGAAAAACAAGGGAAAAAATTTTTTCTTTTGGATTAAAAATTAGCCAAATTTAAAATAAATTCTTAAAAAAATACAAACAAAAAAGCATTTTATTTAAAAAATAATAATAAATGATATATTTAATAATATAAAAAACAATTCTTGGGAAAAGAATTTTGACTGATTTATTTTTTAGAATGGTTCCACCACTCTTGAAAGATATAAATAAATACACATTTTTAAATGTAAAAAAAATGAGAGGTTTTGCAAAATTGGACGAGAAAATTGAGGGGGGTTTTGTATGAGAAATATAAATTTATATTCTACTATTTTTATTTTAAATTTAAAATTTACTGAGGGAAATTCTGAGAGGAAAATAGTAGATAGTCAATGAGTATTTTATTTATTTGTTTGTGTTCTCGCAAAACCAAAAATTAAAAACAACTTGTAAAGTAAACTATAAAAATAATACAAAAATCAATGTAATAGTAGAAAATTGTGAGTAAAACGAAGAACAAAAAAAGCAAAAAAAATACAAGTGTATAGTGTTGCAAAAATAAGCATTCAAAATGTTGAGAAAAAAAAGATATATAATAGTGGAGAGGAAAGAGGGGACAAGTCGGGGAACTTAAAAAGGAAAGTATGAATCACCAAAGAAAAGACCAAAAGATCAAATCAAGTGGAATCTCCCTATAAAGTAGTAAAAAGACAAGGAGAATGTCGTTATATTAAAACTGAACTGGGCTAGCTATTTCTCTCCCTCAGCTAACACAAAAGGAAGACTTGGTAATGGATACGGATACAGATAATTTCAAAATGCTTACGGATATTCGCGTGTATCTGCTATAAATATTCGGATATAGATACGAAAATCCATTACCAAGTCTGGCAAAAGATGTAAAAAGAACAGAGCATCTCGGACTGATATGTTATCTATTTACCGAACTGATGTGCTGCTTCTTACATAGCCTTAGGCTTTAAATAGTTACGCCTATATGCTTTACATTATAAGAGAGAGATTTTTTAAAATATTTTACTTTTTGTCAAATAAAGCTTTTTTTTTTATTGGGAAGGTGAACTTTTGGTTGTTTTTATCAAAACAAACAAAAATTTCTGGCAGTGGACAAATAAATAAATGGTGAATGCTAGGCGAATGTTTTGGGGAAAAAGAGAGAAGAAACATATAAACCAAAAATCGATCGTATTTTAAAATAAATATTAAAAAAAAACATTTAGCCTAATAATCTTTTGAGATCATTGCTGTAAAAGTTATATATTTGGATTAAAACAAGATATGGAAAGATAAAGGCGAAAAAATAGCAGATAAATCTCTTATATATTCTTTTTTGCAGATAAGGTTTACAGGACAAGGAGAGGATTATGGGAGAGGATCTTCCGGAAGTTAACTGTTTCTGTGTCGGATTCGGTATCAGGGGCTAATTAATAGAACCCGGAATTTATGCAAATGCATATTTTTTTGCAAACTTGGCATGATGCATAATGCACAAAAAACATGTTTTGAAAACTTTAGAGGGGGTTTCTATTTGTATAAAATGCATATTTTTGGTGCATAAATGGACATTTTAATGCATATTTTGAGGTTTTTGGGGAAAATATCACGAAATTTCTTTGTGCTTGTTGGGTTCACCAGAAAATGGCCCACATCCATAATGTCTCAACACCAAAATGTCGCACCCCAAAATGCCCCACCACCAATCCAGATTTCGGTGTCATTAAAAATATTTCACTCCCCTTATCTGCTTTTTTTTTATAAATTTTTTATTTTTTTAGCTACTTTGTCTTCCCGAAGAAGACAAAGTACTAACATTAACACCCATCATAGGTTGTCGACTGGGACGATTTGGAGCAGGCGAAAAATCATAATAAGTTTCCTTATCTAGAGATAATTTATTTGAATTATTATTCCCACCACCACATCCACCACTCCTTGTTGTTGAAGAAATATAAGCATCACTTTGTTCACTCATTTCACCATCAGCATCTTCCAATTCATCCTCCCTTTCTTCCTCTTCTTCTTCATTATAATTAGTAGCTACACCATTTTCTATTAATGGATGATTTTGTTCTGAACGTTCCTCATCTTCAATTAGGCTAACTCTATTACGAGCACTTGAACAGCTTGTTCGATCACGCTCTAAAAATAAAAAAGTGAAAAAATATTTGAAAAAGAAAGTTTTCTGCAAGACTAGTTAAGAACCCTTTTTGTCATTTTCTGTTTTTTTTACAAAAAGCTAAACTCTAATCTAAAGGGACAGAGGTGTAAACTAGAGGTCGGCGCAGGACAGGATCCTGCACAAGATTTTTCATGATCCTGTCCGAAATCCTGCCTTTTTTTGGTCTTCAGGAGTTTCAGGATTAATCCTGAGAGATCCTGTCCTGTCGATTTTTAAAACCCAATCCTGATACAGGATCCTTCAAATGTGATTTACCTATCTCTAGTGTAAACTCCTACAATCGAGATTTTGGGATTGAAAAATCTGACCCTTAATGACCAACCAAATCTTTAAAAATTGAAACCTAAACTGAGTTATACGTGAATATTTGACTGTAGGTCTGGTCAGTCCCTGAAATCGGAAATTTATTTTTTAGATAGGCTCCTTCCTTGTACGAAAAATTGAGGTTTGACTGTAACTTTAATTTTGCCATTAAAATATTTTTTTGAAATTGATACAAGGACAAATTCAAGTATATAATACCTTCACGTTTTCTCCTACGAGAACTTGCTTCAACAACCAATTGATGAATTGATTCAGTCATTACTGGATCATATTGAGGTGCTTCATCTAAATTATTATTGTTTGACCCTTCACAAGAATGTACATAAGATATTTCTGTTTGGGGACTTTCTTGTTGTTGTTGCTTTTTCCGTTGATTATTAAAGCATTCTTCTTTTGGATTTGTAGAAGATTGACGATTTGAAGTAGCAACACTTTTACTTCTTCCACCTACTTTATTAAAAAAATATTTTAAAAATTGCCTCAGTTTTTGTCATTTTTATACAGTCGAAACTTATAATATACATACACCCTTAGCTTTAGATAAGAGGTCCCCATAAGCAAGTTACCCAGATCCAAATCTTAACTGAGCGTACCTCAAATAAATGACAGGGGTGTGAAAAAGACAAAGTTTTGCCAACATTTCGCCTTTGTGGCATTTCGTTTTTTTATCTTGTGCTTTTCACATCTCAACGTACTCCATGGTAAAAATGGGATCCTGGGATGGGATGATCATGCGGGTTTCTGAAATAAAGAATTGTTTCAATGTCAGCAAGATCTTTGTTTAATTTATAACGAGAGATCAGTTTATATTTCAATTTAAACAATTCCTCAGACAACCTCCATTATTTCTCCTCTGTGTAGAATGTCCAGAATTATTCCTTTTCCCACCAGTTCCTCCTCCTCTACTTGTTGTCCCAAAATGTTGATGTTGAACTAAAAATGCTTTTCTAAGTCGTCGTTGTTGTAAAGTTGCGGCGGCGGCGATGCGTTTATTTTGATTTTGATGTTTATTGCTGTTATGCCAACTATTTTCAAGTTCCAACAATTCATTGAAACTTTTATTGTTGTGGTGGTATGGCGCTGCTGGCCGCATCACCGCCGCTGAGGATAAAAAATGACGTGGAGGTTCTGTTGGTGCTGGATTTAATGGAAGTGATGGTCCTTGACTTCTATTACAACACAAATTGTTGTTAGCATTTTCAGGGTTAATAAGTGTTGTTGTTGCGTAAGGAGATGGATCTGGGTTTTAAGAGAAGAAATTAGTTTGAAAATAAGTTTCGTAAGGGAAGAAATTCGTGGAATAATGAAAAGCTGAAAAAGTCACCGAGCCTTTTGGGGGCTGGTAGCCTAAGCCCAAGAGCAAGTTGCTTCCTTGATAGTAACCTCAAAGCAGGGTTCGACCCCTAATTCTGAAGAAGGGAAGTCCTCGAGGGAAAGCGAGCAAGGGTCCAAGTTCCCGAGCCCGAATTCCCCGCATCTCCGGCAAAATCAGCCTTTCCCCTTAAGATCCACCATAATTAACTCAAAAAGTTTGGGAAGCGCCAAGAAAGGACAGAAAAATCGTTCGATTTTAAGAAACCAAAGAAAAGATTGGGGCAAAGAGGGGCACAGCAAAAATAATTTCACTCAGAAAATCCCTCTCCTCACATATTCATAATTAAAATAAATACCATCATAATATTTTGGAGGTGTTTTTTGTTGTCTAGCAGCAGCAAAAGTACTTAAAGGACCACCATTTCTATCTAGAGAATTCAAATTATCCGGTAATTGTGTATAGTGATAATGATGACTGGGAGAAATTGGGGGTGGGTCAATTTGAGAACCATCAGGATTAGTAAATCGTTGTTGTGGCAAATGAAGATTACCGGTATAATGATGCAAAGCATGACCCAACTGAGAAAAAAAAATTTTTGTTAACTTTTTATTTTTGGATCAGAATCACGAGTCCCCTAAATCGGAAATACATCTTTTATGTTGGCAGGATCCCTGAGTTGTATCTATTTATGATTCACGGACCATTCTCAATATCAGGAAAAATCAGAACATTGTCAACTTATTAACAAAAAATAATTTCTAATAAAAAACACCTGGACAAGTTCATTCCCTCCCGTATGCCCTCCATTTCTTAGCAATTCAGAAGAATTATGCCCTATCAAATGATGACAATTTCCTCCCCCTCCTCTAACTAATGTTCCAGTAAATGTTTCAACAGTTCCAGCATTATAATGTTGTTGCTGTTGTTGTTCATGTGATGATGACCAAAAAGCATTTAAAGCATCACCCAAAACTGTTGTATTTGGAGCACAAACACTTCCATCACGAATTTTAATAAATTCTCTTTGTTCTTTTTCGTTTTCTCCATTGCCTCTATGACAACATTTATACCAAAAAAATATCATTACTAAAAGTAGCAAACACCAAAGTAAAATTCCACAGCCTAAAACAGCCCAAGGTTGTCTATACCAAATACTATCGAGACGTTCAAACATTCGAATATGTTGATGTAAAGTTTCTTCATCTTGAAGGAAAAATTTTTTTATTTTCAAAAAAATTGGGATGAAATGTCCAACAATTTGAAAAGGTTAAGAAACACATAATGAGAGAAAGGTTCCTATCCCTGAGCAGGAATCAACCTGCAACCTCCTCGCTGCGTTCTTAAACTAAAAATAGGCTACCGAGGCGTTGCTTCACCTTCTCTCTTAATAGATCGATCATAAGCCCCATAAAAAGTAAACGTTCTAAATGCTAGTCAGCTGGATCTCTTTTCTTCCTTACAAGATTAAAAGACAATTTTTTGAAAATAATTTTGATCATTTTACGAAATTTACGGATTTAATATAAAATTTTATATTTCTGGCAGTTTTAAGAATTTTAGAAAACCGATATGAGACGTTTTATCCCAGCTTTTCTTTTCTCTCTCAAAATTTTAATAACCTGCCAATTATCAGAAGAAATAAGGACCCTTAATCTCACAATTTTCTTAACTTTTTTCCCGATTAAAAAAATTTCAGACATTTAATCCAAATATATTCTTTAAATGACATTTTATCCCAATATTTTTTGATGACATTTTATCCCAAAAAATAAATTTTTTTTTGATATCTCATCTCCCTCCATAAAAATCTATCAAAAAAAAAGACAAACTTACTCATAACAACAGGCTCTTCGTCAAAAAATATTCCAACTCCAGCATTTGTTCTTGCCGCAACACGAATTGCATAACTAGCATTTGGAATTAAACGATACAAAGTAACGCTTGTTGCTCTTTCATTTGTTGTTATATTACGATCTTCAACAGAGGAATGGTTACTTTTTATATTTATTAAAAATCCTTTTAAAATTCCGTTGATATGATCTGTTGGTGGTGGACGCCAGGATATTCGTAAAGAACTTATATTTAACATACGAAGACGAACATCAGAAGGGGGCATTGTTGGGGCTAGAAAAATAAATTTTGTATTGGAATTTTGGTTAGAAAAATTGCTAGTTAAGAGTTAGAAAAATTAACTAACAATGAATTGTTTTAAAAAATATTTGCGGACTCGCATTTGCGGACAAGACTAAATGAGAAAAAACTTGAAAAAGAATCTTTGTGACTATAACAAACACGAGCCATAAAATTAAATAAACCCATGAGTAAAGTTGGCTGTTCGGATATGAAAAAATTTCCGGACATCAGGAAATTTTCGGTTTGGATATCGGCTCCGGATCAGGATACTCGAAATTTCCCCAATCCGCAAACCTACAAATGACCCGTGTTTGAAAACTCCACGAGTAAGATCAAAAGTTCCAGACATACTAAAAGCTTCCTTCAAATGAAAAATAAATTTAAAACTAACTAGCTTCCATTGTTGTCCCATCAAGTGAATTTGAAGGCATTCCTTGTATTTGATAACGATAAGGTATCACAAAAAATTCATAATTGTTAAAAGGCCTCAATCCATTAATGATTATGTGTTCAATTTCAGGATCGGTTACATTCACCCAACTGTGGTCGTGAGGTAAAGGAGGTCCACGCCATTTAATATAATAACCTTGGACTAGAGGTTCCTATAAACAAAAAAAATTTTTTAAATAAAAAATTAGGTAATTTTTGGTTATAAAAGAGCCCCCCCCCTATTTGTCTCATTGTCAGATTAATTTTCCTCTTATTCTTTTCTGCTTCGGAATGGCCATACTTCATTTTTTATATAGTAAATCAGAGGTGAGCTCTGCCGTATTTTAAAATTGAAAGGAGGAAGAAACGGGCGAGAATAAAAACGGAAGACCCAAAAATGACGGAAGTAGGCAGAAAACAGAGGCAGAAGAAGAATCCTATCCTTGCTTGTAAATTTTGATTTTTACCGCTGACGTCTATTTTTTCCCCACAAGCAGTAATTTTTTGTTCGTTTAAATTTTGACTAAATAAGTGATTGACAATGCAAGGAAAATTAATCGAAGACTCAAATAGTGAGGGGGTATAACCAAAAAATCTAAAAGAAAAAAAACCTTTTTCTGCCTTTTCCAGCTTAAAAGCATCGCTGAAGAATTTAAAGGTCTAACTTCTACTAATTTAACCAATTGTTCAGAAGAAAGTTTTTGTCTAGCAGTTTCCATATCCAACATTCTTCCAAATTGAGAAGAGGTTTCACTACCTTCCTCAGGTTCTCTATATCCAATAGGTGTAGAAATTGTTACAAGAGAACTTGGCTGTGATGGTAATCCTATTCCTTTTGAATTTTCTGCTCTAATCAAGAAAATGTAGGAACGCCCAGGTCGAAGGTTTTTGATACGAAAACGAGTGGTGGTTACAACATCCATTATATTTTGCCAAGACTAAAATGAGAGAGAAAAATTATAAATATAAAAATAAAGTTAAAATCCCCTTGGAAAATTGACAACATTCAAAAATCAATTCACAGGTAAAGATTCCCTAACAAATTCTCAGTCCCATTTACAAAAAGTTCAATTATCCCTTGTAGGGTTGCCGTTTTCGGTTCGAGCCGACGTTCGGTGCATTTTTTTCGAGCATGGTTTTTTCGATTCGGTTCGTTTTGGCGCTGAGTGTTAGTCCGAGTGTTAGTCAAAGGAAGCTGCCACTACTGTGAATACCGAAAAGTAGCCGAAGAAAAGAAATTCACCTTATATGAGACAAGAAATTTTGGCAAATTCGAAAATCGCTAACATCTCCCCATCTATCTCCGAATATCAAAAAATTCCCTTCCCCAAAAATACAAAAAAATCCCCCCAAAAATACCCAAAAATACTTTCCTAATAAAAAAGAACACAAACCTCTCCCATCTCAGGACTCCAATATTGAATTATATATCCAACAATAGGCGAAGCCCCTTGTCGTTCAGGAGCTGTCCATTCCAATTCAACAATTCCATCATCAGAAATATTTAACAAATTTGGCTTTCCTGGAGAAGAAGGAAGAACTGTAGCATCAGGCATTCTTTGAAAATTTGTATTTCGATTTGTATGTTCTTCAACTACAAGAGATGATGTCCAAGTAGTTTCTCCATCTTCATTTGATGCTTTACATGTAAAGATTCCACTGTCTTCCTTCCTACAAAATTTTCGTAAAAATATTTTAGTAAAATTCCGCCTTGTCCAGGAAACCGATTTGGGCAAACAATATGTCCTTCGAAAGAGCTCAACGAGCAGTTGAAAGACGACAAAATTAAGTTACGTCTTAACTTGGGCCGAGATATACTCCTTGAAAATCTAAAAATCCATGCGGGAGAGGCTCATACCCCATTTACATCTTTTGACCATTATGAGACCATAACTCGGCTTAAAATCGTGACCGGGCTTAATTTTTGGTGTCATCGATTTAGCTCGCCGAACCCTTTCAAATGAGTCGGTTTCCGAGAAATATGACAGAATTTTTCCAAAAAAATTTTTTTCTACTTCAAGTCAGATATTTGTAATGTCCCCATCGATTGTTGTCGATAACGATTTTTGTAATCACTCGAATTTAGATTTAAAGGCATATCATCTTTCATCCAATTAATTACAACAGGTAAACGTCCAGTTGCCTGACAGGGAAGTATTGCCATATCGTTAAGCATTAAAGTTTGATTTTGATGACCATATTGAATGATTGGTGGAGGATGTGAAGTAGCTTAAAAATTAAAAAATTTTTAATTAGGTAAACGAGAAGATTGTTTTGATTTTTTCCTAATAAGAAAAAGTCTAATAGGAAAAGGCTTCTAAAAATCAAACCAACTATCAACGAACTTCTTATAACCCAACGGAGGAAGGGGAGGCTCAGGGAAAATCATTCGGAAAAACAACACCACCAAGAGGGTTTAGAAAATTTTGTACGTAGAAATATAATGAATACATAAATCCTTCTTAATCGCTGCAAGCTATTAGGACCGGAGTAAAACGAGGGTCGGCGGATACGGATATCCAAATCCAAAAAAGTCAACCCAGAAATTTTCGATTCGAATATCTTGGGATTTCCTATGGTCCGCCAGGATCCAGGGAAATACACATCCTGGATCAAATAATGACTACAAAGAAAAATCATTTTTCAAAGATTTTTTAACCATTAAATTTAGTTTTTAATTTACATTCATCTTCACACTGATCAGGAGTTTGAAGACATGATAGAGACAAAATAGTTGTTATATTTAATACAGATCCAAAAATCATTTAACAGAAATAAATAATTATATGAAGTAAAATACATGAAAAAATCTATCAATTTTGATTTAAAGTTGAGAGAAAATAAATTTTTAAAGAAGAAAATTTCCGAATTTTTTTTATTTTATGTTTCAACTTTACAAGGAATATACATATGTAAATAAAAACAAATAAAAATCGCATTTGATGGGGGGTTTTGCGCTTATTTTCCCACCATCAAAAACCATCCTTTCTTTACCAAAAATCATTCAAAAAAGCCTTGGGTTTCTTCAAAACAACCAAACATTTATGTAGATTGCGTGCACCTTTAATTCTCCCCTACCTCCTCCTAATCGCTTGCAAGACTCACTCAAAAATTATACACTGCTCCACATAACTATAACCTCACCCTAAATTTTCGAATTTCTTAACTTCTACTGAACCAATCGGGCTGATTTTTATTTTGTATTAATTAAAGCAGGTAACAATTCATATAAACTAGAGAAATTAAAAAAATCTCTATTCAAAAATTTTTTATCCAATTTTTTCAAAAAACACCCTCCACATAACTATAACCTCACCCACAGAAATCATATTAGGAGTGCTTGAAAATTTTTACAAAAAATCAAGCAAACATTTCCTTTGATAATAAGCGATTAGCAAAAAGAACGAAGTCTGTAAGTGCTTTTTTCATCGAGATCCAAAATCTCGAAAATCAACGGGAAATGGGGGGTACAGTACTTAAAAAATATTTTCCCAAGTGTAAACTGTAGATACAATTTTTTATTATAGTCCATCTGAAAGCCAATAAAATTTACTACAAAATCCACTAGGTCCTATCCAGGACGAAAATTTTACCTTCGAGGAGCCTTGGGTTAAATGAGACGATGAATAAATTCACCCAAATCACCCCATAAAATGTCATTATTTCAAGTTTCTAAATTTAAACGATTACTCCCCAGCGATAAAATTTTTCTCAATGATAGGACCTAGTGGATTTTGTAGTAAATTTTATTGGCTTTCAGATGGACTATAATAAAAAATTGTATCTACAGTTTACACTTGGGAAAATATTTTTTAAGTACTGTACCCCCCATTTCCCGTTGATTTTCGAGATTTTGGATCTCGATGAAAAAAGCACTTACAGACTTCGTTCTTTTTGCTAATCGCTTATTATCAAAGGAAATGTTTGCTTGATTTTTTGTAAAAATTTTCAAGCACTCCTAATATGATTTCTGTGGGTGAGGTTATAGTTATGTGGAGGGTGTTTTTTGAAAAAATTGGATAAAAAATTTTTGAATAGAGATTTTTTTAATTTCTCTAGTTTATATGAATTGTTACCTGCTTTAATTAATACAAAATAAAAATCAGCCCGATTGGTTCAGTAGAAGTTAAGAAATTCGAAAATTTAGGGTGAGGTTATAGTTATGTGGAGCAGTGTATATATATCCATCAAAAGGATTTTATACTTTTTGCCATTGCCGCTCTCCCTCTCTCTCCCTCCGCTTTATACCCAAAAATCATGAAAAGGGAAGGACACAAAACACAAAAATGCTCTGACCTATCTCAAAGGATTAGCCTGAAAAAAATATCTTTTAATCCTCTTCTACCTTTCTCTTTTTAGATTTTTATTGTTTTTAGCGTAGAAAAAAAGTTGAAATCCCTTTTTTGATGTGCGTAAAATGTTAAATAAGCGTGATAAAAAAATTAGAAAAAGAGGGATGCCGCGCATATTTTTTTGCAAGTAATTAAACGTTTTATGTGAACATGTTGCAAAAAATTCATTTATCCATGGTTTGATTGGTAAAATTGAACAGGTAACTTTTTAGCGGGTTGAGAGAGGGGATGTTTAAAAGATTTCGCTCTATGGCGTGGACTTGTATAAAAATTAAAATATACCCAAGAGAAATGTATAGACCACAAAACCCTCTAAATATAAATTTTTTGACCAAATAAAATACGAAATCGGTGTTTTTAAGCTAATCTAAAGGTATATACTTATGCTTACCTACAAATTAATAAATTTTTAGTATTTTCGGTGAAGTAATGTATAAAAATTGGCAATAACTCTCACAAAAAGTTTTTTACCAAAATTTTGCAAATACATAATTAAGGATTTTTTGAAAATTTTTAAATGTGAATTTAAAGGTAGACGCAATAAACATAAATTACAATTGTTTGGAGAAAAACCCACCAAAGCTTGGGAGAACTGTACAAAATTTATATGGATATTGCAAATATGACAACATTTCTATAAAATCTCCCTCCTCGCATTTTAATGGGATTTTTGGCTTTAAACATAAAAAAAGAACATAAAAATTTTTGTAAAAAAATTAAAGAAGCCTCCCCAGATCTCTTCTAAAGAACAAAAAATATTAATGAATAAAAAAATTGATGAGAAAGGCATACATTAAAATATATTCCTCCCTCAAATAAAAAAATAGGTAAAACTGACAGACACAACTGTTTTGGTATAAAATATTTAATTGTTTGCTGTAGTATTTAAAAGTGGGAAAACAGTGAAAGTGTCACAATAAAAAAAGATTTTTAGGTATTTATTTAGTTTAAACTAAAAATTCTCGCTAGGGATTATATATAAAGCAACACAAAACATATTTTTAAGCATCGAAAAAAATAGGTAGGTTTGGGTTGTCAATTCGAAAATGAACCGCACCAGAGAACCGAGGATTGTTTAATTAGACTATTTGGTTAGATTAAGGATATTCGAAGATATTTTCCAGAAACTAATAACCTAGTGTACTGAAGATAGAGCTAATACAACTTTAAGGCCGAGAAAATTTTATCTTATAAGGAGATGCATTTTAAATAGCACCCTACGCGTAAACAGTTCCAAACAAAGGTTGGACATGACCGGTAAACTTTTGCCTAGGCGGCTCAAATAGATAAGAAAAGCATTTGAGCCGCTACAGGCAAAAATTAACTGGTCGTGAGTAGTGAGTCCTAGGGGACCGTCGTCAAACGCCATTTTTTCGCGCACTTTTCAAAAGGTATTGGACGGGTTTAGTGGTCATTTATTGGATAATCCTAAGGGTAAGGAAGGGGTTTTAGCGGTAATTAGTATTTTAACGATGACACAACATTTTTCGCGCATTTTCCAAAAAGAATCGGATTGGTTTTGGTGGTCATTTGTGGGTGAAACCCACAGGTAGAGGGGTGTTTTTTGGATGTAATTAGTAAAAGAGAAAGAGTGAGGATGGTGGTCAAATGGAGGAAATGAAGTAACCAATGCCTTTAGAAAGGGTTAAACGGATGGAAAAATTTTTTTATTAAAGGAAGTGAAATAAATAAAAATTAATTAAATTTTAATGTTTAAAATTTCTTTTTTAATTTTACATTTCTGTTTTATCTTTTTACAATAATCTATGTTTATTTTATTGAAAATATATATTTTAATAAATAAATTTTTTAATGAAACAATGTGTATATTTTTGTTGATCAAATAAGATAAAACTATTTCCTAAAAATTTTCACACATTCTATGGCCATGTCATCCTTTGTTTATAATACAGCTATTTATTAATAATAGCAAAAAAAAAACAAAAAGCAAGATTAAATCTTAAATAATATAAACATTTGTACATATGAAAAAGCTTAAGGCTGGGCGTTTACAAAAAATACAATTTGGATACTTTTGGCCTATTATAAAAATATTAAAATTCTCTTATAAGCATTTTTGATATTTTTTTGGCCTATTATTACTAAATATTATTCTTCTCTTTAATTAAAATTTAAAATGTCCAATTTTACTGAATTATTCCCAACAAAAATTCAATGGATATTAGTTAATAATTGTTCTTGCGCGAAAGGGGTTTGCATGAGACCATCCACCTACAGCAAGCCGATCGAATGCATTAGCGAGAAATTTTCGGAAGATGTTTTAAAGTATTTAGCTGAAGGAGATACAAATTTTTGTTTGGACAATAGCTTTTTCTTTTATGGAGTGTTTGGATTAGCATTTTTAGTGCTATTTTTACAGGTCCTTTCTAATTATCCTTAATTAAAATTATTTAAATATAAAAATATATAAAAATATATTTTCTTAAAGCTGTTAAATCTATGTTTTGTCGTCAAACGTGAAACTCGTCGTAGTGAATATACTATTACACAAAAGAAGAAGAAGAAGAATGTAAAGGAAAATAAAGTGGAGGAAATTGAGCTCAAACAATTTCGACCACTTACGATTGACTGTCGCCAAAATCCTACTTTAGGAATTTTAAAAGAGTCGACTTCGGTAATTTTTAAATTAAAATAAATTTAAATTAAAAAATTTTTTAAATACTTAATTTTACTCAATTACAGAAAACTCGTTATTAATAAGGTAGATTTTAACTAATTAAAATTTTATTAAGAAAAATATTAAAATATTAAAAATTATTAAGACAAATATTAAATTTTATTCAGACAAATATTAAGATTTTATTTAATTAAAGGTCAATGCTAAATATTAATAAGAGATTGAGGAAAGAATTACTAAAAATGAATATTAAGTAAAAAATTTTTTTAAATAATTGTAATGATAGAACGCTTACTTTTATTGGCTTTCAGTCAATAAGATTTTTAAATATACAATTTAATAATTTTAATTTAAATTTTCTTTTGGCGTTCTATCATAATAGTATAATAATTGCACGATATTTGGTATTTTAAATAAGTTAAGTAATTAATGAAATTTTAATTTTAAGTAATTAATGGATTTTAATTATTATTAATTTTAAGTAATTAATGGATTTTAATTATTATTAATTATTTTAATGAAATAAATGAAAATTTAATTTACATTTATTATTCATCCTTTTTAAGTAAATTTCCAAAAGAAATTTTTTTCCCTCGGCGGCAAACACGCTTCGGTGTTTCTTAATTTTTTAAATTTATTTTTTACTTATAAATAAAACAGACCGACAATTGGTCCATTTGGAGAAATATTAATTTTATTATAAAAAATAGGAAAATATTTCTTCTTTTTTGGTGCCATTGGAGCTTCGACGGCTCGGCGTTTTTGAACTATTATTTATAATTAATAATATATTTTTAAATACCTTTTGTATTATTTTGACATTTCTAAATTATTAAAAATTAATCATAAAAATAATTTAAAATCTAACCACAATTTTTATAAAAATAATATCATCATCTTTATCATATCCATTAAAAATAAACTTTTGGCAACGGTTGAGTGATTTTGAACGTTTTTTCTAAAAATACATATTTATATGAGAAAGAAAAAATTATTCTAGTTTAAAATCACCACATTTTCTTTAATGCGATTTGGAAGCTCTACAGATCTCGAGCGTTTACCCTAAATTTTAAAGCTCATAAAAATTTATAAAAATTATTTTAATGAATTTAATTAGTTAATAATTATT